CCGTACGAGAAGCCGCCGGGGCAAGCCAGACCGGTAAAGTCGGCGAGGGAGCGGCCGTCCAGCACATCCGTCATGTGGACGTCGATGGGCTCGAAGCCGGCGGCCTTGAAGGCGTAAGCCAGCTCGGCATAGCCGTTGACACCCTGCTCTCGGAGAATGGCAACTCGGGGGATCCTTCCAAAGAAGCCAGTGATGGACGAGGTGAGGGGAAGGATGTTCTCGGCTGGTGAGAAGGACAGCTTGTACGTGATGCCGGGATCCGCAGAGTCGGCAATCGTGGAGAATTCAGACTCGGCGCAGGCAGAGTTGTCTCGGAGCTTCTGCATCTCGTACGACGTCTTAGACCACCACTGCTGCATCTCGGTTCGGTCCAGGGTGGCAAACGTCATGCCTGCGTGGCGGATGTTGAGGCTCTGCTTGGAGGTCGACCGGACCACGCCAAACTTGCGGATCAGACCGGGCGGAGGGCCGCAGGTGGCGAAGCATCGCTTAAAGTTCATTTCGTCCTCAGTTCGGATCTGGAAAACGGCGCCAAGCTCTTCGTTGAACATGGCCTCGATGATGTCCTCCGGCTTGCCCGACTTGGAGATGCCGTCCATCATCATGTCGACGCCGCAGCGACCAGCAAACATCATCTCGGCCACGGTGGTGACGAGACCACCGTCGGATCGGTCGTGGTAGGCCAGGACAACACCGCTTCGGTGCAGCTGGGACAGGGCGTCAAAGTAGTCCGTGATGAGGTCAAAGTTCTTCATGTCGGGCGCCTTGTCGCCAACAGCACCAAGCGACTGCGCGAGCGCTGAGCCGCCCATGGCCCTTCGTCCCTCTGCAAGGTCGACAAACATGAGCGACGTCTCGCCCACATCCTCCACCCGACGCAGCTGGGGCGTCCAGGTGCTTCGAATGTCACGGACGGCCGAAAAGGCAGAAATGACCACCGAGACGGGTGCGGTGACGCTCTTTGACTCCTCGCCATCCTTCCACGACGTCTTCATGGAGGTGGAGTCCTTGCCGACGGGGATGCTGACTCGGAGTCTGGTGCACATCTCCATGGCAGCTCGAACGGCTTCGTACAGGGCAGCTCCTTCACCAGCGTGGTTCACGGCCGCCATCCAGTTGGCCGAGAGCTTCACGCGACGCAGATCGCCCGTGACATCGGCAGCACCAATGTTCATCAGACTCTCGGCAATGGCCATTCTGGCTGACGCAGCAGGGTCAATCAGAGCAAGGGTGGGCTTCTCGCCCATGGCCATGGCCTCACCCGTCTTCTGCTTGGTACCGATGTGGAACGACGTAGCTGTCACCGCAACGTCGGCAACCGGTGTCTGCCAGGGTCCAACCATCTGGTCACGCACCGTGAGGCCACCCACGCTTCGGTCGCCAATGGTGATGAGGAAGGATTTGGAACCAACCGCGGGCATCGTGAAGACGCGCTCGACCGCCTTCTTGAACAGCTCGGCGCCGCTCAGATCTCCGTACGCCTTTTTCAGGCTCGCCATGGCGTCGAAGGGAAGCAGGCTGGGCTTCTTGGAGGCGACCTCTCGCTGCAGGAGGCGCTTGGGAGGGAAAAGGGCATCCATGGGGAGGTCAATCGGCCTGGGGTACTCCTTGGACTCTCGGTCTGTGAGCACCAGCCTGGCAGCTCCGTTCTCATCCTTGGAAACAACCGTTCCCACGTCGGAGAATCCGCATCGCTCTCGTCGGCAAATGCTCGTGAAGCGGTTCATGCTGTCGGCGTTGATCAGCAGGACGTATCGCTCCTGAGCCTCGTTGCACCAGATCTCGAGCGGGCTCATGCTTCGGTCCATGCTTTCGACTTGGCGCAGTTCAAAGTTTCCTCCATAGCCAGCGTCCTTGACCACTAGTAACAGTTAGTTGCAATCATAGAAATAATATGTCTTGGAGGGAGCAACTCACGCTCGGGAAGGGCGTTAGACAATCCACCAGCACCAACATCGTGAATCATGGCAATCGGGTTCTGCTCGCCCAAGGCAGTGCAGGTGTTGATGACCATTTGAGCGCGGCGTTCCATCTAAGTCATGATTAGTACCGTGTCAAAGATTCAAATGAACATGTAAGCCAATTACCTCAGGGTTGCCGCGCTGGACGCTGGCAAAGTCAAGGTCCGCATTGCTCTCTCCGCCGGTGCTACTGGAGGCAGCACCGCCACCAAGGCCGATGAGCATCGCGGGACCTCCGAGGACAATCACGTGGGCGCCCTCTCGAACATATCGCTCCTCTTTCAGGGCATGCTGAGGTCGCACGGATCCGAGGCCACCCGCAATCATGATGGGCTTGTGGTAGCCTCGCCAGTTGGCAATGCTTGACAGGTCGGAATCTTCTTGAGACTCCTCAGGAGTCAGGAGAGTTCTGAAGACGCCTGCGAGAGCTGGACGGCCGAATTCGTTGTTGAAGCGGGCACTGCCAATGGGCGCCTCCAGCATAATGTCCAGACTGCTGGCATAGTGGCGAGGTCGGCCAACGTCAGTCTCCCAGGGGGCGTGGTGGTCGGGGATGAGCAGGTCAGAGACCCAGAAGCCGCTCAAGCCAGCCTTTGTCGTGGATCCTCGTCCAACCGCAGCTTCATCTCGGATCTCTCCACCTGAGCCGGTGGCGGCGCCAGGGAATGGACTAGACAAAAGAGTCAGTGTCTAACCCACGAAGTTACGGAAAGAGTGCGCAATTGAGCTCGGTAGAAGATCTGAGTCTCTTTCTCAGGACATAAAGCCAGAAAGTCATCAAGGAAACTTACGAGATGGCAGTGGGGTGGTTGTGAGTCTATTGAGCTTTGTTAGAAACGGGCAAACCAGAGACACCCTGATAGGGATTCATAAAGCTTACCTCAACCTTGGTGAGAATGTGAACGACTTCAGGAATAAGCTTCCATGAGCCAGTAGAATAATCAGGGGCCCAGACGTTGGCCTGTTCACCCTCAAGAACAGCCGCATTGTCACTGTAAGCCGAGACAGTAAAGTCGGGCGTAGTCTTGTGGGTGGTCTTGATCATCTCAAAGAGGCTCTTGTCCTGGGGGACGCCGTCGATGGTCCACGCCGAGTTGAAGACCTTGTGCCGGCAGTGCCTGAATGCAAAAGGTAAGCAACCCACTCGTGAGAGTTATACAAGGATACACTCGTACTCTGAGTTGACCTGGGCAAACATGAAGAGCTCCACGTCGTGAGGCGGGCGCCCCAGCTTGGTGAAGACATCGACGAGGTACTGCATCTCGGACTCGTCGAGGCTCAGGCCCTTGTCGACGTTGTACTCGCGGAGAATGCGCAGCGGGTCCTCCTTGTCGGCAAAGATGTCGACAGCCACCAGCGGCGACGGCGACTTGGATTCGAACATGTGCACCAGCGACGGCGGCTCGGTGCTCCAGAGCTCCGTCATGCGGTCGTGCAGCACATCGCGGAAGGCGGCGTCGTTGCCCTCGGGCAGCTTGTCGAACTGGATGGAGATGCGGCGGCCGCGCTCGATGCGCAGGACGCGCTCGCGCAGGCCGCAGACGTGGGCGATGCTGGTGGCCTTGGAGCTCCAGGGCGAGATGTAGCGAGGCGTGGCGTAGACGGTGAAGGCATTGTCGGGACCGCCGGACGCCAGCCCCCAGCCGCGGACGTCGTGCAGCAGCTCCTCAACCTGCTCGAGGGCGTCGTGGGACGACACCTGCAGGTTCACGTAGTAGATCCATTGGCCCTGGATGTCCTGGACCTTGCAGGGGCTGGTCTTGTCGATGAGCTCGCGCAGCTTCTGGGCGTCGGCCTGCGTGAAGCACGAGCCTCCAACAAGCACCTCGTACGGCATTCTGGCTGACGGCTTCTGCTGCGGCTGAGCAGAATCACTCAATGGCCATGCGATAGACAGAGTAGATGTGGCGAGCGTCTGCACCGGAGGAGTCGATGCAGCTCCCCAAGAAGAAGCAAAAAAGTTGTGATGGAATTCTGCCCCTCTCTTATCTATCGATCGTGGTGGGGAGAAAATATTTTCGGACCGGCAATCGGCCGCCGCTGAAGCCCGGAGATGTTGAGTCAGACGCGAGCAGTACCTCTGGGCTGGCGGCTTATACTGCTGAGACTCAAGTATCTCTTCCTCGTCCACTAACACTTTGTTGGATCGACCGCTAACGATTCCCAAGGTAAGGCCAATGCGTCACAGCCCAGACTATTTAGAGCCGGAGCGTAAAGAGAAAACTTCAGCAAATGAGCTACTTCTGGCTGTTGAATTAGTCGTCGGCTAGCAGTGTCGTCTATCCTGTGGGAAATACTAGATATGAGGCGCTAGCTGGGAGTTGGCCGTGATGAAGCGAGGACGAAGGGATGAAGAGTGAGCGTGTAGATGGCCATCAACGGTGCAGTGCCTTGCATTCCAGCGGCATCACCTTGTTTGCCACTTACATATCCCACTAAATCTTTGGCATTGTGTATGCGAAGATCCAGATCGTATTCGAATTACAGGGGATATATTTGTTGCTCCCCTTTTCCTCTCCATCTTGATATCTGCTGCTCGACGAAGCTACTCTACCTACATGTACTCATTCATCTGCACCAAGCTCCCCCGAGCTCCATCTGCCTCCATGCAGTCGTGTCACCGAACAGACAGTCGAGTTTGGGAGCAGGAAATCGACGAATGGTCACTGCAAATAAGGCAGTCGTACACCCCTCAGTGCATATGCTTGACAAAGATTATCCTGAAAGAAAAGCATTCGCCGCAAGGTTCACAAAGTGTGTCATAAAACGGAGGGTGATAATCTGCACTCCTCATATCCCACCACCGACACCGACTTGAGGTAAGTGGGCTTGTGATTATGAAATGAATAGAGAAAAGGGGAAATAAGCTCTCTTTCCTCTGATGCCATCAAATCATGCCGCATACTGATACTTGGAATCGTGGATAATGCGATGTGGTCATCGTCGGTATCGTAGGGTAGCCGCACAGGGGCAAACTGAAGTTGTCCTGTTCGAAAAGGTATGATATGCCATCAGACTGTACTTAAAGAGCTCAGGCATATCGAATCGTTTGAATATGGAAATGAAGTGAGAAAAGATGCCTTGTATGTGGCTGGCTTTCGAGGGGAATCACTGGATCGTGGGTGGAGGAACAGCTAGGAGAGCGGAGGTATGGCCCCCAAGGGAGGCTATGGCTCGCATCAGAGACCAGGATGCACACAAAACCATGCGCTATTCTCGCTCGTAGCTAGAAATAAGCATACAGTAGCTCTTGGCTCTCCAACTGGATCAACCATCTGCCCCTTTGGTCAATATCGAGGCTATGGGGTGGGCGGAAAGTATTGCAAGGAGGGATCACTGACCTTTCTGTCGTCCAAATGCTGCTATATAGCAGCAGTAGCAGATACAGACTCGCACTGAGTGACAAAGTTAATATGTAAAGCAAATTCTGGGAAGGACGGCACACATAAGATGGCACGAGCGCATAGACGTATGAACGCCTGGGGTCCAGCTGAGATGGATTCACCTCGGTCTCAGCAGGAACCCAATTCAGTGCACACTTACCCATCTTGTGCTTGTCCCACGCCATACTACGTCAAACCAGAGCCAGAACCAGTGATGGACGGCCGATGCCAGCTGGTACTGGGAAGGAAGTGGCCTCATTCACGCGCAGTCCATGCCTACATAGCCAGCTCTTGCTGCTCTTGGTTTCCTTCTCAGGTCTTTTTAGACGCTCCTCTGCAGCTTCTCCAACTTCAACTTTCGGATATCCGGCAGACCCTTTGAGGTTTCGATAACTTCAGCCAAGACTTCTAGTCTGGCACAGGTTGAAACCTGAGCTCCCACGCGCCAGTCGACATTCACTCGGTCTGCACAATCACTGGTGCTCCTCGATTGTTCAATCTCTGATTAAGCTGCAAAGAAGGCCAAAGTCTTCACGATATCTGCTGGCTTTTGGTTGCAACGCTTGGTATCCCCCCCCCCTTTCCACTCGTCTTCCCATCCCTCGCCGAGGTCTGGTCAAGCTCACGTTTCGCCATCAGCATCTTCCATTCCCCAGAACACCACGCAAAACCATTCATCAAAAATCCCAGAACAATCTTTCACTTCGACAACATGGCAGACCAAGGGTACTACGTTGTCTACCGCCTCGAGTTGCAATTCAGCAAGGCAAGCCGCCACTCGGCCATCTACGTTGCCATGGGCTCACAGGGCGTCGGACAACTTCTCCACGTCCGCTGCGCCGTCGGCCAAAGGGGCATGATGTTTGAGAGGCAGTACTTTGTCAGCAATGGGCCCGAGTCTCTCGCGACCTTTGTCCGCAAGACGGTCGTGGGCAGCGTGGCAGCGGAAGACGTGGACCAACTGACGGAAATCTGCTACACTATACCCACTCCGAGCGCGCAGTATATCAATGATGTCTGTCAGTGTGATAATTGGGTTCATGAGGCTTGTATTGCGTTTAGGATGGCGGGTGTTCTTATTTGACTGTCTACGAGATAGGAGACAAGTGATCTTGCGTGCCGCCAGCTATAGCAGAGGATGTTGAGGGAAGTTAGGGAGGGTTGATCTATAATCGCTAAGCTGGCATTCAATTGATATCTGATGTTACTGCTCTCCAGCGTTGACGCTACAAGACATCTCGACCTTGATGCGGAATGGCCATCAACTGCTATGGTGACTCCCTAAAACCCAAACCCCTTTGTCATCGTCACTGCTACAATTTTGAGTGAGCGTTTGATCGTTGTCAGTAGAAGATCATTGACTGGATGCTCAAAATGCAAGCCCAAGCCTGACTTAAACAGTCAAACTCTCAAGCCCACGATGGAGGAGCAGTCGTTCGCCATTCCTCCGAGTAGCATCTATGTCTGCGAACACTGGCTACACAGGACATGAAACAACCGCAAAGCCGACGAGGAGAAGCAACGTGCCTTCTGCATAGTGCTCAGCTATTCAGAGTTGCCTCGCAGATATATGCCAGACAGAAGCGACTGCTGTGTACCATTGCCACGTAAGGCACCTAGCATATGTCTGCTAGCCGTTTTGTGTATCGTCAAGTAGCCCATGGTGCTGTGATTCTCAGCGTCCAGCTTCTCAATTCTAGTGAACTGTGGTATGCCATGGCTTTCCAAAGTAAGAGATCCAATTCAGAGAGGAAATAGCAGAGGGCAAAGTGCGTGAATTGAAACGAGAAGAAGCCCCTTGGCTGTGTATAAAGCCTGCGATATGGACGCCAAAGGATCGTGATGTCGCCAACGAGCTCAACACATCTTTTTAAGACACATCTAGCAGCCCTCTGAATACAATTAGAACGATTATAGATCTGAAAATGCCTCGACACCGCGCCTCCGCAGAGGACTCCGACTCTGAGCGTCGAGGGCCCTTCACTCGACGCGGACGAGAGATTCGCGAAGGCCTCATGACAAAGAACATTGACAGACAGGTGCTCAGGGCTCTCGACCGCACCTTTTGCATCGGCTTCCAATGCTTCACCCTCTACGACGCTATCGACAGCCCTGACTTCAATGCCGCGAACGGAGTCCCGGGTTACACGATCGTGGAGACGGCCGAGGCGTCCGCAAGGGAGCGGAATCTGTCTCTGCGCCAGAAGAGGGCCCTCTTCACGCTCATGGGCTGGTGGTTTGAGTGCATCAGCTGCAGGAGGTACAAGTCGGCCATGGACTTTGAGGGCACGGCGTACATGCTTTGGGGATCTGGGGACCCGGTTCGGCCGTACTTGCGGAGCGGGCCTTGCACTGCTTGCGATGAGGCGAGGAACAGGGCGGGTCGGTCATCGCGTCGTCGGTGAGATGTTTGTGCTGAAACGTATCTAGAGAAAGGTTAGCTAAGGAAATGAAAGTGATTCGGAGATGGTTGGTTTGGAACTCAGTGATCATGATTGGAAAGCCTTTTTCGATAGGAGATAGCTGAATCAAGGGCGTCGATAGAGGATCGATGAAGAGAACACTGGTGCTAATTTCCACCTCCTTGTTTCTCAAATATCGTCCCGAATCTTGCGGCAAAGTGATGTTTTTGGAGTGTGCAGTTGTTCCGTAAAGTCTTTGCAGTCGAAGGCTAACGAGAGCGACAGTTGGTAGGATGGCTGGGGACCACCGATCAGCTGCCGCCAGTGATGGAGTACCTTGTTCGTAGCAAGAACAAGCCCTGACTCTTTTCTTCTCAAGAATTCTTCGCAAATTGTATCCCTCCTTTGTCTTCTACTTTGTTTTGTGCTGACAGTTCTCAGTCGACCGTTGTGGTGCAGTTGCGGTCGTGCGAGTGGGCATCGGTATCACTGGACACATCTACTCATTACACCGTTATAGCACCGGCGAGGCGCGAACTATCAAGCTTATCCTAACGGAGAAATTGACAACGGTAACAAGTTTCTTTCATTTTTCCCTTCATATCCTGGAAAGAGCCTCTAGAAGCACTCAGAAGCAAATTGTTTCGCATCCCGAGTACGCACCATGCCATGAAAGGATGGCAGAGAGAAGAGAATGATTCAGGGGCTTCGGAGGCCCGACAACGATACCAGCTCGTCCGACTGACGCTGATATCCTTCAAGGACTATCACTACGTTGTTTTTATTGGTGCTTCTACAGTAGCAATCGAAGTCGAAGCTGAACCACACCTTACACCTGTTTAGGGTCTATCCAAGAAGGTTCATGTTGTGCTATGCTCGACCCCTTGCAGGCACTTGTTCTCGCTATGCTCAAGCCACTGAAGCGGCAAGACGCTATTCGGGTATTCCCTGCTGTGAATGCAATAGACCGGTCTCGAAGATGCCGTGATGGTTGCTGGGGATATTTTTGGTGGTGATGGCAAAGCGAGCTGAACGCTTGTCGCGAGATTGCTCCTTTTATCTGCCGTTGCCACCGACGCATCGAAGTAGATGCTAGTTCCAATAGATAAGGCACATGAAGAATGCTACGCACCTCGATGGTACCGAACAATGCTTCGATGATACATCATGTTGCGTTAGTCTTAGCAGCTTCTGGAATCCAGGCCCTGGGGGCTATATTTGGCAGCGCGGGATGCTCTGCAGCCTCAGGTGGGAGACAGACTCAAAGGGAGATGGTGGCTTGTGAGATGTTTCCGCGTGTGTCCAAGACATGGGCCTCGGCTGATGCAAAAAAGGGCTGAAGGATGGATGGCAGTCTGTGCGGGATGGGCTGTGGTTCGTAGCACAGAAAACTGACTACCGGCGTCGTGCAGATGGTGGAAATTGGGTGAATTTGGCTGTTGAGCCTCGGTGTCCTCGGTCTGCCGTAGAGCTCGGGTTGCCGGTGACACAGCCAAGATGAAGCCTCCATCGTACGCTCCGTATCGAGGTGTATGTGGCTTGCGGAGGCAAATTCGATTCCGAATGTGGGCTCTTGTCGCTTGAAAGAAGCATCTCGACATGCTTGTTTGCCCCTGCACGTCCGACTCGTGTTTAATCTGGACCTGCTTTTGGCTTGCATGGGTGTTCTGATGCCAAGCGCTTGTGCCTCTACCGGCATCGCGGTCATCTCCACCTCGCATCACCGCATAAAGCAGCACAGCGGCTGCAGAGGGAGCAAGCCGCTGTCAGGCACCCGCTGCTGGAGCGCGGATGGCGCCGATTTGGGGGCCAGGGTCCAGCTCTATCAGGGCTATTGAACGGCCTGGCCTGGTCCCTGCAGGCTGCCATCCGTCAACTGTTCATATCCAGCTTGCGCACGTTCTCTCTCTCCTTGTCCCAACCCTGTCCTCTACTCCTCGCCAAGACCACACACCATCATTGGACCCCTGCGCTGTCATGAGATGAGCACGCGCAGAGTGAGATCGGGCTTGCGCTGCTCCGGCTTCCAGCTCGCTCAGACTGCTGAGGAACACCGCCGTCCACGTCGTACCGACGGCTATGCTTCCAATATTACCAGCATCAGCGAGCCGTGTCTCCACTCGACCAGCAGCAAGAGCAAAAGTGCTGAGCTAGAGGCGAAGAAGATGAGGATATCGAAAGAATGGCAGAGATGGGGACCCTTGGAGCTGCGAGTATTGGCAGCGCGATGGCTGCTTCTCGCCATTCACCGGCTGGGCATCCTGGCCCAATCTTCTGTCGTCCCGGAGTCCGGGAAGAAAGCACTTGGCGGTGGACTCAGCCAGAGAGGAGAGCCAAGCCTTTAAGAAGAGCGAGACTTCCCTGCCTTTGCTTGGTGTCCACCATCATCTACTCACCCAGCATCGTTGGCACTCGCAGCAATGGGACTGGCCGCGCTGCTCCTCACGGCCTTTGTAGGCCTGGCCAAGGGCCTCGCCTCGACTGATACCATCACCTGGGGCGGTGACAACTCCAGAGCTGGATACCAGACGTAATGCCCCCCTTCATATGCGGCAACTGCTTCCTAGTGGCTAACGTTGAACAGGAACCACAACATGGACCCTTCTGTCGTTGGGAGCTCCTCGTTTGGCCAGTTGTTCCAGACCAAGCTTCCCGGCTTCTATGCCGACGCTGCCGAGCAAATCTTCTCCCAGCCTCTCGTCTATACGCCCAGCAGCGGCACAAAGCAATATGTCTATGTGGCCACCACGCAGAACAACGTATACAAGCTCGATGCGAAGTCTGGCGAGATCCTGGCGTCGAGAAGCCTTCACATCCCCTTCCTGGCTGCAGACCTCGATGGGTGTGTTGACATCAACCCGGCCATTGGAATCACCGCCACCGGTGTGATTGACCCTGATACCGACATTCTGTACTACACCTCCAAGACGTATGTCGATCAGAGCAAGCTGGGCATACCGCAGGGCCGCGATGCTGGCCGATACTTTATCCACGCCCTGGACGTTAATGATCTGAGCGAGAAGCCCAACTTCCCCGTCCCCATAGATGGAGTCATTGCCCGCAATAATGATGTGCGCATGTTCACTGGTGGAATTCACCTCCAGCGAACCGCACTGCTTCACACTGGCCAATATATCTATGCCGGATTCGCTTCTCACTGCGTGCAGTATAACTTCACGGGCTGGATCATCGGCTGGGACAAGGACACTGGGAAGATAGTCGAGCACTACGCCATGGAGGGCAAAGGCGTTCCCAACGATATCAAGGGCGCTGGTCTTTGGATGTCTGGCGGAGGCATTGCTTCTGACGATGCTGGTTCGATCTGGTACGCTACTGGCAACGGCTACGCGTCTCAGCTGGCCAATGTGCCCGTCAAGGGCTTCAACCCGCCCACTTCCCTGGAAGAGGCTGCCGTGCATATGACAATCAACGACGACGGCTCTCTGAATCTAGTCGATTTCTTCATGCCCTGGGAGAAGCAGGCCTTGGACGGTGCCGACAAGGACCTCGGAACGAGCCCTCTCGAGATCCTTCCGAGCGAATTTGCTTGCGGAGACATGAAGCGCATTGGCGTTGTCACTGGGAAAAGCGGCAAAACCTATTGGCTCAACCTGGATAACCTGGGCGGATATAGAAACGGGCCCAACAATCTGGATGATGCTATTCAGACCTACCAGAACGACAACTCCGTCTACGCGGGTGCTGGCGTCTACCCCCTCGAAGGCGGATACATCTACATCAACGTCATCCAGCACCCTTCCAACGTCTTTAAGTTTTCTTGTACCGACGGCGTTCCATCGTTTACCAAAGTTGCTACGACTCCCGAGACGAATGCGTATATTCTCGGGGTCAGCCACGGGACTACCACATCCCTCAACGGGCAGCCCGGCACTGGTCTTCTGTGGGTGACCGATGTCCAGGGCTTGAATCTGCGTATCTACGACGCCGTCCCCAAGAATGGCGTGCTCAACATGATCAACTCGTTCAACATTCCTGGCGTCATGAAGTTCACCCGGCCCGTCTTTGGAGACGGCATCGTGTACGTTGGCACTAACCAGGGACAATTCTATGGGTTTGGCTCGCCTGTCAAGTCACCCCTCAACTGCACTTCACCAGTTGCCTTTGGAAGTGTAAACCTCAAAACGTCCAGCGAATCTCGAAAAGTTGAATGCACGGCTCTGATTGATGTGAGCGTTACCGGCATCGCGCTGGACTCGACTAGGGACTACAGCATCTCTGGCGTCCCTACTACGCCTCTCGAGCTGGCAGAGGGCGAGTCTTTTACCATCCAGGCCAAGTTTGCGCCTACCGCTGTTGGGCTCATTTCAAATGACATCGTCGTCAACACGACAAACAGTGTTACTGGCTTCAGCTCCAATACTCACGCTCGGCTGACCGGAACCGGTCAAAGCCCTGGCCCTTTGTTGTCTGTGGCTCCGACGACGATTACCTTCCAGGGTGTCGTTACCGGAGAGAACCCCGACGGCGTCACGGAAACTCTGATTCTCAACAATCTGGGAAACGGGCCTCTTACGATTCAGAGCATACTGTATTCATCCGCCAGTGCGCATGGCCCTTGGGAAACATGGAATGGTCCAGGCGATCTGACAGTCGGCAAGTTCACCTTTCAGAAACTCCCATCTTCTCTCGGTCCACAGGACAGCAAGGCTATCCAAGTCAAGTTTGATGGCTCTAGAAGTGGCACCTTTTCTGCCTTTGTCACCTTTGTCTCCAATGGCGGCAACCAGACGGTGTCCATTGCGGGCTCTTCCGGGCCTGCTGCCGTCGCACTGCTCGAGTTCCAGCGCCCCGATGGATCTGGCTGGGCAAAGTATGTCAACGGCACTCCTTTTACATTTGGCAATGTGACGGAAAACAACGGTCGTTCTCTCAAGTTCCGCATTACCAACGCCGCAGCTGAGGGAGGTGTCAACCTGTCTCTCACCGTTTCCAAGCCGCCTTTTGGTGCGACCGGTCTCGTCAGAGCCATTAACCAGGTTGATCTCGCAGAGGGCACCTCTTTGGCTCCAGGAGAGAGTGCGAATGCTACCCTCACCTGTACCGTTCCCAAGTCCCAGTGGAACGTCGACCCTTACAACGGCACCGCGCAGTGGACCTTGAACACGAACGATCCGAAGCTCGGAAAGCAGTTTGTTCAGTTCTTCTGCCAGGCCGTGGCAGAGCAGGCTCCTCCTCTGCTACCAAACAGTGACCAGGGGCGTTATCGATACGTCGGATGCTTCAAGGAGGACAACCCTGGCCGCCAGCTCTCCAATCAGCTGTACGGAGCGGAGGAGAGCACCAATGCCATGTGCATCTCTGCGTGTGCCGAGAAAAACTATGCCTACTGCGGTACTCAGTACCATACCGAGTGCTGGGGCGGCAACACCATTCCCAACCTCCAGGTAGACGACGCCAACTGCAACTACTACTGCGGCGGAGACATCAACGAGGTGTGTGGTGGAAATGGCGACGGCACTGCGGCCTACATTTCACTGTTTGCTGATTCTCTGCGCCCCGGTGATGGATCCCATCCTCCTCCCCCATCTGGTGGCCCTGTTGTTAATCCTGGGGTTGATGGTTATGCCAGCATTGGATGCTATACCGAAGCCACTGACGCGCGTGCTCTTCCCAACGGCGCGGAGACCGATGAGCACACCGTGGCGGAGTGTGTCGGGGCCTGCAAAGCCAGCCACTACATCTATGCGGGCATCGAATATGGTGGAGAGGTAAGTCGTAACCGCCCATTCCTCCAGCTGGTAAGAGTTGCTGACTTTTGTTGCAGTGCTGGTGTGGCGACTCCTTCAACGAGGGCTCGGTTCCTGCTCCCATCGCGGAGTGCGGAATGACTTGCAATGACAACTCGACTGAATACTGCGGTGGTCCAGACCGTCTCAACGCCTACAAGCTTGACATCACCATCGTGTCTACGACAACCTCTACCACCGTTGGTACAGTCACTGCGACTACCTCTCCGTATGAAAGTACGACGTTGGTTGCTACCACTACGGCACTCGATGCCACCACGACCACTGCGCCCACGACCGTTCCTACCAGCAGCCCAGCTCCTACCGGCCCTGTCGTCAACCCCGGACAGGATGGATACTCAAGCGTTGGATGCTACACTGAAGCCACGGACGCGCGAGCCCTCGCCAACTTCATCGAGACAGGCAACAAAACGGTTGGCGACTGCCTGGAGGCATGCAGCGCGGATGGCTATCTCTATGCCGGCCTCGAGTACGGCGGAGAGTGCTGGTGTGGTGATTTGCTCGGCAAGGGATCTACCCGCGCACCGATCGAGGACTGCAGCATGACTTGCAATGACAACTCGACCGAGTTCTGCGGTGGCCCGAACCGACTCAACGTTTACAACCTTGCTAAGCTGCCCACGCCCACGAGTACGGTGCCTCCAACTGCAACTTCTACTACCTCTGCTCCGACGCCGACTGGCCCAGCCATCAAGAAGTATGTCAGGGACTACAGCTTTCAGGGGTGCTGGGAGGAGCCGCTCGATGCCCGGGCTATCATTGAGCAGATGTACGCGGACGATTCGATGTCGCTCGAGTCTTGCGCTGATTTCTGCAGGGGGTATACTTACTTTGGCACCGAGTACGGCCGAGAGTGCTACTGTGGCAATGTTCTGGAAGAGGGCAGCCAGAAGGCAGCTAATCAGGATGACTGCTCGTTCCCCTGTGCCGGTAACGACAAGGAATTCTGCGGCGCTGGATCCAGGCTCGAGCTGTACAAGATTCATTCCAACTTCACGACCTCTTCTGCGCCGTCCAGCACGGCGACAAGTCCTGTCGAAACCACCACGTCGCAGCCTTCAGCATCGCCCACACCTACGGGGCCCGTCATCTGGCAGGGCAACGAGAATTTTACCTACTACGGGTGCCTGTCGGAGCCTTCAGCGGGCAAGCTGATGGACAACCAGGTCTACAACAACGACACCGCCATGACGCCCCAGGTGTGCTTGTCTCACTGCGTAGAGTACAAGTACGCCGGCGTTGAGTATGGCCAGGAGTGCTGGTGCGGCGATTCGGTGGATCTTGCCGGCTGGGAGGATGCCGTGCCGGGCAGGAACGTGACGAGTTCCGAGTGCAATGTTGTGTGTCCTGGGAATTCCACGGAGTATTGTGGTGCTGGGAATAGGTTGCAGCTGTATGTCAAGAAGTCGGCTTTGCTGATTCGGTAGGTGGTGGTTATAAGGGCAATTTAGGTATATAAAAGGGGTGAGGCATTTGGTTATGGAATAGTAGCTTTTAATATGGGCAATATTGGGCGGATGGATCTGATAGAGTCGATAGAAACGATCATTGTAACATTGATGCATTGTATGATTGAAGAGAGCTGCTCGTCATGAGATTCCTTTTCCTATAATACCGGTATCTCTCAGTCACAACCATGGCATCAGTGAGCTTTCCTCTTGGTCAGCCTCATATGGCTTCCTCCAGATGGCTGACACTCTTCCTCCGTCAGAGCACATCACGATTCGCCCCAGCATCTCCCTCATACATCGAAAGTCAAAAGACTTCCATCACTCCACCTTGTTCCCATCCAGAAAGATTTCCACCTTTTCATTATAAAACGAAATCAACCCCGCAATCGCCGCGCTCTCATGCAGCGTGGCCCGATACCACCACACATAATCCTTGTACTCCTGCCCGTCCAGCACGACGTCGTAGTACTCGGCCGTGCCCTTGTACGGACAGTACGTCGTCGTGGTGCTCGGGCGCAGGATGGCCGGGTCGACGACGGAGGCGAGCGGCAGGTAGTAGCGGACGCGGAGGCTGGTCTCGTGGAGGTGCTGCGCGTAGGAGGACCTGGCGACGGTCTTGCCGGCGATGCGGACCTCGATGGGGCGCGTGGAGGGGAGGATGTCGATGCGCTTGAAGGGGTCTTTTGGGTGCCCGAAGATGGGGAGGTCTTCTTCCAGCCAGGAGTCTTTGGTTGGCGTCAGTACATGTAGTCTATTTTGAAGGAGGAGGTTATGTAGAATAGAGGGGGGGGGGAAGAGAACTGAACTGACCCATTGCTGTGAACTGAAGCTTCACGAGGCCAGCCAACGGGCCCCAACTGCTGTCATCGCCATCGAATCGAATCACGTCCGTTGACTTGGCGTCGACGCCGGGCTTTTCCGCGACGGTGAGCGTGGCGAGGGCATCGTTTGTTGTGAGGGAGGCGTTTTGGATCTCGGCGGCGGGGATGTAGTGCCAGGGGTACCACTCGTGCTCCCAGACGAGGACGGCGCGGGTGGTGTCGACGATGAGGGTCTTGTTGAAGATGACGCGGATGCGGCGGGGGGAGGGCAAGGTTTTGTAGGGGCCGTGGTCGCGGAGGCGGGTGAGGAGGTCGGAGAGGCTGTCATGCGTTTAGTTGGTGATGAGACGAGGTGCGGGCGATGTGTGGTGGTGAGGGATGAGATTAGAGTGTGAGGTGAGGTGAGGTGTGAGATGAAGTTCCAAGAAGGTGAATGAAACGGTAGTACCTATGATTCAAGGGCAGGCGATGCGGGTAAAGACGATCAGCGTTTCCAGAAGCCATTGTGATATCAGAAGGTGGTGTTTAGTGGTACAATATGAAGTATCTGGTATATGGAATGATTCAAGATCTGGAAGTAGATGCAAATATCGAAGAATCACAGACGCGTTGCAAAGAAAAAGAGCAGAACCTCGCGTTGGTTTAAAAGCAAGACAACCCAAGCGTTCACACATCTTGTCATCTGGGTTTGTCATTCTGCCACAATTCGAGCATCAAAGTGCGAAACCCCGCAAGCTCGCTATACGGAGGCGCATGACGCAATGTAATTACTGGTAGGCGGACGTGATTTGGAAGCAGAATTGGAATTGGATATAGCCTCAATAACTGCATTGTCTATACAAGCATGAGAGCTTGTACTGTATAGCTTTCTATGCAAGGTAGTATGGGCTTTGGTTTGGTTGTGTCTTTGCTGAAGGATCGACTCGTTTGGATGGGAGGAAAGAGTTGAAGAACTTGCTGGATGGTAACGAGGTCAGTTATGCTGCCAACATGAAGAAGAAAGCCTCGTTGATACAAGCCTCATGGATGAGATATACTGAAATGAAGTCATGCTAACTAGAGTTGACCCGTCAATGAAATGCACTGAGCTCTGCCCTGATCCCTTGTCGCGACAATGCCGCAGACGGTGGGCACGACTCGAGAAATCTCCGACAGTGGCTACAAGCTCAGCTCTCTTTTGACCAGATCTGGGAAATGCCCTGCAGCTGTGCAGCGCCATCTACTGAGCTGCTGACTGACATTTGGAATCAATGCGTCTGCGTCGCAAATCGTTCAGATTCCAGGCTGTCTTGACGCAGAAATGCTTATAAAGTCGGGATTGGAAATCTCCGGATGCCGCAATCTCAGTTGTCCTCCTCTTGTCTTGTTCAGCTGTTCAGATCAAAGCTGCAGTTTCCACCTCTTCGGCACAAGGGAACAACAACAGACTGAAAGCCACGGCTCTTCCATTGATTCTCCTGCAAGAAAAGAAACACAACGACAGCATCAGCCACACACACACACACACAATTCCCCCGCTAAGCCGAGGCAGCTTCCACCTGGGCCGAAGCCACCCGCGCGCCCTTCTCGAGATTCTCTCCCCCCTGCCGAGGATCGCATCTCTCCAACAGAGAGACACAGAATAAGCGCGGCTAGAGAATTTGATGAAATCGTGTTACGCATCCAAATGACAACAGCCGGCAGATTGTGCTATGCCTATTCCGCCGAGATGGAGCTCAACAAATGGCGGGCGATCCGCCAATGCGGAGATCTGAAAAGGTCAGCCGAAGCAGGGCACTGGATCTTGGGTTTGTTGACGATGGCCTGGCTAATACAAGTACAGCTACAGTGGCGATCATACTGTCTGCTACAGGGCAATGTGAGCGGCGTTACGGCTGTTACCGTTGCTTTATGCGGCATCTGACGCATACTACCTATACATAAGGTACAGTATGGGCGAGAACCGTGGGGTCGTCGAGGTCCGCAACTCGGCAGTCTGAATCACTCGACCCCAAGAAGTCTCCATTCGCCCATCAGCTACTACTAGTTCGCTCTGAGCTCTTGTCTGTCTCAGTGGTTTGCCTTCTGAACTTGCACACAATCAGACTCAACACAGCAACAATGAGGCCTTCCACAAGACTGAGAGCCGGGCGACTGGCCCAGTCCCTCTCGCGACCCCTTCGCCAGTCCCCCGCCGTCGTCCGAATCAACAGCCGCGCTCACAGCACCGCCGTCGACTCGCCCGTCAGCTATGCAGCTGCCCCTCCCCCTCCCCCGCAGCAGCAGAGGTCGGGCCTGGATGGCAAGAAGCTGATGGCCGAGGCTGTGGCCGCGACGAAGCCGCGCAACAACTGGACCAGGGAGGAGATTGCCGCCATCTACTACCAGCCTCTGCTGGAGCTAACCTACCAGTCGGTATGTCTCACAAGAGAGTGTCGAACAAGTCGAATTCGAAGGCTGACGTTTGCTGTCCATCGATAGGGCTCCCTGCACCGCCGCTTCCACGCCCCTGGCGAGGTCCAGCTATGCACCCTCATGAACATCAAGACGGGCGGCTGCTCCGAGGACTGCTCGTACTGCGCCCAGTCCTCGCGCTACTCCAAGGACACGGGCCTCGAGGCCAAGAAGATGGAGTCGGTCGAGTCCGTGCTGGAAGCCGCCCGGCAGGCCGCCGCCAACGGCAGCACGCGCTTCTGCATGGGCGCCGCCTGGCGCGACATGCGCGGCCGCAAGTCGGGCCTCAAGAACATTGTCGAGATGATCAAGGGCGTCAAGGCGCTGGGCATGGAGGCGTGCGTGACGCTGGGCATGATTGACGCCGAGCAGGCGCGCCAGCTCAAGGACGCCGGCCTGACGGCGTACAACCACAACGTCGACACCAGCCGCGAGTTCTACCCGTCCGTCATCTCGACCCGCTCGTACGACGAGCGCCTGGCGACGCTGGGGCACGTCCGCGACGCGGGCATCAACGTCTGCTCAGGGGGCATCCTCGGCCTGGGCGAGTCCTCCGAGGACCGCGTCGGGCTGCTGCACACCGTCTCGACGCTGCCCAAGCACCCGGAGAGCTTCCCCGTCAACGCCCTGGTCCCCATCAAGGGCACGCCGCTGGGCGACCGCGAGCCCATCGCCTTCACCAGCATGCTGCGCACCATCGCCACGGCGCGCCTGCTGATGCCGGCCACCATCATCCGCATCGCCGCGGGCCGCAAGACCATGTCGGAGGAGAAGCAGGCGCTGTGCTTCATGGCGGGCGCCAACGCCATCTTTACCGGCGAGAAGATGCTGACGACGGAGTGCAACGGCTGGGACGAGGACAGTGCCATGTTTGGCCGATGGGGGCTGGAGCCGATGAAGAGCTTTGGCAAGAAGCCTGCGGAGGTTTGAGGATTTTTTCATAGAAACTACACAAAAGAGCGTTTGATATATATACATTATTTATGACAAGAAGCAAGCTTTGAATAAGGTACAAAAGGGGGCCAGGAAAAGATGGCACCACAGGATCGGTGATGGACACCATGAACACAAATATGAGCTAATCGCATGAATATATATATGTCTTTGATTATGTATTACAGCTTACTCCTGGAAGCATTGGCTACCCATTCTTCCACCGCTCTACACAGTCCCTCCACCTCCTCCACGCTATTCCCAGCATGCAAACACACCCTCACCCGATCCTGCCCCATCGGCACCGTAGGCGCCACAATCGGCCTCACCGTGAACCCCCTCTCCTGGCAATACTGCGCCAGACTCCGCGCTCTGCTCGTAAACAGCGGCAGAATGGGCGACTGCGGCACCTCGGGGTTGATGCGGAAGAGTTCTGGCGAGGGAGCGTGTCGAACGATGATGTCTGCGAGAAGGCTATGCATGTGATGGATAAGGGAGTAGAGTTGTGCGATGAGAGGGTCGGCGTGGCTGCTGCTGGCGAGGAAGTTGTATGTTGTGTGGATGCTTGCGAGGGAGGGGAAGGACATTGCCGTTGTGTAGATGAAGCTGCGGGCGTAGTTGATGAGGTAGTTTCTTGCGGTTGGTGAGCTGAGGACGATGGCTGTTTGTTCCATCAATCAGTCAGCAACAGTTGATACCAGAGCAATGTCAACGTAAAAGAGGCATGATGCAGAGAGAGATGGAAAAGAAGGGAGGGGGGGACGCACCACCGGAACATCCCATGGCTTTCCCAAACGTATGCACCCGCGCCCATATCCTGTCCTCCAGTCCCAGCTGACAGACGAGCCCTCTTCCCTGGGGACCGAGGATGCCTGTCGAATGCGCCTCGTCGACGATGATGTAGCCGTTGCCCTGGGGGAGTCTCCTTTCGACGCATTCGACGATTTGTCTCAGGGGGGCGGCGTCGCCGTCCATGCTGTAGATGCCTTCGACGGCGACGAAGATGTTTGTCTTGCCGCTTCTTACGGCGTCTCCTTGTGGACCTCTTGTGAGACTTTGCAACAGAGCGTCCAAGCTTGGGTATTTGCTGCCTTGCCCCTGCTGTGAGGCTGAGGACGCAGCAGCAGCATCGTATACTTGATTGTGCGCAAAGGCAAGTCTCTGCGCCCTGCTCAACCTCATCCCATCATGAACACTCGCATGAATCAACTCATCGTACACAATCACATCCCCCTTCTGCGGCACACAAGCAAACAGCCCCGTATTCGCCTCAAACCCAGAATTGAACAGCAGTCCCGCCTCCGCGCCATGAAAGCCTGCGATTTGCCGTTCCAGGGCTTCTGCGAAGGACGAGTTCCCGTCCAGCAGGCGGGAGCCTCCTGAGCCGAGAGTGTGATGACCCGGTTGTTGCTGGGGGGGGCTGTCTGATGGTTGGAGGTGGGACGTGAGGAGGGAGAGGTAGGCCGCCTTGACGGAAGGGTGGGAGGACAGGGAGAGGTAGCTGTTGGAGGAGAAGTCGATGGCGCTTGGGGAGGGGATGGTGAGGCGGCGGAGGCGGCCTTGGGAGAGGCGGGAGGAGAGGATGTGGGAGAGTGTGTTGTCGAGGTTTGTGGGAGGCATTGGGATTGCTTGCGATTGAATTGGCTCAATTGGAGTTGTCAGTATAGCCGGTATAGCCAGTATAGCTTCATCGGTCGTCTGCCGTAGAATCTTCACATGCAGGCAGATCACCGCATGAGTATGGCTTCAGTCAGGGTTCGGCCTGTATCGGCGACCAGTGCACAACTCACAGCAACTTCATCACATGCCGGTTATCAGCTAAACCGACTACATACTAGATCTACTACCCACTTCAAACTGTCATCGCGTCTTAGCTACCTTAGACGTTGCTCGCCCACACTTCCAAGGAAACGGTTCAACTAGTACTGTAAAGCCCACTGTATCCCGGTTTAGGGCAAAACGCAACCGAGGCCGTCCGCGGACATGCGAAAGAATGTTGAACCAAGCAGTGGCTAATGAACCAAGCCCGTCCCCTGATTTGTTGATGAGGCATTTCGATTCCTCCAGATCCCCCGGTAAGCCGTGACCATAGTGCTGGTACTGTACATAGAAACTTGCTTGTCAATGGAGCTGGGTATACCAAAACTCCACTTGGGATGGATGAACGGAGATCGGCAGGGAACACCCCAACAAAAGACAAAGCAGATTCGTGAGATCAGAGGCCCAGAACGGATCTTGCAAAGACGGCTGTATATACCATCGTATGTACTTCACTGCTTTGCCGCTATTACCCTTTTGAGAAGCACATCCCACACGTTCCTGTTCCTTGTTTCGGCCCCCAAAAGGCTTCAACGTTTCTCTGAGCCGAGCCGCCGAAGCCAACACGACAGACACATCTTCTTCATAACAACCTTCACCCAGTCGTTCAGTTTTTGTTCACACTCCAGCAAATCAAGACTGGGTTGGTTTCTTTGTTTCTCCCAAGCAAATGCCGCAGCCACCGCCGCCGCTCGCAGCGCCGCTCTGGCGCTCCCTGCGGACGTACCAAATCTTCGGCGCCAACACCGAGGTCGGCAAGACGGTCTTCTCGACGCTGCTGGCCAAGGCGGCGGCCAGACGGAGTGCCCCCGGCGGCGTGGCGTTTCTGAAGCCCGTTTCGACGGGGCCGGACAGTGAAGCTGATGATCGGTGTATGTAGGTCTTTGTTTTTGATAAGAGAGTGCAAGTTTTGAATTTTGCGTAGAACGGTGTTGACGTATGAGTAGATGAAAGATATAAGCCCCATGCTTGAGGTTTGATAGAACGTTGCGTTGACCATGGCATCGCCCCGTGTAGTCACATCACCAAATTCGCTCCGGACGTCTCCAACAAGACTCTGTTCCAGTATAAAATCCCCGTCAGCCCACACATTGCAGCTCGCCTCTCCAATGCAGTAAGTCATCAATCTCACGCATCTTCATTCTCACATTCCTCGGTTTACACTCGAGCCTCCCCGTCTTACAACCCCATGCTGCTAGACAATCCCCTCCAACGAGGCCCTCCTCTTCCAGACCCGCGACTACGCAGCCCAATGCGCAAACATAGGCCGGAAATGGCTGTTTGTGGAAACCGCCGGCGGCGTGCACTCGCCCGGTCCCTCGGGCACGACGCAGGCCGACATGTACGCGCCCCTGCGGCTGCCGGTTGTGCTGGTGGGCGATTCGCGGCTGGGAGGCATCTCGTCGACGATATCGGCGTTTGAGTCGCTTCGCATGAGGGGCTACGATGTTGAGTCGGTGGTGTTGTTCAAGGAGGACAGGTATCAGAACTATGAGTACCTGTTGGAATACTTCGCGGAGCATCATGATGTGCCCGTCGCGGGCGTGGTCGAGCCGCCGGGGAGAAAGTCGAGTCTGGAGGAGGACGTTGGAGCAATGGCGCAGTATTACGAAGAGCAGTCGCAGCACAAGGACACGAGCGGCGTCATTTCTCACCTGGACGACCGTCACGAGCGACGGATTGCGCGACTCAACTCCATGGCCGCCGACGCACTGCAGAACATTTGGTATCCCTTTACGCAGCAGAGCCTTCTCTCTCCCAAGGACATCAATGTCATCGATTCCGCCCACGGCGACCACTTTCAGACATTGTCGCCTTGCTCCACAACATCACAACCGGACAGCCTCCTCCGGGCGTCGTTCGACGGCTCTGCCTCATGGTGGACGCAGGGCCTCGGCCACGCCAACCCCAAGCTGACCCTCGCTGCCGCCTACGCCGCCGGCCGCTACGGCCACGTCATGTTCGCCAGCGGCATCCATCGTCCCGCGGCGGAACTATCCACCACTCTGCTCAAGGGCATGGACAACCCCCGACTCAGCCGCGTCTTCTTCTCCGACAACGGCAGCACCGGCATCGAGGTCGCTCTCAAGATGGGTCTCCGGGCGGCGAAACTCCGATACGGATGGGCTGCGGAGGAGAAGCTCGGCGTCGTTGGCCTCAGGGGGTCATATCACGGCGACACCATTGGCGCCATGGACTGCTCGGAGCCGAGCGGGTATAACGAAAAGGTCGAGTGGTATGACGGCAAGGGGCATTGGTTCGACTATCCGACTGTCTTGTGTGTCGACGGCAAGTGGCGTGTCAATGTTCCCCAGGAGCTGAGGGAGGCTCTGGGCGAGGATGCGGATTTCGGGTCGCTGTCGGACATTTTTGACGTCCAGGGGAGGGAGCAGAAGGGCCATCATCTTCGCTACGAGGCCTTTATTCGAGAGACGCTGGAGAGGCTCCAGAAGCAGGGCCGCAGGTTTGGCTCCGTCATCATCGAGCCGGTTGTTCTCGGTGCTGGCGGCATGGCCTTGGTGTAAGCATTGTATCATCTCAAACCAACGTGACATGTGAAAAGTTTGCTAACGAGCTTCCAGAGACCCCCTCTTCCAGCGCGCCCTCGTCAACGTCGTGCGCAAATCGCCAGACCTCTTCCGCAAGCCAAACGCATCCTTCGAGTCCCCCAGCAGCCCTACCGCATGGACGGGTCTGCCCATCATCTTCGACGAGGTCTTCACGGGTCTCTACCGTCTCGGCCGCTTCTCGTCGTCTTCTTTCCTCGAGACGCATGCCGACGTCTCCGTCCACGCGAAGCTTCTCACGGGAGGCCTCGTTCCGCTTTGCACGACGCTTGCTTCGGAGAACATCTTCGAGGCGTTTAGCTCCCAGGACAAGACGGATGCGCTGCTGCACGGGCACAGCTACACGGCCCATCCCGTAGGCTGCCAGGTTGCCCTGGAGTCACTCAAGGAGATGCAAAAGATGGACCGCGGCGGATCCTGGAGCTGGGCCAAGTCGCAGGGCTGGACGACCCCTGGCACGCCTGTCGTCGGTGAACAGCCCGCCGCTGATGTCTGGTCGACCTGGCCTCGGGATTTGGTAGAGGACCTCTCTCGCCAAACTGAACGCGTGTCCGGCATCTGGGCCCTCGGCAGTGTTCTCGCCATCCACTTGAAGGACGCATCTGGCACGGGATACTTTAGCGATGCGGCGCAGAGTGTTCGAGATGGGCTGATTGCGGGCGATAGGGAGGGTGTCAATGGGCCGTGGAACGTGCATTGCAGGGTTCTTGGGAATGTGCTGTATCTGATGGCGGGACAGAAGACGACGGAGGAGAGTATTGCGCGGATCGGGTCGTTGCTGCGAGAGAGGTTGAAGGAGTGAGGTTTGGGGGGTGTAAGTGTTCAGATGTGGTTTAGTATCAAAGAGAGGAGCGATAACAGAACAAAGATGATAAACAAAGAGATATAGGTAATGAACAAGAAACACGATGTATTACTCTTTTATCTACTTACAATGCTGTCAACCTTCTATAATGGAGTAACTACGCTGCCTTTCTTTAAGAGCTCCTGTTCTCGAAGCTCCCAGTCCAATGCTGGAAACTTCCGAAAAAGGCTTCACGGTTCAAACATCGTTGGTCCCTTGGTAGCATTGTATTTTTTTATTTTCTTTGTCCCATTTCAGCCTTGTGCAACTGGAACATATCCTTGTCCTCAAATTGTATATTGACCATCTTGAACTTCAGATTGCTCTTACAATCCCTGCTTCCAACGCCAAGATTACTTGTCCATATCCCGTTCACGCACCGTTCACGCAGTGAATCCTCGACAACATACGCACATCATAACGTAGATGAAAGCCAGCGATGTCTTTGATGTCCAGCGACTCAGGGCAATTCACTTCAGCGGATCGACACGCTGTTCAGTAACTCCGGATGAGAACGCGTCGATTGGCACGACCAGCAGGTGGCAGCTGGCCAGCAGTCGAGTTCACTTTTTTTCTTCCGATACAAAACCCTGGATCTCCCACCTGGATTTATCTTTCCTCAGGTTTTCCTTCTTTCTTGTTTTGATTCTTCACCATCTATCTCCATCTTCAACTTTGCACATCGCGAGTAGCAGCAACAACAGCACCAACAGCATCAACAGCAGCAGCCACAGAAGCAACAGCAGAAGCAGTAGCAGCAAAGCCCTTGCAGCATATTCTTTGTCAAGGAGAATCTCAAGAGTAAGTCTTTCATCTCCCGGAATCTTCTCAAGTCTCATCTTCATCGGCCCTCGAGCAACACTTCACTTAAAGTGTCCTCCCCAGCCATCACGGGGAAGGAGAAGCAGTCCCTCGGCTGCTGTGTCAAACCTCAGTCAATCGTCAGATCTCCGCTGTCAGTTCTGCCATGCGGCCCTGAAGCAACCTGTATTGAAATTACCTGCCAAGTCGTCCTTGGTCAAGGGTCCCAACCATCTCGTACAATTGTTCCACAATCATCGTCCTGGGTAGCAATACGTCTGGACATGCACAGAAGCTGACCTACTCAAGACACAAACAGGAATTACATTTACGATATGACGTCCCAATCCTGGTTCCGGCAAGACCTTGTTAATGAAATCAATGAAATGCAAGACTTGCAGGACGAGCTGCAAGAGAGGCTGTGAGTAAACATGGCCGCCACGTTCTGGGACTGGTACCTGACTCCGAGAAAGACGCAGCATTCTTCTGACCGAGGCAGAAAGCGGAAAAATCCTCGCAAAGGTGGCCGGTTCCTCTTCCGAATTCAGGCCCACCAGCTCGGGCGGGAAGACGTCGAGCGACGATGAGCTGGAGCAAGCCTCTCCCTTGCAACAGTATATTCATCGCACGCTTCATGATACGCATCGCCCTCCACCTGCTGATTGGCAGCCCGATGGCGAGACCGATAGCGGTGACGATGCCGACGACGAGGAAAGTTGGTCTTCTGAGTTGGCCGAACATTTAGGATGGGTCTATGAAGAAGAGCCCTTTGGAGACCTCGCCGAAGAATCGGACTGGGAGGACGAGGAGACTGATGCCGGGATGCAAGACATCCAGACGGCCCTGGAGTATCTACGTGGTGTTTTGGCTGCAGCCCAGAACCAGAAGCCTTCTCCAACAAAAGATGCTGCTGACAAGAACAATGATGAGAAGAGCGTCCATGCCAAAGACAGCGAAATGGACGAGGAGGACGACTTTGTCATTCTCAGTGGTGAGGAAGAGGACGACGAAATTCAGGATATAACCGAGTCCTGCCTTGAAGTCATCAACCACCTCGACTATATCAAGTTTCCGAGTGTCGATGTCGTGGACTTTCTTCGTCGAGGAGAACTGGAAGTCTTGCTCGCCGACGACAACGACGTCAACGTCAACGGCAGCGGCGGGACATCTTGCTCCGCTCCTGTGCGATCAAAGTGGCAGCTTCTCTATGAGAAATTCTGCGGCCAGGACAGCAAAGGCAAAGTCTTCAAGGAGGCCGACCTGGAGAAATGGAGACATGAAGTTGGCCAAGCATGCGGAGACTTGATCAAAGACGTGAGTCGGCGTCTCCACCAGCTAAAGAACCCCGGTTGCTAGAGTCGGCAAGAGATGCAGTATAGGGGAGGGATTGTTCTTTGTGTGCGCTTTACAGCTTCGTGGTTTAGGAACTTCGGAATCGGTTGATGAGATACCCAATGGTTGTTGTTGCGCAGATTCCCTGTTTGTTTTCTTGAGGAGTACCTACATTGACTACGCTGAGAAAGCCTGTTGTGACGCAAATATTGACTCGTGAGGAGGGGTTTGTGTGGTTGATGAGACGTCTCTGCAGCATCGCCACCTCTCTGTACGGCTGCGACGGCCATTGAAGACTTTGACGGACGGTCAGCGGTATTTCTTTTGCAAATGTGTTTTCACACGAGATAATTTGTGATCGATCTGTGCGATTATACGAGTATATGTAGACTGTTCTAGCTCTCCAGTCCTAGGAACACTGCAAGCCTGTCAGCACGGCGCGATACGCGTCTGACGACTGGGTATAGCTTCAGGCTCTCCCACGCTTCTTCCCTATCCCATATAGGGCTACAAATTCCAAACACAAAAGGTTCGCCGTCCCGCAAAGGGTGGCCCCAGGTAAGCCAGCGGCGCCGAGGTACCGTCCGACGCAGCCAATCAGCCGCAGCCCGTATCCAATTCCTGCTTCCCGCTCTTCCTTACCGAAGTCCCCTCTGGTGTCCCTCCATCCCTAAACAGAACCCACCCCACGACGGAGCCGGGCGGAGACCAGCAGAACAAGCAGAGGTCAACCCTCCATTGAATGAGAGACGGACAGAGATTAAGCAGCAATAGCCTTGACAGACGGGGACAGCATCGCTTTGCCGAAACTGATGCCGCAGCCCATCTTCCTCGGAGCCTCGGAGCCGTCCTGGCCCCAGCTTTTTGCCCCCCTTCCCCAGCCCGGCAGATGGGTGGGAAATGACGGTCTACAATACTAAGAAACACAACACCAGAGACGAGACCTGATTCCATGCCCAAGGGGGTCGGACGGGGAGGGCGGCGGAAGCTAGAAGCCGCTACTTGCTACCGATTTGACCCATGGCGTCTGGGGCGACGATTGCGGGGTTTGAGGCTAGGGATTGTAGTAGTATTGTGATGCTGTTGGCTGTTGTTGATGGAGGGGAGCTGTTCGGACGGCTGGATATATATATATATACTAGACGGTGATGCTCGGTCTGCTTGGCGTGGTGATGTTGCAGCCTGGTTGATATCATACCAAGCTGGAAGCGGAGTTGCGTTGTTCTTCCTTATCAGTCCCTTCTTCCCGTCTCTTTACAACCAAACCTTGTTCTCCATCCCATCAAGGACCACCGTGATTCCATTCGCAGCATAAGCCCTGCCGCCAACTGTTTGGTCAGCGGCGTTGAAGACGGCCGGAAAAAGAGGAGACTGAGTGGGCTTAGTCTGCATCTGCATCGGCATCTGAAATCTGCATCTCGAAAGCTTGATAAGCTTCACTTTCCCCCCCTTTGCTTCTCCTTTCCCCAGCATCCGTCTGCTCGCCACATTCTTTACATGCTTTAGAGAACCAAAAGCAACAGAACAGCGGTCGAATGGCGCTGATCGAATACGTCTGGTCGCCCTGGGCGATTGTCGCCCTCGCCGGCGCGCTGCTCGCCTCGTATCTGTACCAGTACTTGGTCACCTACGGCTCGCTGCGCCGCTTCCCTGCTCCCTTTCCCGCGCAGTTTTCGAACCTGTGGCTGCTGTCCGTCTGCCGGCGCGGCAATCGCTACGAGATGGTGGACAAGCTGCACAAGAAGCTGGGCAAGTTTGTGCGCATCCAGCCGAACCACATCTCCATTGCCGACGACGAGGCCATCAACCTCGTCTACGGCCACTCCAATGGGTTCCTGAAGTCGTACGTATAAGCTCACTTTACCTCCAGACCGATATGGTCTCGTCTACTAGATGCTAACTTGGAGCAAAGCGAATTCTACGATGCCTTCGTCTCCATCCGCCGCGGGCTCTTCAACACGCGCGACCGCGCCGAGCACACGCGCAAGCGCAAGATGGTCTCGCACACCTTTTCCGCCAAGAACATCACCCAGTTTGAGCCCTACATCCACGCCAACCTCGAGCTCTTCGTCCAGCAGCTGGACCGCCTCGTCGACACCAGCCCGCACACGGACGAAAAGGGCCGCAAGGAGGCGCACTTCGACTGTCTCCCCTGGTTCAACTACCTCGCCTTCGACGTCATTGGCGATCTCGCCTTCGGCGCCCCCTTTGGCATGCTCGAAAAGGGCGTCGACCTCGCCGAGGTGCGCGATGCCCCCGACAGCCCGCCCATCTACGCGCCCGCCATTGAGATCCTCAACCGCCGCGGCGAGGTGAGCGCCACGCTGGGCTGCTTCCCTGCGATCAAGCCCTACGCCAAGTATCTGCCGGATCCCTTCTACAGCAACGGCCTCGCCGCCGTGCAGAACCTTGCCGGCATCGCCATTGCCTGCGTGAAGCGACGGATCGACAACCCGCCCGAGATTGAGCGCAAGGACCTCCTCGCCCGGCTGATGGAGGGCCGTGACGAAAAGGGCCAGCCGCTGGGCCGAGAGGAGCTGACGGCAGAGGCCCTGACGCAGCTCATTGCCGGCAGCGACACGACGTCCAACTCGTCCTGCGCGCTGCTCAACTACGTTGCCCGCACGCCCGGCGTCCTCGAGAAGATGCAGGCCGAGCTGGACGCCGCCATCCCGAAGGACGTCGACGTCCCCACGTACGACATGGTCCGCGACCTGCCCTACCTCGCCGCCGTCATCAACGAGACGCTCCGCCACCACTCGACCTCGGGCATCGGCCTCCCGCGCCAAGTCCCGCCCGACTCGCCCGGCGTCACCATCTGCGGCGAGTTCTTCGCCGCCGGCACCGTCCTCAGCGTGCCCACCTACACGATCCACCACTCCACCGACATCTGGGGCCCCGACGCCGAGGAGTTCAAGCCGGAGCGCTGGCTCAGCGTGACGCAGCGGCAGAAGGACGCCTTCATCCCGTTCAGCCACGGGCCGAGGGCGTGCGTGGGACGGAACGTGGCGGAGATGGAGATGAAGCTGATTGCGGCGACGTGGGCGAGGCGGTACGGCGCAAAGGTGCTGCAGGGGCCGATGCTGACGAGGGAGGGCTTTTTGAGGAAGCCGTTGGGGTTGGACATTGCCTTGTACAAGAGGTGATTGAAGACGGGGTGTTGGATGTACGAACTGAATGATTGTGTGGTTAAGGACAAGCGCATTGGCCATGTCATAAAATGTAGATATGTTCAGAGCTTTGTAGGAAAATTCAACTCAATATCCTCGACAGTTGCTTCTTCCATCATGATGTCCTGTAAATCCAACATAAAAGCGGCTTATCCGTCTCTCTATCCGGACAATCACCACATCCACACAGTTTACTCCCCTATTTCCAAATTCTCCTGTGACAAAGTCCCATACAGAATCAACAAACATCCAGAATGTCTGAACCCCCCTTCGCAGCGGCGGAGAAGCAACATTCAGCACAACCAATATTCGTTGATACCTTTATATAGGCCGTTTGTGCAACATTGAAGCATCAAATCAAGTGGATCCACGATCCAGGTCCTCTGTGGCGCAATTGGCTAGCGCGTCTGACTGTTAATCAGGAGGTTGGAAGTTCGAGCCTTCCCGGAGGAGCTCAAATGAAGCTTGCTTTTTTGCTTTTGCTATCATCTCTGACTTTTTTCTTCTTTTGGTGTATCGTGGAAGAAACTCAACGAGGCAGTGGTGTTGAACCAATCGATGTGAGTTTGTACTGTTTTGTCTTGCCCGCAGTTTGTCGACAGTTGGAACACGTACCTTTGAACACCACCTCTCTACAACCGAACTGTCTTGTAGGGAATCCGTTTGCTGTTGAACCGTCAGGACCGCTACGCGCGAACAAGTCAAGATACCATTCAATCTCGCAAAGACCAAGCTGTTCCAGCTTAGTCCGGCAATCTAGGGCTCATTTCTTGGGGACCAACTTGCTTGATTTTCTATCTAGGATTAGGAGTATCTTCCTTCTTATACACTACAGCCATCCGGTCTTGATTAGTCAGCCTTATCGCGCCCTTATCCGTCACCCAGCCTAAGGCCCGTGTGCTTCTCACCACAAAGCAGTTCCTGAAGAAGCGAAAACTTTAATGCAAATAGCTCCAATGAGGCATGATCGAACTTGTCATATTCAAACCGGCCGCCGCCAACGACGGACTTGAGACAGTTGGAGTCGTATGCAATATATTGCTCAAGGCAGAGATTATTCGCGTGCGCCGCGAATGAATGCGGCGTCTTTTAGGCTGCGTCGGAGGGCTCCAGGCACATTGTAGGTGCGTGCGTTAGTAGTTCGCAATGCTCGATGGGCGATGAGAAATCAGTATCTGTCTATGTAGACAAATCCGATAATCGCAAAGTGGCAGGGCATGCTTCAGATTGCGTAAAACTATTTCAATTATAAAGGAATGCCTCGAAACTGCTTTTTTTGATAATAATCGTACCCTTCGTTCCCCGTCAAACGCTGTTACCAGCATTCCCTATTGTAGGGTAAGTCATCACCACTGCAGCACTTCGCCCATTGGCTTGACCACACCAGCAATCACTGCCAACAACCAACAAAAAAAAGGGCCTTTTAACCGAGTGTCATTGGAATTTTATTCCAAACTATGAGGGCTTCTTCGTATCCGATCAAGGCAGTTTGTTGAAGACGCCGGTTGAGCGGGTACGACATACTCGGCTTACGAACATGCATCCGACTTACACACTGAATTTGGACACTCTGGGAGATGTCGTCTCCAGCTTCATGACCACTTCTGCATGTCCTCCTTGCATTGAAAAAGGCACTCTAGCCGAGTAAGACTAGATTTCCATAGAAAACATCTCCCTGTCGAGTCAAGACACGAGGTACACTGGCCGTTTCACATGCTGCCGACTCGCACCGCCTTTGGCTTACAACATCTTCGACGCTGGCAGATCTCACCTCCAGCTTCAAAAAGCAACCATCATCATCCACAAACATCAAAAAAGGCACTTTGGCCGAGTGGTCTAAGGCGCCGTGTTCAGGAATAGCTCACACTGTGAGCGCAATCCCTCTTCGCGGTCTAGAAATAGGCGAGGGTTCGAATCCCTCAGGTGTCATCTTTTTGCTGCGTCCGTCGGTGGGATGTGGAGGTGGAAACTAGTTTTTTACTACTACGAGGTGGACCTCTTTTTGACGTGTGGGTTGATGGGGACTGTGTGAGAAGGGCGTTTCCATGGTGCACTGGAGTCGAGGTGGGTGTGAGGCGCTTCATTGGTCTGGAGCGTAAAAGATCGGTTTCTATGATAGTAGTAGTAGTAGTAATATCCTGTGAGATGAGATTGCTACCTTTTCAAACGCTCTCGCAATACACAGTTCAACCGGAGTCTTCAATCGACCAACCCTTCGATTCAACAGCAGTATCGTATCAGTCTAGGCCTCGCTCAAAATCTTCTCCCAGTCAAACTTCTTAAAGTAGTTGTACACAGTATCAAGCTTCCCAAGAGTCGCCAACTAACCCGCCCACCGTCAGCATCATTGCACGTTATTCACAAGTCCACACATACCATGGAAGCACACTCACATCTCTCGGGTGAATGACCGTAGGGTCATCCCTCCCCTCGTACCCAAACTCGTTCCAATACGCAAAGTTGTCGTCCAGCTCCAGCTTGAGCTCCGGCGGCGACTCAACCTTAGACTTGCCCTTGGGCAACTGCACAGCCTCGGCCGGAATGCCCGTCGCCTGGCTGAAGATGGCCGCCATCTCGCGGTGGGTGAGCCACTCCCTGTATCCGATGACGTTCTTGCCCGCCGGCTCGTCCACCAGGGCCTTTACAAAGGGCCCCGAGTCTTCTTCGGCTGCGATGAAGGGGAACTTGACGTCGATGTCAATGTTGCCAATAAACTGCGCAATCCCATCCTTGTTCTGTGAAGAAATCCAGTCAGCACATCAACATCGATTGGTGTACAGGTGCTCCATACCTTGACGGGCCGCATGATGGGATTCCCGACAAAGTTGCTCAGAAACAAGCCCGCCTGGTAAACGCTCGTCTTGGCCCACAGCTCAGGATACGTCTCCTTGATGTACTCCTCCGCCCTCGCCTTGGAATCGAAATGGTACACGTGGGTATACTTCCCCTTGGACCACTTGGTCGCATTCGACAAGCCCGAAAGCACAAACCTCTCCAGCGAGTCCACCCGCGCCGCCGCAGCGTCAATCACATTCTTCAGCTGCTGCACCTCGTGCTCCGCGGCCCACACGTTGAGCGGCTGCCCGGGCTTGGCCTTGGCCTTGTTCGCCGGGTCGCCGTACAGGCCCCAGAAGTCGCTGACGGCGAAGATGGCGTGGGCGCCCGCAAAGGCTGGCCCGAGGGTGGCCGGGTCGTCCATGTCGGCGTGGACGAGCGAGGCGCCGCGGAGGGCGAGGGCCTGGGCTTTGGGGCTGGCGGTGTTGCGGGTGAGGGCGCGGACGGTCCAGCCCGGGGTGGAGAGGAAGACGTCGGCGACGGAGCCGCCTTGGTTGCCTGTGGCGCCGAGGACGGCGATGATTTTGGTGGAGGACATTGTTTTGATAGGCTTGTAGATTATTTTATGTGAGTTGAGAGAAACTGTTGATGAGTCGGGAGTTGTTGAGACTTGGAGTCGACGTCGTCTCTTATATACAAATCAACAAGCAGTGGATGCGACTTGTCTGGCGAGACCTGTATATCAGATCCTAATCACTGTTGGCGGAGATGACGAATAATGCCATGACGGAAAAGGGCCGTCAACAAACCAATCGAATTAAAACATCGTAGCAATCGAATCATATTTCCGTGCCCGTCAACACACTCCAAGTGTCCATTCGTCCTTTGAAAAAGGGGAGCACGACAGTACGGGAGATCGATCCGCACTGCCCGCAATCTTCCATGTCAAGTGGCGGCATCTTCCGACGGCGTCCGCCCTGCGTCCGCTCCCTCCCCACCTGCGTGCGGGAGCGGCCAGGCGCCGCTGTATCGGTAGCTGAGCTGTGTTTGGATTGCGGAGTAGATCTAGCCTTGTTGGAGAGATCTGATAAGAAGTCCAATGTCGGGAGATGAGGCGTGAAGCGGACGAGGAGTGGTCAGAGAGGCGGATTGTGGGTTGCGAAGAGGATTCCGGTGATGCTCCATTACAGAGCAGTGGAAATAGAGCATCGATATGATCTCATTTGTAAGGTCTCCCATCCAAATGTGGAAACAGGCCTTGAAACAGGTAATGGATAGCCTTGTATAAGAGGCCCCATGTCCTCGGCTTCTTCATCAGACAAGCCAGCATCTGTCGGAATTACACCCTTGATCAGCATCTCCAAATCACCACCATGGCTTCCACCGCCGCAGCCAAGAAAATATGGTTCATCACCGGCGCCTCCTCAGGCCTCGGCCTCAACATGGCCCTCAGCGCCCTCCGCGCCGGCCACCGCGTCATCGGCACCGGCCGCAACATTGAAAAGGCATCCTCCGAGCACCCAGAATTCGCAACGCTCGGCGGCGAATGGCTCCAGCTGGACGTGGCCCAGCCCAATGCTGAGCAGGCCATCCAGCAGCTCGTCGCCAAAGAGGAGCAGAAGCTCGGCAAGGACAAAGACTCGGCCCACTGGGTGGTTGTGAACAATGCGGGCAACACTCTGCTCGGAGCGGTGGAGGACATGAGCGAGGGCCAGATGCAAGAGTACTTGCAGACCAACCTGTTTGGCTTCATTCGCGTGTGGAAGGCTCTGCTGCCGACGTTGCGGCGCAATCGGACGGGTACCCTCATCAGCATCTCGTCCATTTGGGGGTTCGTGCCCAAGTCAGAGCACATGCTCTACGGTGCTGCAAAGGCGACGACGGAGTATTTGACGGAGTCATATGCTACTCTTCTCGCGCCGTCTGGTATCCGGACCATGATCATTGAGCCTGGTGGCTTCAGGACTCCTTTCGCTGGCAACAACTCCAAGGCAGATGGTGGCATCTCCGAGGACTATAAGCCCCTGATCCAAGCCTGGGTGGATATAGTCAATGCGGCCTCAAAGGATCCGACCTTGGTCAATGGTGATCCAATCAAGTTTGGCGATAGAGTTGTTGACGCCGTCGAGGGCCGGGGCTTGTTCGATAGTATATGGGCGGAGCAAGACAGGACAAAGGCCCTGAGAGTTCAGCTCGGGTCGGACAGCTACAGCCTGTTTGAGCAGAGGCTCAGCGACTTGCAGAAAGGGTTTGTGAGGATGGCCGAAGTGGCAAAGTCGACGGACGTCTGAGTCTCGTCGGACATGTTACCTGATGATACATTCAATTAACATTCGTCATTCCTTATGCTTTCCGTCTTATTGCACCGTAAGATATAACTCACCCTGTTGGACACTACATCTCTTGGCAAACCATCCCACATTCTATCCAGATGATGAAGTTACCGTCGTCGACGCGTCCGTATCGACATTGACCAGATCCAGCACGCCCCCCTGTTGAAGCAGCGACAGATATTGCGTCGCAAGCTCCCAATTTGCTCCCGTAGACTTGAGCTCACGCACAACATCCTCCAAGGCGCTGTACATCTGCGGCTCGTGGTCTTCGCGCACGAACCACGCGCACTCCGTGGCCACATGGTACAGACACTGCGCCATGAGAGGGCACTCAATGTTGGCGCGCGCAATTGCCGGCATGACGTTGGAAGAGATGGACTTGATCCCCGCAAGGCTGACGCTCTGCATCTCCGTTTCCATGGCGATCCGACTCTGCTCAACCAGAGCGAGCGGCTCGTTGCAGCCGTAGAGGTTGTAGAGAGCGAGCTGAGCCGAACAGCACAGAGACAAAGAGAGGATGCCCGAGATGGAAAAGTCGGGGGATGTTGTTCCGGAAATGTACTCCTTGATGGAGAGATGCAGCGCGGAGAGTGCCGAGTGAAGTGCCAGCGCTTCGGGGAGAAGACTTCCGACGTCCTGCGTGGACCTCTTGTTGGCCCTGTGCGACAAGACTTTGCTCAGCATATGGGCGGCCTGGCACATCTTTGCAAAGGAGCCGACGGATGTCAGGCTGCTAAAGGACGTGGTAAAGAGAGGCTCGCTGGGAACGATTTTGCCTTGCTCCCAGTCATCGTCGTTGATCGGCAATAGCTCGTCTGAAACTGGTTCGGGGACAGTCATTGGCAGATTGGTTTCAATGTTCATAAGTCTGATGATACATTTTAGATGCTGTCCTTACTGTAAGGAAGAGGGCGAGCTGGGTCTCATACCTGTCGAGCAGAAAGATTGTCCACCATGTTCGGCGCTGCTCTTCTCTCAGGGTCCACGTTTCGGCGGCCTTGAACAGCTGATTGTTCTTCCTGTCATGCAGACCCAGCAAAACCCCGAGTCTTGACGCGCGACCAAGGGTCGAATATGCACACGGATAGATGGCATGTGACATTTCGTAGACTGACAACAGAACAAGGGCCTGAACAAGCCTCAGACACACAAAGCCCGCCGACTCTGCTTCTGAACACAGCGACCTCGCCAGCAGGTACCATGATGAGTTCTTGGCGCACTCTCCATCCCTGGTGCTGAATGCCTTTACACACAGTAGAAAGAGGGAAAGGCAGCCATCGACTTCTGTTGCGTCACTGTTGACTTCGTCGAAGAGGCGTTTCCGGCTGATCATGGGCAGCCACTTGTGCACTGTGGAAAGATACTGTTCACAGAGAGCCACTCGGTCGTCGTCAAGGTGCTCGGCCACGATCTGATGGATATATGGATGCCGACTCCATGACAGAGCGTTGGGTGACTGGGAAGTCAAGTATTCTGAATCCAAGAAGAAGGGCAGCGGAAAGGGCTCTGCTGGCTTGGGGAAGAAGGTAGCAGCACTGATGCCCGAGAAGGCCCTGGACGGAGAGATGCCCTCAACGTGGGGAAGCTGCTCGATGTGGCTGAGCCTGGAGGAGATTGTTGTCTCCGAGGCTGCGGTCTCAGCGTATTCGCAAGTCTTGCCCAGACGGGAGCACTGCCTGGCGGTTAGGAGCGAGAGAAGGGCCCAGGAAAGCCGCTGGTGGGCGTTTGCATGTCAGGATGCCGTGGGATCGTTCTTACCAGGGCGCATGTAGGGACTTCTCGAGTACATTTTCTCTTCAGCCGCCTGTGAGGAGGATGAATCGTGTCAGTGACTGGCTCGGGCAACTTGGTTGGAGGCGGTGATTATGTACCGACAGGCTCGACAGGCTTGAGAAGCAAAGACTTTGGGCGGCATCACAATAGGTTGGAGGTGACTGGATACAGCTGAAGAGCAGGGTACTGTTGTCTCGAATTGGGATCCTTTCTTGAATGTTACCTGTTTTGTTTTGATGAGCCGTGTCTCTCATCTCTCGAGCTTGAATTGACTGACGTTTCGCTGAAGAACGTCAGCTGCTGAGGAATGACGATTAGTCATCGCCAGTTGCCTCTCTCTTGGCATCTCACAACCGAACCTTGTGCCTTAATCAAGCCTCAACAATGACGGTCGGAGTACAACAGTCACTGACAAGGAAATGGAAAAAGATCCATTAGTAACTGCTCGGCACTCGCCCTACAGAGTCGAGTATCATTCCGCCATTTCCTGAAAGAGTCGACAGAAACCTAAGCAGCTTCTCTCAATGTGACCCAAGTTTGAAGACTTTCACATGCACACCATGAACCGCAACCTGAACATGCATTTGAGACACATACAATGGTGAATATGAATGATAATGATCTCTCATGCTTGAAACCCTTTTCTATCGCGTTTTCTATTCTTTCTTCTTGTGTTCTTGTTCCGGATATGGACCAGATGCTTGGCAGAATCCCTCTCAATGGCGAAAGATCCGCAAAATCCGAGAGGCACCGCATCCCTGGGATCACACGCTGTTAGGCGACATCAACAGGCCCCATCACAATAATGTACGATAGATGGATGATGTATCGATATGTTCGGTCATGAAAAAGAAAGCCCGCCTTCTCTAGTTCATCTGGGTGCTTTTCATTTCTTATATACCTACCATTGCGAAGAACAGCCGTTGCAGAGTATATTTGTCTTCGAGCGAATACCTCACGGATCATCGGAGGATGAGACAGGATACTTGATGCCTCAGGTGGAACCTATGGCGTATTTTCAGGCTAGTATGTGTTGAAGTATGACTCGATTGTTTTGTCTTCAGGTTCAATACTGATGCAAAGGGCCTGCTGGATGTATCTCTCCTCAGACTCAGCACATGCCCCCTTTTCCACTTCAACAGAGACCGCCATTCTTCAAATCACCTGAACTGACAATTATAAGAATTGACGTGAGTCCCCTATCGGATAACTGCGGAGTGAAAGACAAAATATCGCAAGACAGAGTATCATCATACTACATCACACAAGGAAACTGCCGTCAAACAGCCCATGTCCAACATGTCCATGGATCATCAAACAGCATCACACGATGCTCTGCATCAAATATTGCTTCTCTGACTCAACTATCACCGACAGGAACTGTGATTTGAAGACGGCTATATCCGAATTACCGAAAAGTATTCGGCGTTGCATCTTCAAAATGGCCCAGAAAAGGTCGAGCGGACTGTCCGCTTCAAGGCCAGAACCTCGGTCCGCTCCAGTCCGCTCCAAATGAGCGGGTCGATATAGCTTCACTCTTCTTGACTCAAACGTATTGTTCACTGCATACTTAAGGACCTAGAAAGGAACGTCGAATACCATGTCTCGATACAATCAGAATCAGCTCCATTTCAAGCATACACAATCAGCAATTTTCCTCTCACCGCCGCACAAATGGCGCCCCTCGTCTGGCTCGTAACCGGCTGCTCCTCCGGCTTCGGAAGAGAATTCGTCCATGAGATTCTCAAGCGCGGCGACAAAGTCATCGCCACAGCCCGTCGACCAGAAAGCATCGAAGACCTGAAGAGAACCGGCGCCGCGGTGCTCCAACTGGACGTCACCTGGGACCAGAAGCGCATCAACGAGACCATCAACCATGCCATTGCAATCTATGGCCAGCTCGATGTTCTCGTCAACAACGCTGCGTATGTCCTGGGAGGCGCTTGGGAAGACCTTTCGTAAGACTTTATCCACACATTTTGCAGAGCCTCTGAATTAGGTACTCACATTGGGCTATAGGTACGAAGACTTTCGTGACGCCTTTGAGACAAACGTCTTTGGTCCTCTCAAAGTCACAAAGGCCGTGCTCCCCCACATGAGAGCCAGAAAGACCGGCACCAACATCTTCATCAGCTCCATCGCAGGCTGGAGCGGAATGGAGTTTAACGGAGGCTACGCAGGCACCAAGTTTGCCCTTGAAGGTAAATCTCTCAACAAACAAATGCCCTCCGCAAGGCTCTCATACCCTGAACAACCACTTACACTCATTGGAACAGGCATGGCTGAGAGCCTGCACCGAGAAGTCCGGCCCCTCGGCCTCCGCACCCTCATCATCGAGCCCGGCTTCTTCAGGACCGACCTGCTCTCCCAGGGAAACCTCAAGACCACAGAGTCCAGCATCCCAGACTACGCCGAAGCGTCCAAAGCCTTCAACCGGCTCCTTGCGGAAAAGAATCACGCGCAGGCTGGTGATCCGAAGAAAGGAGTCGCTGTTGTTGTGGACCTTGTCCGCCAGGAGGGCGTTGCCGAGGGCAGGGAGGTCCCTGTGAGGATGGCACTTGGGCAGGATGCATATGAGCTTATCAAGGGCAAGTGCAGCAAGACGATTGATCTGTTGGAGCATTGGAAGGATGTGATTTCCAGCACTGATTTGCAGGAATAAGCTGCTCTGTTCCGCTGTGAGCATTGACTGGGGAAATAACAGCATGAGGCGATTTCTGTTCATTCAAGCATGTGCAGTGCTTCTCTGGGTTATTATGTAGAGGATGATACAGGTTATTGTTATAGAGAGCTCTAGAAGTACCATACCCTTATTCTATATTCAGCACATCAATCGTGACCATTTCATACATCCGGTCCTCTTAGAGGCTCATTCGACCTGTCAATCCACACAGTCTTCAACTCAGGCATCTTCTCAAACTCTTGATCAAACGGCCACATTGGTCTCCGTATCCGCCGATGCCCCAACCTCTCCAAGTCCTGATCAACGCCCCCTGGCGTCAGCCCTAGCATCCAGCCCTTGGACATGTCGTACAGCTCCGGCTCAAGATACCCAATCTTGACAATGACGATATCCGCCGACCTCGGGGTTAGATTCAGATCCGTAAAGTCCTTTTCTTTGTGATACGGCTTCCGGAGTTTGGTCAAGATGGCGTACACGGAGCCGACCTGTAGGACAACTTCGGTTACGGCATCGCGATCGCCGTGCTTGATGGAATGGACGCGGCCAGTCATTGTCAGAGGAGGCGCGTGAATGTCGTCAACGTCGGCTCCGGCAGTCACAGTGACAGTTGCGCCAACACCTGCCGCGACAGCCGTTTCGATGGCTTTGGGTCCTGGCACGCTTGCATAGATGACCGTATATCCAGAATCCGGCGACTTGAACTCGGGCCGCTCCAACAACCTGGTGAGCCCCCAGGTCACGTCGCCCGAGCCTCCTGCAGTAGGATTATCTCCCGAGTCGGAGATAAAGTACGGACGCTCTTCAGGAGGCGCCTTGACGGCGGCATCAAGGCATTCAGCAAAGCTGCCTGTCGGCGCAACAAACTTGAAGTCGGCCCGCGCGTCCCAGAACAGCTTCGCCAGCTTCTCTGCTCCCTGAGAAACCGCCTTCTCATCCCATCCGGTGACAACAATGGCGGCTCGATTCCGCGGCTCGTCAGCCCAAGCATATCCCACCCAGATGGCCGCATCCAAGACGCCCTCCTCCGCTTCGACGTCGGGCACAGCAGCGTAAATATGCTTCGCCGGCTCAATCCGCGTCGAGGTCTGCTCTCCAGGCAGCAAAATGGGAACGGGAATCCAGGCTTTTAGGGGGCGTTTGTCGGGCTCTCTTCCTTTGAGGACGTTGACCAGGTTGCGACACGCCCGCTCCTTGGTGTCCATTGCGTCCTCGTGCGGTGCCATGCGGTAGCAGGTGATGAGGTCGCACTGATGCGCCAGCCCTCGCGAGACGTTGCCGTGCAGGTCCATGGACGCCGATACAATGACTTCGGGCCCAATGACGGCGCGGACTCGCCTCAGCAGCTCGGCCTCGACATCGTCCAGCTCCTGCACGCACATGGCGCCATGGATATCGAACCACAGGCCATCGACGGTATTCTCAGACACGATGCCCTTCAGCCTGTCCACAATCTCCCGTGAGAGCGTCTCAAAGGCCTCGCGAGTGACAATGCCTCCAGGAAGCGCGTGTCCGATGAGGGCGCCCTTCCATTCTGCCTCTTTCCCCAGTGGCTGATCGGCGTGCAAGAACTGGTAGCGCTCGACAATCTCGTCGCCGCGCTTGGGATGGAAAGCCGGCGCGAGGGTGACGGCGGGCGAGAAGGTCGACGTCTCGCAGGCGAGGCCAGCAACGGCGATAACTGGGCGCTTCGACATGGCCCTGGTTCGCCGATAAGTGCTTATGGCCGCCTGATGATAGCCTTTCTTTATAGCCCTGCTCTGGGCAGATTCAGGCTATGAAGAAGTGAGTGCGGGACCCAAAGGGAAGTTGTGTGTCTGGCTTCGTATTGATATCTCAGTCTTTATCTTGGTATTATCTCGGTGTTATCATGTCGTCAAGTCGGTGCGAGTCCGCCCTCAACAGCCGTTTATCCGCGAACTTGCCTCCAAGTGAGATGAAGCTAGATTGAACCCTCGTCTGTCTGGTGTTCAGTGGGGGAACAACGCGGGGTTATCAGAGCCAAAGTGAGGAGGTGAAGCTCGAGGGTCCAGATAGGTAATAGCAGAAGAAGCTGTCCGCAAAGGGAAACCAGATGCAACGTCTACCAGTTTTATCCGACGGAGAAGGGTCTGCCCAAAGTAAACCGGCCAATCTGCGATGAGGATTGAATAGACGGCTTCAAGATATCTCGAGATCAGCCATGGCAATTACTGCATCTGGTGGCGTCCCGCTGGGTTGCCGGAAACCGACGAACCACCTCGGCGAACTTTTGCTGGTTTATCAGTTACCCTTCTTGTATGTCTCAGACAGCCTGGAGTGCCAATGATCTGATGTTGCATCCGTTATTAAGCAAGATGTCAAGTTCAATGAGCCCGAAGATATGCGTGTGAAACATGTATCTGCCGACGGCCCGCTGTTGGCTGGGTGAGGGGATGGATGATGCGTATAAGAGAGGAGGTGCGATAGAGGCGACCAGATACGTAACGTTTGCTGCAGCATCAACTCTCTTCCTCGGATCCAGCCTTGTTACTATCAAACATTCATACGGCCAGAGCATCCAAAATGCTGCGCAAAACCCCGACAGGGACCTGGATACCCGCCTGGGTCCCCGAGTCAACCAACCTCGTCTCCGTCCTCCTCCTCATCTGCGCCATGGTCCAGTCCGCAACAGGAGGCTACGACGGCTCCATGCTCAACGGCCTCAACATCCTGCCGTCGTACACAGACTACTTCAAGCTGAACAACGCCACCACCGGCCTCAACACGGCGTCCGTCTTCATCGGCGGCTTCTTTGGCCCCATATGGGCGGGCGTCATGACGGATCGGCTAGGTCGTCGGCCTGCCATCTTCTGGGGCTCGGTCGTCACGCTGCTGGGCATTGTACTGCAGACGGCGGCACAGAACGTTGCCATGTTTGTCGTCGCGAGGGTTATTCTGGGATGGGGTAGTGCGATCTCGTCTGTTGCCGGTGCTGTCTACCTGAGCGAGACGTTTGCGAGCAGATATCGTGCCTGGGGTGTTGGAGTGCGTGTTCCATCTCCCTTATATCAGCGCATCTTTGATGGCTTTGCCAAGAGCGCAAGTGCTTTCAGTCGACTAACCCTGTCTAGATTCTCAACAACTTCTACTACGTGGGCTCACTGATAGCAGCCGGCGTTACGCTGGGAACCGGTCAGTGGCAGTCAACTTGGGCCTGGCGTCTTCCCTCGCTGCTCCAGGGAATCTTTTCCCTTGCGTGCATCCTGGTGCTGCCCTTTATCCCCGAGTCACCGCGTTGGCTCGTCAGCAGAGAGCGCTACGAGGATGCCCGCCTCTCTGTCGCTCAGACGAATTCCAACGGTGACATTGCGGATCCCGTGGTGGTGGCTGTATACAAGGAGATTGTCGACACTCTGGACTGGGAGAAGAAGCACGACATGACTATGAGTCCCATGGAAATCATCAAGACTCCCACCGCGCGCAAGAGGACCCTGATTGGAGCGTCTGTCGGGCCGTTCTCGTGCATTGCCGGGAATGTCATTGCGTCGTATTATCTGGGAAGCGAGCTGGACACGGCAGGCATCACAGACACCAACGACCAGCTCAAGGCCGTAAGTGCTCCATCATCGTTTAAGATACAGCGGCTGACTTCTGCGTCTGGGTAGAATGTTGTCCTCAACGTCTGGTGTCTCTTTTGTGCATTTGCAGGAACTCATCTGATTGCGATGTGGGGACGGAAGCCTACCGCACTGCTCTCTCAGAGCCTCCTCATCGTGTGCCTTTTTATCATCGGTGGCTTGTCCAAGATGTACGCAGACAATCCGGATGGTGCCTCTCAGAGCTTGATCTACGGCGACGTCGCTGTCATGTTCATCTTTCAGGGTATCTACTCCATTGCTTGGACGCCTTTGCTCTATCTTTACCCGCCGGAAGTGATGAACTACCCTATTCGAGCCAACGGATTGGCGCTGTCAGGATTCAGTTTGAATGGGCTTGCGTGAGTATCAGTGGATCGTCTATTGGGATACTCTGCTGACCTGGTTCTCCAGGCTTCTCCTCACGTTCGTCATGCCCATTGCACTGGACAACATTGGTTGGAAGACGTACATCATCAACGGTTCATGGGACATTGTCACACTTGTGCTCATTGTAAGACATTGCCCTGTTGAACTTCTTGTGGTCATCGCCATGCTAACATTTGGCCAGGCTGTCTATTGGGTAGAGACAAAGGGCAAGACGCTGGAAGAGATTGACGCCATATTCGAAGGAGAGAAGCATTCATCGGTGCCCGATATTGAGGATATCCGCACTGGCAAGAAGACTTTGGACGTGCAACAAATAGAACTTGAGCTTCACGAGGAGATTGGGCTAAAGTCAAACGAGGCCTGAAGGAGTGAGCACGCCATAGCTTCTTTAGCACGAGTTGAATACCATCATTTCGAAGAAAAAGTCTCTATTATTCGCCATAGGGCCCTTACTATCGGATGGTTGGAAGGTAGGATTATACAAGATACATTAGGACAGTAGGTATGTGCTATTAATCCACCACTCTATATAGAAGACAAAGAAAGGCAATCTGTTTGCTGACCACCATCACCCCTTCTATTTCCCCTGCATTGGTTCAGTCCAGCTCTACTCCGCATATGCAAGATCCCTTAATACGCGGCCAGGCCCGAAGCACCATCTGCAACCGGGATACCCTGTCCCTTGCCGAAAGAACCACCAATCGACTTGAGAGATCCATCAGCCTGAATCTTCCAAGCAGCAATGGCGCCACTGCCACGGAGCAGGTTGTACAGGTAAGCACCGTCGCTGCTGAGGGCGAGGTCGACGGGCTCGCTTCCCTCACCAGTGAACGCCTCGACGCCCTTGATCAGGGTGGCGGTTCCGTTCTTGGCGACAGAGTAGCTGGAGATGGCGGCCGTGATGAAGCTGGCCGTGTAGGCAAACTTTTCGTCTGGAGTCACAACAACCCAGCATCCGTCCGTCTGCTGGTTCTTCTCCGACTTGGTCAGGGGCTCGAGGACGGGGGACTCGCCGCCGTTGAGGTGGTACGTGGACAGACCGGCGTTGCCCAGAGCGGGGAGACCAGACTCGACGACGTAGAGCGTGTTGGACTTGCCGTAGATTGCGCCAAAGGGACGAAGGCCGCTGGAGGCGACCGAGGTCAAGGGCCCGAGGCTGGCGTGGCCGTTGGACGCCACGGAGAAGACGTCGATGGTGCTGCTGACCTTGTTGGTGACGATGAGGGAGTGGCCGTCAGGGGCAAAGGTGACGGTGCCGGGGACGCCAATGGGACTGCTGGTGGCGATGGTGGCGTTTGTCAGGGGCGAGAGGAGGCCGGTTTGGCGGTCGACCTTGAAGCCAAAGATGCCCGAGGCGACGGAGCCGTCGAGCACGTAGGCGAAGCCGGTGCTGCTGAGGGAGATGGAGAGCGGCTGGTCGCCGGCGTAGACGGACTGGATCTTCTTGAGGCTGGAGCCGCTGACGACCTCGAAGACGGTGACGTGGTCGTCGGCCGGGTTGACGGCGTAGAGGAAGCGGTGGTCGGCGCTGAGCTGGAGGCCGCCCTGGGTGTCGAAGTCGACGCCCTGGCCGTGGCCGCCGGTGGGGAAGGTGCCCGTCTTGACGAGGGAGCCGTCTTCGTTGCGGGAGAAGGCGATGACGGCGTTGTCGACGGCGTTGGTGAGGGCAAAGACGGCGCCCTTGGAGGGGCTGCGGCCGTAGCTGGCGCTGCTGGGGGCGGCGAGGACAGCGGTGAGGCTGGTGAGGCTGAGGGAGGCGAGGGTTGAGAACTTCATGGTGATTATGGTGATGGTTGGGTGCTAGGTTGAAGAAGGGAATGTGAGTTGATGAGTGAGTGTGTGGCTGTGGTAGTTGAAGGAGAGGTTGCTGTGAAGAGATGGAGGTGTGGTGATGATGGAGAGTTGGGAAGAGCTATTGCCATCGTTATATATCTTGGACTTTTCAACGACAGGTAACTCTGATTCCAATCACTTCCTCCTCTTGATGCCCAGTCACATACCAGGACGTCAAAGCTGACTGCTGTGGAGTCTGGAGTTCCTGGGGTCTGAAGAGTAAGGCTGAGCGGCTGAGGCCATCCAGCCGGTTGGGCGTGGAGCATCGTCAACTCCCAGAGAACGTTATTCCACATCATGTTCCCACTAGCGATGTTCTGAACTGGACATACTGGTAGATTTCCCCTGAGGGAATTGCCTCTTTGGGCGACTAGAGCATGTTTTGCTGATGCAAAGCTTCAAATTGACATCACGGAGCAATGGTGCAATAATACCCTAATGTTTCTATTTTCTGACCAACCCAGACCCAACACCACGGTGACTGCCCCTGGCATCTGGTACGTAAATGTCCTTGGCAATAAGCTCAAACAACAAGAACGAGCTCCAACGAGGCTTTTGCACCTGCTAGTTGGCCTTGTTGTCAGCACTCAATGGCTGTGTTGCCCAATTATGTTGTCTTGTGGGAGTTTAGGGAGATCTGCAGCACGATGCGCGCTTGATTCCAAATTCTATGTGTCAAGCTTATTCTGGGCCGTGCCGCTCATTTTAGATGCGATGCAACTACGACTTGAACTTGCACTCTTGTGAGTGCAAAAGTATAGTCAGACTATTGTGATGATTCGTGATTGGTAGCCTCATGTTATTGTGACTGGATCGAGGTGTCCATGGGCTTGGAATACGGTTCGGACGAACTCGGTATTGTCAGCATCCCACGATGTTGCGATTTTTGGATAGGTTGACGAAGAACGATGCATATCCTGGAAGGCTGTACTACTTTTGTTCAGAGTGTTTTTCGTTCGGTTTTGTCTCTGTCAAGTGTTCATCCACCGTACCTAGGGGAAGGCAAGAAACTAGGTGCTTGATTCTCTCACATAACACGCACACCGCGAAATTCACACCCAAGCAAAGCATCTCCGCGGATCACGACCTCCAAAGCTAGCAGCGTGCAAGATACTATCCTTTTAGAATTCAGTCACTAAGGGCGTTTTCTATCTCTCTAATTCTCTCTATAGTCCGTCGTCAACACCATCGCGAGCTCAAAGTGCTTCAAGTGTTGCATCTCGCAGTGCCCGAAAGAGCGTCTCTCAAGACCATCTCGACCTCGAGAAGATGGACACGAAGATACAAAACGATAGGCCAAAGCGCAAGTGCTCCTGCTGGCAGGCCGACAGCGATGGCAACAACTCTATACCGAGATTTCCAAGATCAGACCCCAACGGCTCTGCACCAAAGCAATGCCTTTGGCATCATTTGAACAACCCATCATCGAGACGCGTGCTACTCTCAGACCAAGGGAAAGGGCTAGGCTTTCCCATACTTCATCTTCATGTCAAGAAGGGTACTGTCGCCGTATATTATCCTCTCTAAACATCACCGCAGCCATTTCGAGAAGCCAAAATCGACCAGGCCGTCTACGAAAGCCTCTATGAACCAGAGTTGATCGAGGTCCTCAGCCATCTCCCCGCGGCGTAGGTTAGCAAAAACGTGGAGAGCTCTTGAAGGTTTGGATTCGCTCCTTTCTCGAGAGATGGACACCACAGAGTGGCCTATACCTCTACCTTAGAACAAGGGTCACGCATGCTGCCGGCAGGAGTTCTGATAATTTTGCAACGCTAGCATCATGAAGGGTCCGACCAAGGAGTCAGCCCCAACAGAAAGAACAGTGATGAGCCTGCCACAGCTGCCACACCAACTTTCTACAGCTGTCTACGCAATCAAGCGGTTGTAGAGTGGAAGGGAAGAGATGGACGAAATAGTCAGCCATGTGTTGTCAGAGCTAGAAGTCATAGAAGACATGCTTGCATGATGCAATCCGTAGCTAAAACCTGTAAAGAAAGATCCGTCCCAAACGCCAAAATAATAACCGATAAGATTCCATCCATCCCTTGTCGTCCTTGCCTGACTGCATTCAATGTTCCATCACCTCCCCTGTTCCATTGTCGTTCTTGTTCAAGGGGTCGTCGCTCTTCGTCTTATGCAGCTTCAGCTTTGGCTTCAGCTTCGGTAAAAGGAAGAGCGACACCGGCCGAAATAGTCGTCGAGGGCAGGATCTCGCGGAAGAAATCAAGTTACTAACTCTAAACGCAATGCGGGTCAGCGAGGACGATTCCATCATGTTTAAAAGGAGGCATTGTCGACAGCGGCGTTGGACTCCCCTCTCAAAGAGATCAGAGGAGTCAGCCAAGAGAAGTCAACAAGAGCCGACCCCTGAAGACGGGAAGTGTTTCGAGAAAAATGAGCGGGCGGACCAACAGTAACAGCCTCCTCAGCAGCGTGGGAAGCCTCGTCGACGTGGGAGGAGGAGGCATCCTCGATCTCCTCTACGCCAGCAGAAGCAGGAAATTCATCTTCGATCTCGTCTTGGTTCCAGGCGTGCTGGGAAAGCGGAGAAGGAGGATGGAGGCGGCGGCTAGGAGTCAACAGGAGGATGTGGGAGGAGCGAAGCTTGCGGACACTCTTGAGGGTATTGGCGAAGCGCACAATGCATGCAGCGCCCTGGTTGGTGAGGCCAAAGTACTCGAGCTCTCGCTCGATTTCCTTGAGGGTCTTGAGGGTCTTCGAGCCCGCCTTGACTTTTTGCTGGTGCATTGTCGGGGGCGGCGGAAAAGGAGGAACCTTGGTTGATGGTAAGATCTTGGTTAAAGGGGGTCGAAGGACGACGAGATTTCGCGAGAAGAAGGGCAGGGGAATAGATTGCTTGATGCAAAGATTTTGGACGAGCAGGGACGAGCAGAGAAAGATTGAGTTGTGGTGAAGGTGGGAAGATTGGAAGATGGAAGATGGCTTGAGCAGACGGGCAGATATGGGCAGCTGCCACGAGGAAACGCCCCAACAAGTCTGTTCTGCCAGGCAGTCTTCACCGCACACGGATGCCTTGAGTTCAGTTTTTGCCCAGAATTTGTTCGCCTCACTTTGACTGGGTCTTGTTATTCACATAGGTTCGCAGCCAATACGGTATTTGCATCCGCTCAACGGACATGATCAGAGTTACGAACAATTTGATTGATTCTTCGTCAAAGCTACGCGAGCTAAACTTCAGAGAGGCTTTGTGGCTACGTGCATTCTACCTGAGTTGACAATCGGCAGTACGCAATGGATTTACGCCATCTGACCTCAAACCTGAACGATTCGAGTATGCCATTGTAGTACGGTAATGGTCGATATAAGATGGAAGGGTAGCCCTGGATGCCTAGTACCTTAAGGTAGAGAGTAGAATGAGGCTGAGGTACCTTGCAGGATGATCGTGACTCTACCAAAGGGCGAGGAAGAGTGGAATAGTGGGAACCAGAAACGGAAGGCGGATCTTGAGAGGACTTGGATTGGTTAGAAACCGATAAACGATAAACCTTCACGATCTAGGTCAAGGTTGAACCCAAAACAGCTTGAATGGCTCAACAAAGAATTATATTATTACTAACCACACTCCAACCTGTCTTAGCGAACTACTTAAGAAAAGTTAATCTCAACGTCCCATGCCGGCCCGCACAATAAACAACGTCACAAGGGGTCCAGCCCTTGGAATCACCGCCCATTTTCATCTCGTCACCACTTCATATATGCCAGCATCCCCACGCCCACCAGCGGCACCAGCAGTGTCCCAGCTGCCTTTACCATCGAGGCCTTTATCTGAGGAGTAATGTTATGGTTAACAAGCTCCTGGAACTGCGCAGGTGCGTTGCCTCTGGGGTACGGGTCCTTTGGAATCTCTTTTCCGAGGAAGGGACAGATTTGCTCCCAGCCAAATCCGCCTTCGAGGGTGCAACAAAGGAGTCGGTCCTTTGGGACCAATCTTTTGACCTTTTGCGCGCTATAATATCATATCCCGGGTTAGCTATCGAATATCACCCATGAGGGACGAAGGAGACGGAAACAAAACATACTCGAGGATGCTGTCCTTTTTGGCCTCTTCCATGCCGCCTTCCATGCCCTTATTGTGGAAGATGACTTCTTCAAAGGCAAGGTGAAGGCCGACGAATGCCTTGACCCACGGATCAAAGTACTGAGTGAAGTTCATAGGGAAAGAATGGCAAGCTTTGAGAATGCCGGCAATGGTATTGTTCAGCGATCGTTCCCAGGCGTTGACATCGCGCTCGACGAGTATGAATTTCGCATTCGGGTAGAACTCGATGAACTCTTCAATGAAGAACTGCGGGATCTCGACAATTGCCTTTCGAAAGAACTTGTTAATACACGTAACTTGCTTTTGAGGCTTTCAACATACGTCGTAGTTGGCGAGCCACTTGTCAAACTCGGCCTTGCCATACGGCTTCCCGATGCCTTGGTATTTGCAGCGGATAGACTCCTCGAAGAGGGCGAGGTGGGTGGTTCCGTGGGTAACCACTTCGTACATGTGATATGGAGTGTAGCCGAGCTTCTGGAGGCCCTGATATAGAGAAAAGGTGCCGACACTGTCATATATCAGAGAGATGGCGCGATGGATGGGGTCAAACAAGCCAAGGTAACATACCGGCTGCGGCTGAGGACAATGACCTTCTTCTCCTTCACCTTTTCTGGGGTGGGAAGTCTGTCAATGACGCGAGACATGATGTTTGAGATCGTTCAGATGTTCGAAAGGCTCAGAAAGCACTGGTTCCTTGTTATTCTCAAGTATGTATGCCAGAGCACGAGGCTGTCTGGCAGCTAAACACGATGGTGTACGACCTTATATACATAGGGGGTTCCCAAGCAAATCAACACTCCAGATATTGATTCCAACAGCTGGATTACGGGGACAGGGGCATACGGGTAGGGCGGCGGCTATCCCAGTTGTAAGGTCAGCCTGGGCAGCAGAACAGCTCCGGTTGGGTTTGAGCTTGATGACACCGAGCATCGGTAGCTTGGTCAGAGAACTCAATTGCAAGGGCTGATTCGCTTTGGTTCGGACTTTCTTGAGCCAGGCTATCAGGAGCCAAGGCCACGATGCTGATGGAGACGCCACGATGTTAGGGTAGCCATCTTAAGCGCACGATATCTCGGCCCAGAGACGTGATCGAAACACCTAAAGAAGAAGTCTTCATGGACATATATCGATAAACTTGTTCCTCTGATATGGACTTGTAACAGCAAAGAGCGAGCATTCCCGAGCCACCTTCTTCCCCAGTCTCTAACAGCGCGCCATGAAGCATCACAGAAGGGGGTCGCCGAAAGTAAGCTCTAAAGGCAACTCGCCTCGTTTAGCAACAGATTAGCAGGGGGCCCGTCGCCCTCGAAGCCGATGGCCCGAACCTGCGATTCGTCGTGCGTCTGAAAATAGAACGAACTTTCTTCCCCAAGGGCTGACATTATAACGTTAGTATCTGCAACGGCGACGCAAGGCTAACTCCGCGTTATTGTATTTTGAGGAGACGGGGAGATGAGATGAGATGGGAGATTCTGCTGGTTGATTGACGGACGATACGCGTATGACGTTTTCTGCTTGGTGGGCAGGGGTGAGGATGTTGTTAGTCATTAGTCTTTGGATTGGCAACGATATTTCATCATTGATGGTTCTATTAGCATTGTCTCTAAACTTGTTTTCGGTCCTGGAGAATAGTGCCCATGGTGATTTGTTTGCTATGACATTACAACACTTTTCAACAAGGGATCAACAGGGCGAGCTGACACAAGGCCGGCAACAACTCATGCGAAACTGCATCCATGTGCTGCTCCATAACCTACAACACACCGCAACAGTAATCGGTAATACGTATAAGCAACACAGAGAGAGCAAAAAAGGTTACAAGCAAATTGTTGTCTTTCGAAATAGTGCTTCCTCCCCTCGTACGTACGTTCGTCTACGCCTCGATGGCTTGCTGACTGGCCTTGGTGTTGCTGAGTGGCTGAACCGAGCCATCGTGTCGTTCGTGTTCGCCACTGCATGTGTCCAAACAGGCTCCAAAGGTATCCAAATGACCGGATCGACGAGCCGCCAATGATGCCATAAGCACATCAAGAACCCCGGATCGGCAGATGCATTTTCCGGATTCGCAGTGTACGATTGCTTCATCGAAGGGGTCCTGCTCCTCGTGAGCGCGCCTCAATGGGGTTCGGTTTCACTCTCGCCCGATGTGTGACACAGGACTTTCCAGGCTGTTGGTTTGCCGTGCCGGGATAGCCCGCTCATGTGGAGGCCTGTCACTTTACATACATACGATACGGCGTATCTTGTCATGATGAACCGACTGGATATGATTTGTTGGTGAGGTGGTGCCGCGAGGTCACGTTATGATGGCTTCACGCACCTCCTTCGCATGTACTTGGTACGGCGCATTCTTTTACATGTTGCATTCACCCAAAGATTGAGGCATATCACACCATCAAGCTTTGGGGGCCATCAGAATTTTCAAGTGCTTGGGGGTGAAATCGTTGCGTGGGAGGCATGCGTTACATCTGCAGAATGCATGTCCTCGTGGCCCGGCCAAATAGCTGGGACAGCCAGAGACAGAGACAGAGAGCAGCCGACGAACCGGACAATTTGCAATTCAGGCAAAGTCAATCGCTTTTTTCCCTTCTTTCCCCACGCGTTAAAGAGACTGCAGCTACTCGTATGCGGCGACAAGCTCTTCGAGACCGGACCCGTTTTCTGGAGATGGAACCTCCCTCCCGCTCCGCCTGAGCGATTTCGGGGGATGTGTCTGGGGGAGGCTTTTGTCCGTCACAAGATTCAATCTTCAGCCAAGGATCAGATCACTATCGAAAGAGCAACCCCCACAGCGGCTAGAAACTCGGGGTCAGGCCCTTGCTCTTGAAATTTTTCTCTGCTTTTTCCCTTTCGTTTTGTGTGTGTGTGTGTGTGGACGCTGTTTGCGCGGTTGATGGGAGGAATACTATCCTTAGGAAGAATCCGGGGATGCGCGGCCAATGAGCAGCGGACGATAAGAAGACCCTGGAATGTGGCGGCTAGTGTGTCATGAGCCTTTCGGGGACATGGCTGGAGAGACGCTGTAAGTTCCTTGTACTCCGTGGCTGTGGCATCGATCGGGTACGGTATGGGGCAGGTCTGCCATGTACTGTCGATAGGGGAGTTCGTCGAGAGTGATATCGCGAGGGCATCGAGGAAGAATTGGCCTAGATGGAAGCGGATTGTGATCAGCTGCGTTCGTGAAGCCCATGGTAAGGGACTGTACACAGTGGTGATGGTGGACAGGGGGAAAGAGGACGAGGTGGTACGGAGTAGTTGGAGGGGATTTGTTTTGCATGTGCTACCAGTGGCTCGCCGTCGCAAGGCTGTTGTCTCTGGCGTTTCTGAGCCTCCAATCGTTGGTGACATGCCTTCTGTAACGGGTTGCATCCTCAAAGAGGTATTACATGTACATGGTAATAGTCTCCCTTCTGCCGCAAGCAGGGAGCCAAGCGTTGCATCAGCATCCGCGGTTCGGTCGATTTTCTCTCTGGCTGCCCAAGCGGCTCAAACTGCAGCCGAAAGCGAGGAACCGAAACAAAGGTCGAGCTGGGATCGGCCGTCTCCTCGGGTTCACGTTCTTCGTTCGTCCTTTCTCCCTTGCGTGGGAAATTTTGTCTCTGGCTCAGCTGAAGCCCGCTGGTCCTGTACAAGCCGGGAGGCTGCCTCTGCACTGTGCTCACATGTCAGACTGCCGCTTGCGGACGCACACGGCCAGAGACGGCTGTACTGTGCTGTAGACACGGAGCCGAAAAGCTCACGGGGATCCTCGTGATGCGCTGCGATACGATGCCCTCAAGCGGCGAACGGACCACGGCAGCCGCATATCTCGTACGTACAAACAACCGGCAAGACCTTGCCTCTTCTCCTTTCTTGCGCCCTGATGATGGAGGCTTCTCCTGGACGCGACAGATAGCAAGCAGCCAGCCCCGTGCTACTGCTCGTTGCTCCCGCCGTCGCAGTACTACCGGCAGCCATGCTTGTGGTGACACGTCCCTGACATATCGTACACTCGGCATAAGCCGATTCGATCCAACGCCTAAATCATAACGTAAAAGAAAACCAAAAATACGTGGAAGCTTGTTCTGGGCTCATGCCACCGCCTCGAAACAGGCACAGCTGTGAGATGGATGGGCTTGGTGGCCCGTAATACCGCCAACTGCCAGCCAGTTGACCTCGTCAGTCCGTACCGTAGCAGTGCCCAGATACTATGCGGGTTGCCAAGGGCGGCGCGAGTTCCTGAGCTAAAGACGCGGAAACGCCGTCGCCTGGACGCGTCGCCCGAGGTTTCTCGCAATGACTCCCGCTGGGATACCCTTTTAGAAGCACTTCCCAAGCCAAGGTTCGGTCACAGTACCGAGAGCCACTTCGTTCTTCTGTACCGGACCGTGGCTCAGCTCAGCTGGTTTGGGGCGCACAGCCTCGGGGCCGTGACGGCTGAGTGGCTGCTTCTCGACCCTTTGCGTGAGATCTGGCTTGGCCGACCAACTAACCATACTATCAAGATTACGGGTAATCGCTGCAGGCTGCCGGTGGTAGGAATAGCCGTGGTACTGGTACACAGCAACTTGAACAGAAGCAAAAGTCATCCCCAGCCAGCGAGCACATGCATTCGCGGCTGCAGTCAGACTGCCAATGCGTACCCAACGATGCAGCAGCAGACTGATCAGACCCTGCAAAAGCAACTCCGCAGTTCCAGATCGTCAAAATGCTAGGTAGATAGTGAAATGAAGCCGCCCTGGAGAGTCATATCGCAAGTCATCGGATGGTAATCGGAGCAGGTTCACTGGCCCAGCTGGTCAGGAAGCGCGAGCCCTTTCTGTGAGGTGTTTTCATGTAACTCCATCCTGGAGAATCTAATGACACGATTCAATGAGCAAAGCCTCGAGCGCTGCAGCCACTCAGAGCCCAGATCCGGCCCCGACTAGCGGTCGAGCAGCCACCACCGGCCTCTGGCTGAGCCCCCTTATCAGGGACTCGAGGTACTTGTACTTTGCGGGATGGGAGGAGCCCCCCTCGTACAGTGTAGACGGGAGGGCGAGCTGACGCGCAGCGCAAGTACCGATGACGGAGGCAAAAAGTACAGGCGATTTACGATTGCTTTTTTTGAGTTTTTCGGGGATTCTTACGAGGGGAGGTTTGGGGAGGGGGAGGGGGGGGAGTCTGGGCCGATATCGAGTTCTAATAATACCATGCTGGGTTGGGGAGAGCTGGATGAATAGATCTGTCAGTGCTTCACGGTACTCACAGGTAGTCAATACTCCTTACTCGAGAAGATGAGATGGAGAACAAGAAGAGGGTACTATACTGGAGAATAGGCAGCCTGAGTAAGGTAGTGCTGCCTGCTTTCTTCCACAGAGCTTCTGGATCAAGCTGTCTGGCAAACAGGAATCGTGACCTGCAAGCCATTGGGCGCAAAGACCCCCGGTGATGCAATGGAGGTACAAGTACAGGTAGATCGTGATGCCGCAGCTGGGGATGGCCTCCTTGTCTCCGTACCGCTACCGCGCGATAATCGGGGCCCATCCACCAGGGCCGCACTACCACAGCAGCCAAAGGTGGCACCAAGATAACAGGACCCGGACCCGGTCCTCATGTGGCAAAGCAACTCCATACTCGGCCACTCCACAATGTGTGACAATACGGGGGGCAAGTTGTGGGCGAATGGAGCAAGACTGTAGAGATGCTCTCGTCGATGAGGTACTGTAACTGCTTGTAGTTGTAGATGCCGGCAGACGAGGCAGATGGTTGATCAGGCAAGCTTGGTGCCTACCTCGAGACAAAGGAAAACCAACTGTCAATATCAGGAATATCTGGCTTCGTCAACAAAGGGAGTCCGTAGATAAGAACTGGTTGCGATAATCGAGTGTGTTTTGGCTGGCAGCGTCGCTTATTGCGTCCACCTCTTTGACGAGGGGAATCTTCCGAAAAGGTCGAAGACACGAGAGACCTGCTACCAGAGAAAAATAGCAAAGCAAAGGACTACCACCTCGAAGTACCAGGCAGTACATCGCTGCACAGTACCGCACAGTGCCTGGCTGACTCTCTCCTGCCATAGCGCCGCCCACGGGTGAGAATCGCCAGTGCTGCTGCTTCCAGCTGGGGGATACATATAAACCTCGTCGCCCGTGGCATCTTCCGGGCCTCGATCTCTCTTCTCTCCTTCTACTTGAGCATAATATCCAACAGTTTATTTGTTTGAATCGCATTCATTCGCATTCAACTCATCATCGCATCGCGTCCTTCTTCTCTTCTCTCTCCCTCACCACCACACACAACCGCCCATCATGGTGAGCCTCCCTCCGCTGCTACAGACTCCAATGCACATCTCCCACCTCGATACTGACTTTTATTCCGCAATTAGGCCAACCGAGCAGTCACAACGTCTCGCACCGAACTGGTACGAATCCCTTCGTTCCCGACAAGCCGCGCAACTGAAACTCGACAATGCTGACTTCGCGCCCTTCACACAGCTGCAAAAGTATCTCAAGCTCGACCAGCAGGGTAAGATCATGGCCGAGTACGTCTGGATCGACTCAACCGGCGGCACTCGATCAAAATCAAGGGTACGTGCCTCTTCTGCATTTCCTTATCTCGACCCCTGTCGGCTGCATTGTGCATCGTCGTGCATAGCGCATGCAAGGCCCCGATTTGTCCCGGTTTTTGGTGGCGGGGCAACGGAGACGACGGAGCCAACATGACGCCACAAGAAGCGTCTTGGTGTGGCTTGAGAACAGGAATTCACAGGCCGCAGGAGAGACGGGCTCAGCGCGAGGATCGCTCAGGGCGCTCTCGTCTGGCTGTGATGCTTCTGCGGTACCTGGTTCCTTGCTCTCAGTCTGGCTGCTTGCGGGAGACGCGAGGGACGAATTCAAACTCGTGTCTCCCTTTCTGCCAAGCTCAGCCTCGCCGCTCCCAAAAATAGCCCCAAGACACTCCGCCGGTCTCTCCGTTCCGTTACCCAACACGGACTACGGGAGACCCGCTCCGTCTTGGCCATGACTTGCGTCGCCCCGTACGACTCGGCCAGCGTCGGGTCTGGCATCGATCGTCGTGGGCGGCGATCGATAGGCCAAGGGGGAGACGGGGGTGACGCCATGATGAAGCATCGCGCGCAACGTGTACTGCGATTGTCTGTTCTGCTGCTAACGTTGGATGCCCGAATAGACGCTCCCCGAGCTCAAGGACAAGAAGTACGAAGTCGCCGACCTGCCCGTCTGGAACTTCGACGGCTCCTCTACCGACCAGGCTCTTGGCCACGACTCAGACGTCTACCTGCGCCCCTGCGCCGTCTTCAACGACCCCTTCCGCGGCTCGCCCAACATCATCGTCCTCGCCGAGTGCTGGAACCCCGACGGCACCCCCAACAAGTACAACTTCCGCCATGAGTGCGCCAAGGTCATGGAGGCTCACGCCGACCACGAGCCCTGGTTCGGTCTCGAGCAGGAGTACACCTTCCTTGACTCCGACGACAGACCCTATGGCTGGCCCGTTGGTGGTTTCCCTGCTCCGTATGTCACCACCCTGTTCTGGCCCGTTGCACCTATGAACGTTTACTGACTCCTTTGATACAGTCAGGGCCCCTACTACTGCGGTGTAGGCGCTGGCAAGGTCGTCCTGCGCGACGTCGTCGAGGCCCACTACAAGGCCTGTCTCTGTAAGTTACACTGCCTGATATTCCGCTGTCTCGCTCGAAGAGAGGCTAATGCAATCTTGTTCAGATGCCGGCATCAACATCTCCGGTACCAACGCCGAGGTCCTCCCTGCCCAGTGGGAGTTCCAGGTCGGCCCCTGCACCGGCATCGAGATGGGTGACCAGCTGTGGATTGCCCGATTCTTCCTGTCCCGCATCGCCGAGGAGTTTGGCGCCAAGGTCTCCCTGCACCCCAAGCCCATCAAGGGCCCCTGGAACGGCAGCGGCCTGCACTCCAACTTCTCCACCAAGGAGATGCGCGCCGAGGGCGGCATGAAGTACATCGAGGAGGCCCTCAAGGCCCTCGAGCCCCACCACATCGAGTGTCTCAGCGAGTACGGCGAGGACAACGACCAGCGCCTCACCGGCGACTGCGAGACCGGCTCCATGGACAAGTTCAGCTGGGGCGTTGCCAACCGCGGCACCTCCATCCGTGTGCCTCGCGAGACTGCCGCCCGCGGCTGCGGCTACTTTGAGGACCGCCGCCCTGCCTCCAACGCCGACCCGTACCGTGTCACCAGGGTCCTGATGACCTCCATCTTCGGCAAGGTCTAAGTGGATGACCACGCGGACAATGACCATTTCAGACACCAACTGTCCACCGGCAGCGGAAAAAAGGCGCACACTTATGAGATGCTAATGTGAATAAGAGGGAAATTATGGAATGCCAGAGCGCTTCCATGGGGTTAATCACGGCGTATGGGGTCCATGTTGCTTTTTCTTTTTTTCTTCCAGTTCAACATACACCACGATGTGGGAGAGGTTTTTCAGTTACTAGTTAGACGTGAAGACTGCACAACGCGGTGCGATTTAGAGTCTTGGTAAATACCATGAGAGGGCTTCACAACAAGCACCTGTTTTCTGCCTGTTTGTTCCATCTGTATATACTGCCTGCTCATGGAGTCATGCCAGAGTCTTTGATGATAATCTACATCTTACTACCCACGCACTGCTACTACCTGGAGTTGCTTGATCATATCCTTTCAACCACTTAACTTGTTCACTGTCATGATACCATGTCCTTGTAGCACTACTCCCTATATACCTCTACCCAATTTTCGTCTACCTTATATAGAGTAGTTCCTGCCTGCCACCCTCTTATCCCTCGTTGACCTGTGACGTCCCTCTTTCCGGCAGTTTCAAAGCTTACTCCAGACCGAGAATGGCAGTGGCATGTCTCCTCCATTCGCCCAGCTCAACTGAACGAGCACATGCTGACAGCCTCTCTCTTCCACCTCCGAAAGGCTATGTGTGTACCACGTCCTTATCTCATATTGTTACCTCTCTTGACCCTTGCTCGCTCTCTCGTTCGTTCCAACTATCTATTCACAACTGGGCTCTGCTACATCCTCTCTTCCCGCTGGCCACCATGCCTCCCTCTAGCAAACGCTCGTTTACTGATGACCACCGCGTCTTCACCACCAACTACAGTCAAGCGTTGGTCATCGCCAACACGGTTGAGCCCGAGGATTACGGTCAGGCTCCCAAGTGCTCGCACCCGGGCGTTTGCGACCACGACAAGCTCTTTGCAGGAGAGAAATCTTCGGGCAAAACCTCTGTGAAATTCGATCGCATGCTGGACGTCTGCGACCCTAGCTTTTCCATGAGCCGCCTTGCAATGAAGTGCGTCGTCGATCAACCCGCTCTCCGGGTGCAGGATGGTAAATTCATGTTGACGCTGACAATCTCCAGCGCGGCGCCCTGTTTACGGTGCTTGTTTCATATCCAAGATGGCGATGCGACACGGATGTGCCTGAACTACATTTGTATGTGATGATGACTGATTGCCCAGTGGTCGTCTACTTCTGGCCGTGATGTTTGCTATGCTGATTATAGACCAGGGAAGGATGATAACGGGCCCAAGAGCTGTGTCGAGTGTATCTACGACGGCAAAGAGTGCACATAGGTAAGCGCTCCGAAGGGTTGTGCAACGACAGACACGGAGTTGAGTCAAAATGGGCAGGGTGGCTTCACGCCTTCCGAGCTCGTGTCAACTCAACTACGATTCGCCCGCCACCAGGCGTTACAGGCTGCGCTCGGCGGCATCAAGGACCCGGCTGAAGCCATCGAGGTGAGTTGGAGCTCTTGACGGAGAGGAACTCTAGCTGATGGAATAACCACTTGACCCAAACAGGCCCAATCCAGGATGACGAGGATGGTGGGGGTGTATCTGAACTTGTTCTGGCAGATGGCCGATCTTGACGCGCTCTATCTTGTTCATCGCACCCATGAATGCGAAGTTCTGAAGCGCAAAGAGGCCGCCAAACGTAAAGAGGCCTCGAAGGGCAAGGGCAAGGGCAAGGAGACAATACAGCCGGACAAGAAGCCGAAGCATCGTGTCCAGAAGACAAACAGCGGCAAGGCAGTTGACGGGAAAAGTAACGGCGAATCCTCGACGACGGAGCTACCGATTGGTGACACTTATCCCAGGGGGTTCGGCGTACAGCTCGCCCACGTCACCCTTTTACGCAAGGTCTGGAAGCAAAACGAAAATATTCAGAGGCAGCTCGAAGCTCAAGGCGTGATTCTCTCCGCCATCATAAGGGGGCAGGTGTCCACGCCTCTACCGCTAGATTATTGCAATGAGGAGATGATGAAGTCGGCTAAACTGTCGTGCCAGGTCTTGGAGAAGCTGTTGGACAAGTTCGAGGTCCACGCTCATGGTCTGGAACTCCCGGACCAGCTGAGGAAGGTTGCAATGGAGCTATAAGCACGGCTGGAAGTGCGGCAGCTCCCCGTTGCTTGGATTGAAGAAGCAGGCATCTTGCTAGAGTTTTACGGAGGATCTGTTCTTTCTTTCTCCATTTCTCTCCTTGTTGGTTCTCATCACTCTGTTCCCCCATAGGATATGTTTGTATCGAGATGTTATGAGACACTATAGCGAAACAGCGAGACTTTTCCAAGACAGATCCCGAGTCCAGACTCAGCTGTCCAGACTCAGCTGCTCCAAGTCTCACCAGGATCGCGCCGGGACCGGTCGGCAGGGCTCAAGCGCCCGCTACGATTTAGATCGTGTCTCATGCCAAGCCGCCTTGTCATGCCGGCACGCTCTTGCTGCATGCTTGCCCTGTCTCTGGGATAGTTTGCCATGCTCTACTCCGTCCTGCCCGATGAATTACGAAGTATTACATATACGAAGAATGATGGTCATGTTCCCCCTTTCTCTTCAGGTACTAGAACCGCCAATACACGAGCCAATTGGCCAGGCATGGCGATGGCGCACAGGAGGACGGGCGCCATCGTCGAGGTTAAAATTGGCGGCGACGGCTAATTGGGCTCTTGGACCATAAGGTTTTAGCATGAGATGCAACCTTGGGCCAAGCATAAACCGGCTTCGTCCTATCAGATGACGGCCGGCTCTTCTGCCTCGCTCGGACGAGACCCGGCAAAAGCGGCGCCTGTTTTCCTCTTTCATATCTCTTCCTCTCCCCTCTACGCCTCTTTTTCTCTTTCATACTGATAGTAGTATCTCATCTTTCCCCCTCTCCGCCTCCCGTTTCCGGACGGCAGACTCGGCGGGTTCCTTGATCTATTGAATTCGCGAGTGGCTCCCCATGCTTGGCGCATTGCCGAGACGGGAAGGTTGCAAGGATCATGGAAATCCGAGGTATTCCCAAGGGAGAAGCTGGGATTATGACTTATCGCAAAGCATGGCTAAAGGCGCCTTGTGCCTTGTTGGAATTTGGTTATGTTATGCGGGCTATTGGTTTTCCTTTTCTTTTTTTCCTTGGGGGGGAGGGGAGGGGGGTAAGAGAGAGAAGCATGATTGAAGAGGCGCTTCTGAGGGAGTTTCCCTTTTCGTGATTTGTAGATAGAGGAGAGGGGGGAATGGGGGTCTCCTTGGCGAGTGTATAGGGCCGAATGAATGAATGGCCTTGTGAGGTGGACGTGGATGGCTGTATGGATGATGGTTGAATGTTGTTATTTCGGGGGAGAATGAAGAGGGGGAAGATATGTGTGCCTTGGATTGGGTAGAGTGAGATGACGGACATGGTGGGCACGGGGCAAGGTACTAGATGCAGTCGGGCTCTTGTGACTGGAGAGTGGCATCGGCAGGGAGCAAGCATTATGCGGGAGTGATGATACTACTACATACTAGTAATGGGAGAAGCAAGGAGGGTGAGGAGGAGGATCATGTGGACTGTTGAGCTTACAGGTATAAAGTGACAAGATGCTCCCGCCTGATGGCGTCTACAGAGATGAGAGGAATCGTCGTGTAAGAGGCCCCCCCCGTGTCTACTCACTCTTCTCTGAACTTGTGCCCTCTCGGTCCACGATGAAGGCCTCCGTCTACCTCGCGTCCCTGCTGGCGACGCTGTCGCTGGCGGCGCCGGTCAAGGAGCTGCAGCAGCGGGCGGAGCCGACGGACCTGCCTCGCCTGATTGTGTACTTCCAGACGACGCACGACAGCAGCGGGCAGCCCATCTCGATGCTGCCGCTCATCACGGAGAAGGGCATCGCGCTGACGCACCTGATTGTGTGCTCGCTGCACATCAACCAGGGCGGCGAGGTGCACCTCAACGACTACCCGCCGGACGACCCGCACTTCTACACGCTCTGGAACGAGACCATCAGCATGAAGCAGGCGGGCGTGACGGTCATGGGCATGGTGGGCGGCGCGGCGCCGGGGTCCTTCAACTCGCAGACGCTGGACTCGACCGACGACGCCACGTTTGAGCACTACTACGGGCAGCTGCACGACGTGATTGTCAACTTCCAGCTGCAGGGCATGGACCTGGACGTCGAGCAGCCGATGAGCCAGGCGGGCATCGCGCGGCTCGTCGCGCGGCTGAGGGCCGACTTTGGGCCCGACTTCCTCATCACGCTGGCGCCCGTCGCGTCGGCGCTCGAGAACAGCGGCAACCTGTCGGGCTTCGACTACAACACGCTGCAGCAGGCGCAGGGGGCCGACATCGACTGGTACAACACGCAGTTCTACAGCGGCTTCGGCAGCATGGCGGACACGGGCGACTACGACCGCATCGTGGCCAACGGCTTCTCGCCCGCGACGGTGGTGGCGGGCCAGCTGACGGCGCCGGACGGCGCGGGGTGGATCCCGACGAGCAACCTCAACACGACCATCATCTCGCTGGTGCAGGAGTACGGGCAGATTGGCGGCGTCATGGGCTGGGAGTACTTCAACAGCCTGCCGGGGGGCACGGCGGAGCCGTGGGAGTGGGCGCAGATTGTGACGGAGATCTTGCGGCCGGGGTTGGTGCCGGAGCTGAAGATTACGGACGAGGACGCGGCGAGGCTGTCGGATGCGTATGAGGAGAGTGTCAAGGCGGGCAATGGTGGTGCTGGTGCTGCGGACAAGAGCTTTGTGAAGAAGCCTGCGGTGAACTACTATGCCATGGTGAATGCTTAGACGACAAAGTCGAGTTGTGGGTTTTTGTATATAGGGGTGATGAGGGAACGTATATTGATGTCAGTTAGTTTTGTTGGATACCAGATGTTTTGTTTAGCATGGAATGAGATGATTTTGAAAGCAACATGACGATGGACGGTGATGGAACAATGTGATCTTGTGTGTGTCACTGTAGGTGAAAGCAAGCTTAGATGTAAGTGTAAGTGCAAGTGCGTGCAGGGGGGTCGCGGCATGGCGCGCAAGGTTGCATCAGCTGAGCGACGATCGAGGAAAGGATCTGGACGATCATGGACGGGATGTGGGATTAAGATCGCGGAGATGTGTCTCTATAACATTTGACTGGTGAGACCTCCCCGTATGATACTTGTTATAAGAGAGACATTTGGGGAGGCCTCATGTGATGGAGTGCAAAGTTACACGCACATGACAAAGTTGAGCAGTCCTCCCTGCTTTTGACATGTTGCCCACCTGTCTTCATGCTGCAGGGCGTATTAGTGCTTGTGTCCTCTCCCTCTTGATGGATTCCCACCACGAAGACTCTCGCCATCCGTTTAATGCTGTGGGATACTCGGGCATTTTCCCCTCCAGCGTGGCGTCGTGCGAAAGCGCTACGAAAACGGTATCGTCCTGGTCCAGCTTCCGGAGCCTTTCCATAGACTTGATCGCCTCATCTGTGTCTACGTGCAGGCTGGTTCCGCCCGGACATCCATCTAGACTGAGCGGGCGGCTCCCATCGAGCAGGCTGCGCGCGTGGCAGCAATCGCCGCCCAACATGACCCATTCGTCGGGTCCGGTCTGGGCCAAGCCGGTGACGTGGCCGGGCAGATGTCCCGGCGTGTCGACGATGTAGAAGCTGCCGTCGCCGAAGAAATCATGCGCATGCGAAAAGGGACCGAGAGACGTCTAGATTCTAGGAAGTGTGAGTTTTATCAAGATTGAATCTTGGGGATTTGCTCGTTATGACTGTGTGAGATTTACCTTTGGCAGGCCGGCGCCGAACAAGATGTTCTTCCCCGAGGGATGGCACACGAGGAAGCTGTAGTCGGGGAGACGCTGTCGAGACTTGATAATGTCGTCGTCGCCGTCTTGCCAGATCCATCTGTCGGGGAGGTGTACCCACCCCGTGGGAAGGGCGTACACTTGGACGTGTTTGTCCGAGGCATAGGAAGACAGGAGACCCATGATGAAGAGGATCAGTAAGGAATGGATGGAGTTGCTGAGGATGATAGTTTGGTTGTCCTCTTATATCGTGTTATTTGATCATTTCAGCATATAACTAATATGTCAACGTCTGGGGGCAACTCCGGGATCCAATGCTCTGTGGATGCCGATCCGGAGCCGGAGAATGATTCTGGTGATCCGCATCCGTTGGCTAATTCTGCTTTATCCATTGTATCATCGCTAGAAGTGACGATTATTGCACTTGGAGGTTTCCGATCAAGCACGCGATTGGATACAGGCTTTGCTGTCATGTTGTCACGATGATTCCCCGAGTACGAGTTTGACTCGCAGCCCGGAGCTTGAATGATCCCGCAATGAGGGACAATCAGTCTCGGTAGCTTGAGATGGGCCCGGACACGGACTCATTGGAAGTGCGTTACTGGCTCCGGAGACGGAGCTCTTATGTGGTTTATGTTATGCGGGAGGAGAAGTGATGCCATCAGTGTCAGGCAAGATTTCGAATTGCGATACGCGCGCGATGCCCCTCGATAGTCGAAAGGCTGCTTCTCTCCTTGCGTCAGATTCCCCTGACTGTCACGAAGTCTTATAGTCCCTGGTGGTTTTTGCGAGAAAGGTGCAGAGACGTGCAAGGCAACCGCTTTTGTTCTCTCTTGTTCAATATACACTCTATCCTGGACTATTTACATCTCTACCTCTCCCTCCTCTTTGCTACTCTACCCTCGGTCCGTTTGCACATCTAGTGCTTGTGCTCATGATCCCGACCACTCACGCAGCATGAACCCTCCATGGCCGCCCTCGCAAGCTGAGCACGCGAGACAGGACGAGCAGCCGGCAGCAAGTCTCGTCCCAGGAGGTCAGGCAGGGGAGAAGCATCCCGAGCATCAAGAGAGCCCGCCTCGCGCTTCGCAATGTTGGACGCGTACACCATGTTGAGCCAGTTGGCCAGGCGGTAGCCGCCCTTTGCAATCTGCAGCTCGACGGTGCCGATGACGGAGTTGTAGTAGGTCGGGTACAGGTCGCCCGTCTGCAGGGCCGCAGCGCCGTTGGGCATGACGACGGTGCACACGAGGGCGTTTGCGTCGGTGGCCCAGCGGGTGGCCGTGCCGATGACATCGCTGATGGTGTCGCCCTTGATCCAGCTCGCGGCCTGCGACTTGTACGCGCCGGAGGTGATGTCGCTGATGAGCGTGTTAGCCCAGGACTGCGCGTCCGCCAGCGAATCGCCCCCAATCAGGGCCTCGGGGATGTACGTGTCCCAGTCGGCGTGCAGGTTGTCGCTGTAGCCCTGGAACTTGACGGCGATGTCGTTGCCGCCGACCTCGTACGCCTCGTCGTGCAGCGGCTGCGTGATGTCGCCGACAAAGTGCACCAGGAACTTGAGCGCCTCGGCGACGTGCGCGGCGGACAGGCGGCCGTCGGCCACGCGCTGGGTGTAGTTGGCCATGGCGGAGATGGAGCAGCCGGCGCTGCCGCAGTCGCGGTCGTAGTCGACGTTGCACGAGCTGGGCGGGCTGTCCTGGGCGTCGATGAAGTGGAAGGGCGCGGAGAACTTGCCGGCGGCCGTGGTGCGGTAGGTGTCTGCCCAGGAGGCGATGCTGGCCAGGTACGAGCTGGACGTGTCGTTGAGGACTCCTTGGGCCCTGGATCTCATCTGTTTAGTCGAACTGCTGCTACCGCCAAGTTATGGGAGTTGTGCTTGTACTCACCACGAGGCCGTGGCTGCGTTGAGATAGTGCTGGGCCACGTAGGCGACGGTTGCGTGGCCCAGGACGCCCCAGGCGTGGGCGCCCTGGAGCGTGGCCAGAGTCGCCAGGGCAATCTTTGACATGGAAGGCATTTTCAGTATGAGTCTCGGGAATCCTATACAACTACTGGCTCAACTTGGCTGTTTTGTAGATGAGATTAGGATGCCGCTGGTGCCTTGGCGATTTGGAGGTGATGAAGAGGACGGGCTTGAGATCTTATATGAATCACCCGTCCACTCATTGTCTCGCTTGTCCAGCCGAGCAAGCCAAAGGCACCCATCAGGATCGGTAACGTCGTTCCCTCTTCACCATCTCCTCTCACTGAAACTCCATCCTTCCTCTCCCATCTCTCATCAGTCGTATCAAAGGCCTTATCTCGACCACAAGGCAGAGTCCATCAACCTCCCCCGCGGCCTGCATGCCCGATTCAGCAGGTCCCCAAGATCGGCGCCACGCTTAGCCGGCGACTCGGCATCTCTGCTGGAGCGGGATGGAAGCGCATGTGCGTGTTGAAGGGCGTGATAGGACAGGAAGAGAGAGTCCTCGCGGCACTTTTGGTCGCTTCTGCGATGCCTCGTTTGGGCGTCGGTCTGCGATGGATATATAAACCAGACGAGCGGCCCTGGTGGGCGTGGCCTTGGTTGTAGGCGAAGCGAGGGCTCGTGCCTTGGTTTCCGGTTGTTGTAGGGCTGGGTTTATGTCGGTGAGAGATGCGGCAGACTAGGGCCCATGACAAGTCCGACTTGCACGAGGTAAAATGGCCGAGGAGGATGGAGCTTGAAGCTGTTTACCCCGTTGCATCTGATAATGCGAGAGTAGCTGCATAGGGCTCGTTGCTGGCTCTGCTTTTGAGTCGGGGAGGTGCCTATAACAGTCTAACGGGTTGATGGTTGGATGTAACCGGGCCAGACTAGCAATCTAGCATCCCATATCAGCAGGATTGCCCACCACTTTGAGTTGCTGCGACTTGAAGCACCAATCGGTTCAAGCAATAGACTACTATCTAGTACCTATATCAAGGCATCACAAGTCTTGCCATTGTCGCCAGTACTACGCCGTACGCCTTGCACGGCTCGGGCCGGGTCAGAACTCTGATCCTCGGGACTTGGCAGTCATCCAAGACTCAGGAGGACACGCGCAACCGGGTGTAGAACTACCGCCTCAACGGTCAACTCGACTATTGCTCTAGATTCCCTTTTAGTCTCGTCCGAGCTCGATAGCTTCACGCAGCCAAAAGCAACGGCAGCCAATGCCGTCTTGCTCCGGTTTTTCGCCCCTCCAGCGCCTCGGCCTCCTCGTCAATGCAAAATGCCTCCACTATTTTCTGCTATGCCTCACATGCTGCATAATGCGCCCATATTATGGATGCGCGTCGTTCGTTCGTCCCTCCCGCTCGAGCCATTGGGCATCAATCAATCGGGGGTGCCCCCTTTTCTCGATGTAACCCCCCCTCTCCCCCCCCCCCCTGGCCGCTTCATCATCCCACTGGTTGGCCACTGCAAGTAGCCACACACAAAAAACGGGCAGTCGGGCGGGATCCTCTCCAGCTCACGACCAAGACCCTCAGGCTAACCCTTTTTCCATTATCTCCATTCCATCCGTTTGGCTCTGCGAAGTATTATACTCCGTACATACATACAGTAGATTGCGGAAAGAGGAAAACGAGGCCCCCCTCCAGCCTATATACCGAAGACCAAAAGTAAGAACGTAAATTTCCTTAGTGGTGCTGCTGCGTGGGTTTGCTATCAGTGCTGCTGCCGCCGCCGCCGCAGCCGCCGCTGTGGATTGTGCTACGGATTGCTGTATACTGACAAGCGCTGTGGGTGTAGACCATGTCCAACAAAATCACGGATGCCCGCCTGGAGTGGCTCGAGGAGACACGCCGGCGGAAAAGCCTGCTGATCCAGCAGCTCGAGGAGGAGGAGAAGAAGATGGTGGAGGGCAAGGACGGGGCAGCGGCCGCAGACGATGCTGCGGTGCCTCCCGAGCACGAGGTGGACGCCAAGCTGCAGGAGACGCTCAACTCGTACCAGCTCAACATTGACCGGTTCAAGGAGGAGCTGGCGGCCATTGAGAAGGAGTTTGAGTCTTGGCAGGAGATGGGCTTCAGCCTGCCTGCGGGCAAGTGAGCGCGGGGGGGGGCACACCGATGATCCGGATTGTTGGAGTTGAAAACTGGCGTGCTTTTGGGGGGTTTGCCTGGAGCAGCATCTACATATGTACATAATTGGTTGGTGGTTGGGCTCCTTTTTCGTTTGCGCTTCATTGCGTGGAGGGCGGATAGACATTGGTCTGTATAAGTCAACGGTAGCTGATACTCTGGCGAGGAATAGGCGGATCGCATGAGAAGAAAAGCATCATATGGTGGTAGACTCGGTTTCGATTCATTCGTCCATTATCCGACTCGTCCTGGCCTTACGCAGCAAACGTTTCGGGGAGAAAGGGATGTCAGTCATATAGCAATGATGGGTTCGTCAAATATAAGTGAACAGAAAGCCGCTACCTTACACTGACTGTGTTTCTGAGCCACTTTTGACTTGAGATGGATACAGCTACATGTACTTGAAGAAACACTCGAAGGGCGCCATCTCCAGAATTGGACATTGCCTAGATGACTTGCATTCTACCCCGTTGCCTTGATTAGACTGGAGTTGGCTCACGAAGGCCCTGGATATTAGAGAATATAGCAACTAATTTGCCTTGCGAGTCTGAACTTCATGTGCTGCCTCGCAACGGGCGACAAACATGTCAGTCGCCGGGTCTTGACGCGGTATCGGGACGAGGACTTGATCCAAGGTATCGGTATTGACGAGACCAAGTTCTGTAGCGAGGCTTGGAGAAGTAGAATCTGAGCTTAAGACGGCTGGCTACCTGACCAAATCAAGCATCTTCGGTGGCCGCGGACGTATGTGGCGGTCGTGTTCACGTTCAATCTCCGGCTTAAACTCGTATGATATCTACTACCTTACCTTACCTTACTACTAGAACAGAGCCGTCACGTGCCGGACCTTTTGGCTGACATGCTGAGTGGATCTGGGCCTCAGGAGAGTTGGGGTAGATTCAACGCTGACTTCACTCATTCGCCGTGTAAGACAAAAGACATCAAATACAGCAGAGATGCGGCACAAGGTCAAAGTGCCCCCTTGCAGATACTGCAGCAGGATATTCCCAAGGACCGAACATTTGCGTCGCCATGAGAGAACACGTACGCGACTCCCCGAGAACTCGCGCTGATGATCGCTGGCTGACCTGGCGGAATTGGGGTAGATACCAAGGAGAAGCCCCATGGCTGCATCTGCGGACGGACTTTTTCGCGGCAGTGAGTCTCATCCAATTCCTGCTCAGATACGAATGCCCGAGTCTTATGATGCTGACTTGGACTTCCTCAGAGACCTGCTTGCACGGCATGTCAAGCTGACCAAAGAGGAGGGACATGGGCCGCTCAGCCCCAACGTCTCGAGCCGGCGCAGACAATCAGTCGACAGTCCTGGACCTGCCGTGCCGGATGCTGCAGCAAATGATGAGCCCAAGTCTGTTGGTGACACGCAAGCCTCCCCTTTCGAGGCAAACCTGGTTCCGGCGGCTCTCAGAGATGACTTGGACATGCTTTGGGACAGCTTCCAACTGCAATACAACCCTTTCGAGCTCTCTTACTTCAATCCCGACTTCCCCCTCAGCTTTCCGTCCTTTGACATTGCGCCTTCGCTGACCATGCCCTCATTGTCCGAGTCAACGACGCCCAACAGCGACATCTCGATGAGGACGGAGGAATCCATCTGGCAGGATGACTTGCCGTGCGCCTCTGCGTTGTTGAATGGGCAGCCTCCCAAGCGTCCCACGGTACCTCCTCGCCCAAGAGTGACCAACACGTCGGCCGGCATACAGAATTCAGTACCTTGTTTTACATCGTCAAGGAATCCGTGTTACATGACCAGCCAAGACTACGACCAAATCTCTCTTTCTGCCCAAGAGAACGCTGCCATTCTCCCCCTCGACTTCCAGCTTCCTTCAAAGCACACCCTGAGCAGGTACATCGAAGGCTACTCTAGCTGGAACCTGCACCGACCGTTTCTGCATCTCTCCACGACGAGTTTCGGCCAAATGCCGCTGGAGCTTGTCTTTGCGATCGCTGCCATGGGCGCACAGTATCGGTTTGAGCCGGAGGCAGCCGTGTCGCTATACTACGCTGCGAAAAGCGTCATAGACGTGAGGCTCAGCAAGACTGCAGCGGCCGTAGCTGAGGCGGCGCACAATTCGACAGTACGGGCACGGCCAGCTCGTCAGGGTGTGGCGCCTCCTGCAGCGACTTGGACGAACGAAGCGCCTCTGGGCATCGAGACGATACAAGCCATGATCATTTGCATGTCCTTGTGCTCGTGGGAGTATAAAGACCTGCTGCCCGATGCCTTTAGCTTGGCAGAACAAGTCGCTCTATATCTACGGCAGGGGGGATACCTGGATCCAGAGGAAACGCCTGGGGACGCAAGTTGGCCACAATGGATCCAAAGCGAAGGGCGTCGACGAACTGTCTTCATCGCCTTCATCCTCTTCAATCTACACACCATATTCTACGACGTCCCACCGCGGCTCATGGCTCGCGAGATATGGTCGATCAAAATGCCACAGCATGAGGCTCACTGGTGGGCTTCCACGACGCCTGAATGGAAGGAGGCAAGACGCCGTCATCCACCACTGTCTGGCAGTTTTGGCGACTACTACTTGGATCTGATGGTCCCCATCGAATCTCGAAACCCCAACCATCGCACTTCGGCGTTTGGAAGCTTGGTCTCGATCCATGGCTTGGTGCAGCAGATCCAGCTTACAAGGGACTCCTTGGCACACCTTGATCCGAACTGTGCCAATCCCGATGAGCTACCGTTTCCAGAAGACGTCTACATGAAGTTCAGGCGGGCACTCTGTCGCTGGGATACAGGCTGGGCCTCGAGCAGGGATTCCGCCACGCAGCCCATTGCCCAGATGGCGCCGCTCGGATTCAACGCCACGGCCGTCTTCCGCATCGCCTGGGTCAGGCTGGGCTTCAGCATGGTTGTGAGCCGCAACTTCAGCAGCAGGGATGCCGTCGCCACCGCAGCTGCTTTTGCGCGATGCCCTCTGCCGCAGCGCTCGCCGCGATTGTACTCGGCCGTTTTGCAAAGCGCCCACGCCCTCAGCATCCCGGTGCGGATCGGCATCAGGTACGCGTCCAAGACGCAGATATTCTCCTGGAGCATCGTTCACAGCATAGCGAATCTGGAGTGCGCTTTGTTTCTGAGTAAGTGGCTGCAGCGGGCGAGTGTGGAGAGTGGGTGCTTGCAGGACGAGGAGAGGATTTTGATTCGGGTCATTGCGCGGATATTGAAGGAGACGCCGTTCTATAAGCCCGCGGTGGATGACGAGTATGATGCGGCGACGATTAAGCATATGGCTTGTTCTGTTTTGCGGCTGTTTACGGAGTTGTTTAAGGAGTCGCATTTGTTTGATGCGGTTGGTTCGTGTATCGAGGCGGCTGATCGATATGCATCTACGTTGGAACGTTGATGAGCAAGACAGGTGGACATTCGCTGCTCAAGCTGAGCCTTTGCTCGTGTACAACAGGGAGAGATGGGCTCATGTTGGCTGACGTTGGAAATCGGGTGAGAAGTATTATATGGCACATGGCAATCGGGGCAATTGTCCCAGTATGTTTTATAGATACAGCTATAGATAGTGCTCATCGTTGTTGGTGCTTGCTTTGGCTCGCGTGCTCGTATTGTCCTGGGGTTTGGGGATGACTTTGAGCAGTTGGGGTAGAAAAGAGGCCGTGGGGTAGATTGAAGCTGAACCAATTTGGGTGAATCAACTTGGGTGAAGCCTCAGCTCCATTTGATCACAATAGAGGAGAGGTGTTCGAGATTGGTTCTTTATCAACAAGATCCTTAATCCGCTGACAGTAATGACAACAGCGTGGTTGGTATCAAGCCTGGCAGCAACACTCGGCGTACGGAGTGTCTGTAGATGACTAATTAATTCCCGATGATGAAGCCGATGATACCTACCAATCTCAGCGGCATGAGTTGAGTCCGGTCAACGAGTGTATGTAGATGCACCACAGCCTCATCTCACATCAACTCACCTCATTATACCACATACTATATGCTCGTTCTCTCCGTGATAGTCAATGAACCCCTCGATATCCCTCGCCAGCGCCCCCAAGCGCAGAAACGGCCGCCCCCAGGCCTGCGAGCCCTGCCGCCGACGCAAAGTCGCCTGCGACCATCGGACCCCGACGTGCTCGCGCTGTCGCCGCGGCGGAATCGCCGACAAGTGCGTCTATCTCGCCCAGCCAAACCAGCAGCAGCAGCATCATCATCACGGCCACGGAAGTATTCATGCATCAAGATCATCAGCGCCGAATCCTGGCGCCGTTCCTCCCGTAAGCAGTCGACCGCAGCCGCTGCAGGCACATCTCCCCGAAGGCAACATCGGCTATCTCGGCGCAACGAGCTTCTCTGCCTTTTACGAGGAGGCACAACAGAGTCTGCCGGTAGCAGACAAGTGCGAGTCAGAGGCAGAAGCTGTGCTGCCGCCGAAATGCGTCGAGGTGTTTCCGGGCATGGGCGAAGCTGCGCTGAGCGTGCTGCGTCAGATCCCTGACAAAGCTTCGTCCAAGCTCTTGGCCAGGTTGTACTCCAGCTTCTACGGAGGCTGGAGCTGGCTCTCGGGACAGTGGCTGAACGAGTCTCTCTGGACGGCGTTTGGGACGACGTTGGACCGCGAGGCGAGAGACGAGGCGCAGCTGCGGCGCATGTCGTCCAAGCTCTACCGAAACGGCGCCGTTCCTCTGGGAGAGGCTCATGCAGATGCCCAGGCCTGGTTCGACGAGTATTCGGGGCCGAATCTGCGGTGGGAGGCCCTTGGCTTGCTGTTCGTCTTCTGGGCCGGCGGTGCGCGGAGACTGCCTGAGCGGTCGGCCATTTGCGGCGACTGCGCGGTGCTGCACAATCACCATGCGAGCCAGCTTGTTCGTCAGTATAAGACGGCTGCGTGGAAGTGCATTGAGCTGTGTCGCGATGGGGCGAGCAGCAACATGTTGCTGGCGTTTCTCGTCTTGGGACATAGTTTATTGGAGTCCAACATTTCCGGTGATGCAGGTAAAGCTATCGGGCTCACCCATTACATCTGAATCTCTTCTGCTCACAAAATGTTCGTACCTAGGCATGCAATACTGGCGAACACACGGCGACCTCATGGCCATGACAACCTACCTCGGCCTGCACGTCTCCCCCAACGCAGACCCCATGGACTGCACCATCACCACGCAAGTCAAGCGCCAGCTCTTCGCCGCCATCTTCGCGCACGACAAGGTCACCGCCACCTTCACCGGCCGGCCGCCGTTCCTCAGCAGGCGGTTCTCGTCGACGCCGCTGCCGCTGGACTTGAGCGACGACATGCTCCTCCTCTCCTCGGGCGGCAGCAGCAGCAATCAGCTGGCCGACTACAGGGACTGCCGGGTGGACGACAACGGATGGAGCACGGATGGCAGGATATACGTGACGACGACGCTGCGCGCGAGGGCCATGCTGGCGTATGTGCGGGACGAGATTCTGGAGATTGCGCTGCAGAGCCTGGATTTCGGGGGCAAATCGGCGCTTCTGTGAGCTTCCATCACGCCTGAGTTCCAAGATCCTGAAAAGAATAGATACTGACCAGCGGCACAGCAATCTGAAGAGACGAGAGATGCAGATCGTCGCCGGCTTCCCGCCCTGCATCCTCTACCAGCCCGAAGACGTCAACAACCCCGACATCTCCGGCCGCGACCTCTACGCGCGGCTCCTCGTCTGGCTCGAGCACCTCCAGAACCTCTTCCTCATCGAGCGCCTCCTCAGCAAACTACAACAAGACGAAGACAACAGCCAAGAAGCCCCCTCCTCCTCCTCCTCCTCCCGCCTCTTCGACATCAGCCTCGAGATGGTCACCCTAGCGCACCTCTTCTGGACGCACCAGAACCGGCTCAAGACAGTCGAGGACTGCGTCGAGTGGACGACGGCCTCGTTCGCCGCGCCCGCGGGAGGCGTCCTGTGCATGGAGCTGCTCCGCGGGACGGCGACGCACGACGCGCTGAGCCCCGCGGCGACCAAGGCGCTCATCGCGGAGAAGCTGGGCATGCTGGCGGCGTTTCTGGACTGGGTCGGCCCCGGGTCGCCGAATTACGACATCTGCTACAGGGTGAAGAGGGTGGTGAGGAGGGTGTTGGAGCAGGCGCTGGAGATGCCGGTGCAGACGAACCTGCTGGATGGGAGCGGGCATTGGAGCATGGAGGACGGGGAGGGGGATCTGAATTCGTTTTTCAGCTTTGATTTGCTGGATACCTTTGAGTGGCTGCGGCCTGAGTAATCGTAGGGATGGACATTTTTTGAATAAGAGTCTCCGTCATATGTTGTGTTGTTGAATCGAGGTCTGTCTTCCTCACCTCGACATCCCGCCTTATACGCCTGTAGAGCCACCCCTTCTGCTAACCCACCAAAAGACACCGGACCCCACCACCCGCACGCACCAGCCTAAACCTCGGCTATCTCTCCCCATCTCCCGCATTATTTCATCGCCGTCGTCATCGCCACCGAGCATCACCTCTCAATCAAACAACCTAACAATCCACCACTTCAACAACCCCCAATCCCCGCCTCTCAACTCCCTTGCCATTCTCCCTCATTCAGTCAATTTCAGCAAAAAAACCTCGACAAAACAAAAGCAAACAAAGCAACAACCACCAAAAAATGCCACCTCTCCGCCTCCCTCGCCTCTCCAACCTCAAGCTCAACCTCCGCAGCACCACCACCCGCCGTCTCTCATCAACATTCTCCTCCCGCCCCTCGCCCCCGAAACTCCCCGCCGCCCAGCAAGCCGAGTTCGAACGCCTCCAGCGCGCAGCCGCCGTGTCCTCCGCCTTTCAAGACGCCGCCGCCGCGCAGCCGTCGCCGCCGTCCACCGAGTCTCTCCGCCACACATCTTCCCCTACCTCTTCCTCTTCTACAAACGCTGCGAAGGATGAGGGCGACGGGACGACGCTGGGCCAGGGCCTGTTTCGGGGCGCGAAGCCCGAGTTTGAGGGCGACGTGAATCCCAAGACGGGAGAGGTGGGAGGGCCCAAGAATGAGCCTTTGCGGTGGGGTGGGGAGGGGGATTGGAGCTATAATGGGAGGGTGACGGATTTCTGATTTCCTGCAGAAGGACAAGGGGATCTTTGATGATCGAACGAGGGGGGGGGGAGAAGTTGGCAGTGCAAGAGAAGAGGAAAGACGGAGAGTATAACGGCTGGATGGATGGACCAGGGTTATACCAGCGTCGTACAACACGACGGCAGTGTACAATAAAAGCATTAGAATCTTTGAGTCATGTATTACTACTACCACTACTTATAATTCGCACCATCATCATCATGAGTAGAGAGGGTACCCCTTCCTATCGTAAGGAAAAGTAAGAAACAAATAATACATTAACACGAGAAAAAGAAATAAGCAAAGAAACGTATAAGAACAGAGACATCCGGATATACGGAGCAAATCCCACCACATTCCAGAGAAAAGAAGAGAAATTTTGCCTTCGCTATTTTACTTGCCCCCAAAACACAAGCCCACACAGTCCTTTTCCCCCCTTACTCCAAGGAGACTTTTCCTGTCCATCCTAAGTAGAACGAAATGCTTGACATGATCCTCATCAAGATAAAGAAAGAAAATGAGAAACAGGAAACAGTTACAAGACAAGCGGCTACTTCTCCTCAGCCGCTACCGCCTTCTCCTCGCCTGCCATATCCGGCATCTCCACATCCTTCTCCTGCTCGTGCTCTTCTGCTGGAGCGTCGCTCATCTTCTCGTCAGGCAGGTTCTCCTTATTTCCTTCGCTGTCGCGACGCTTCCCCTCGGGCGCTTCATCAGCGTTCTTCCTCTTGGCCCAGTTGCCAGAAATCTCGCTACCCAAGCTGGGCTTGCTGTCCGCGGCCACATCCTTGCCCAACCCTGCTATGAGGACATAGTTGGCCGCCTGCTCCCTCATCCGCTCCCGCCTGCCCTTTCCGCGCAGCCTGGCCTGAGGCTGGGCACCATTCTGCACCCAGCGGATGCTCTTAACCATGTAGCTGAGGCCGTCGTGGATGGAGTGTCGTGTTCCGTATTCGCCACCGAACTCGCGGCTGGTAATGCCGTATCGCGTGGAGGAAGCGTACTTGACGAGTCGGGGCAGTATCAAAACAGTGACGTGCAGGTCGCGGTCGGGCGGGGTGGGCATCGGGCCCGTGGGAGGAGGCCTCGTAATGAGTCCTTCGGATGTTGCGTTGACCATGTCGGCGTCCATGCTCTTAGCCTTGCGACGCTTCGTTTCCCCGTTGGAGCCTTGGTCCAAGTCCAGCAGAGACGTGTCGACGTCCTCGGTCCATTCTCCCCTGATCCAGCCCCCGTGAATGCACGCCGCCACTACGTCGGAGTCGTCCGTGTAGACGTCCGTGCCCCAGAGGAAGGCTCTGGCGGTGATCTCTTCCCGAGCAATCGGCGACAGGTGGACGCGAGACACTTTGACAGTCAGCGTGCAGTTTTCCTTGCCTTTAATCAGCTCATACGGCAGCGGCTTCGGGTTCGATGCGAAGCCCCGGTGGGTGGGGGTGCTTGGGAGTAGCCTTCCAGGCTTCAGCCATGGTTCATAGATAAAGTCTCCCAGATGGTGACGGGGCTGGCCAGCAACCTGCTCCAGCACCGCCTTGGAGGATACAATGGTCCGCGGCTTGGGTGGAATCGCCGTCGGAGGGCTCTGCGCAGTCTTCGTAGCCTGCGCCGGCTGTGCGGCTCGCGGCGTATGATGGTGGTGATGGTGGTGGTGAGCAGCGTTCGGCATCTTCTCTGTCGGTGATGCCATGGGCGTCGCGCCCTTGAAGTTCTTGAGCGTGGTGATCGCAACAGTCGGAGAAGCAGTTCCCTCGGGCGCGTGGTGGTGATGGTGGTGGTGGTGGCTGGGAAATGTTAGCTGGCCTTGATCTTCGTACTAGCTTTGCTCTTCCGCTCTCATCATATCCGTGGAAACTTACTGATGGTGATGGTGCGCATGTCCCCTGACCCGTTTTGCGCCACGCCCTACCGGTGTGACCCTGCCGGAGCTGTCGTCGTCGCGGCTCTCCTCCGTATTCAGCTTTCGCCTTCTCCCCCGTTGAGCCTTGGGCGCCCCTTCTGGCCCGGCCTCAGGCGCCGGATTATCGGTCTCGTCGCGTTTGGCCAGCGCTGCGTTGATGTACTGCACCATCGGCGCAGAGGTGACGGGGCTCGACAGGCCGCCGACGCCTCCCACGCCGCTGCCAATACCCGCAAACATGCGACCAAACTCGCTCTTGATGCCTGGTTCTGCGGCGGGTCCCGGCTGCTGAGGCTGCGCTCCCTGAACGGCCTGCGGGAGCGGGGAAACCCGTCCTTTGCGGTTGATTTCTTGTACGGCAAGCAGATTGCGCTGGTGAATGCCCGGTCCAGAAGGATCGTCGATATTCCTGTTTCGCGCCGCGTCAAACGGATGGCTACCGCCGCCGGGAAACGGCGCGGATGAATGAGACGGAGGCACGTCATCAAGAGGTCGTGATCTGGGCTGCTGCTGAGGATGAGGTGGCGGCTGCTGCTGCTGTTGCTGCTGCTGCTGTTGTTGCTGCGCGTGATGGAGCTCCATTCGGGCTCGATCGGGAGACTCGTGAGGTTGGGGCGGGCCGGCGACACCTGATGAACTTTGCGGATATCCGGCGTGAGACGTTGGTGGAAATCTCTCTGGAGGTGCCGTGGGATACGCTGAGCCGTGAGGCGCATAAGGACCAGAGGTGGGAGGATAGTCTGGGTGCGGTCGCTGATGATCCATCGGTGCGGTCCTGTAGTTGGCGTCTGGTTCAGGTCGTCCCCAGCGCGGGTCTCGAGGGTCGCGGCGGTCGAGGAGCTCGGCAGGGGGTGCGGCGCCGTAGGGGGCAGATTGGTGGGCCGGGGGTTCGCGATGTGGCTGGTCATGCGGCGCCAGAGGATGTCGGCTCGGGTCGCCTCCGGAATAAGCCCGCTCCCGCCCTTCTCGTTCACGCTGCTGCTGCTGCTGCTGATGCTGCTGTTGTTCGATTGCGTTTTGCCTCTCTCTTTCAGCCCTGTAGCGATCGTCATAGGAATAAGGCCTCAGGCCCGTCCGTTCGCCGTAATCTAGACCCGCTGCTGATCGCGTAATTTCCTCTCGGCGACCGTAGGCATCTTCGGGACCAGGTACCCTTCCGACTTCCATCGGCCGAGGTGCCATGCCGCCGTACGATCTCGACTGAGAGTTATTCTGAGCTTGGGGCGGCGGCGCTCCGGACATTCTTGCGGGGTCTCGAGATGGATCGTTCGAGCTGGAAGGGTGCCGCGCGTGATAGGGTTGTTGCTGCGCCTGCTGTTGCGGCGTGCCGTATCGCTGGATGTCGGGGGTCGTGGCGTAGGGGCCTCGAGGTGACGGTGCAGCGGCTGCTCGGGGATCGTACGGTCGCTGAAGCTCGGGGGTTTGAGGCCGCCGGAACGGGGGGTATTCGGAGGATGCAGAGTGCATTCGAGGCGACGCCTGGATGGCGGCCGCAAAGCCGGGACCCGAGGTCGATGCGGAGGTCGGGGCCGAGTGCGATGCGTAATGCTGGGGCGGCGCAGACGGGGGCTGGGCGTCTCGTGATGCTGGAGGCGGGCCACCGAGCATGGACGAGATGGACATGGAGCTGCCGCCTGACGCTGAGCCGGCGCGGGCGATGGAGCTCAAAGCGGGCAGGTCGCGGCCGGAGGGAAAGGCGCTGGGCGGCCCAACAGCGACGGGAGGCGGCCGAGGCGGTGGTGGCCCGTACGCCATGCCGGGGTGAGGCTGCGAGGGATGAGGAGGAGGCTGCTGGTGATGCTGGAGCTGCTGCTGCTGCTGCTGTGGCCCCAGCTGCTGGGGAGGCGACGTGGGCGGCGGCATATTGCGACTCAGCTCGCGGGCGGTGGGCAGGGACGAGGCGCTCTGGGCACGCGAATGGCTATGGCTATGGCCGGGCTCGGGATAGTCGCGGACGTGGGAGGAGCGGTAGGGCGCCTCCGAGATGCGGCGCTGGTGAGCATAGGCCGGGCTGGGAATGCGATGCGAGGCTGGCGACGGCGCCGAGACGGGGACTGCGTGCGCGGCGGTGGTCGCGGTGGTCGAGGTCGGCGGCAGGGGGAAGTGCTGCCCTCGGTGGCCGTGCTGGCGATGGCTCTGGCCGTGGTTTTGGTGCTGGTGCTGGTGCTGGTTGTGGTTGTGGTTGAGATTGTGGTTGTAAAGAGCTGGCGACCGTCTTGGATCCATAGTGCCGAAGTTTTGGCTGCTTAGCTCGAAAATTCCGACTGGGCGGAGCGATCTAGCGACGATCAGTCACAGAAGCTCAGGTGGCCTGAGAGCAGCTGCGCGCCGCCCCTGACTGACTGCCGCGAAGATGGCGAGGTGAGGTGAGGTGAGGATCAGGCAGAGACTCTCGGTCAAGCCTCGCAAGATCCCACGATCTGGCCAGAAGCCGCGCCTCCGTAGCGTCACGTCCAAGCCGACTCGCTGCACCTGGGCCTGTCCGCTGTACGCATGCGCCCGGCAGCTGCCGTCTGGCAGGGCGTCGAGCCGAGTTTTCGCTGCCGGGGTGTGAGGCCGAGCCTGGGCTAGTCGTGGCAGCGCCAAAGTCCCAGGAATCGCCCACGTCAGTCAGTCAATGTCTCGAGCGAGGGAAAAACCGGTGGAAGAGCGGGCCAGCCACCGACAGCGCGAGGTCCGCCCTGCGCTAGAATGGAAGCCTTCAGCTTGGCACACAGCTCTGCTGCGATCTATGTATCTCGACGGCCGGAAAGTAACAGGTAAGATGTCACAGAGGAAGGTTTGCAGACGTGAGAAAAATAAAGAAAAAAAGAAAAATTAGTGACACGCACGGCAGAGTGCCAGTCAGCCGTGCAGGGATTCAAGCTCCCCCTTGCCGGAGCGTGACGAGATGCGCGAGGACGGATTTGGAGGGGAGGGGGAGACGTGGGCGGCGAGAGAAGACCCCTAGGAGGCGGCGGTGGGGAAGCGGGATGCGCTTTGTTTGGTGCGGTGGTGGTGTGCGGTGGTTTGTTTTGATTTGCTTCTGTATTTCCTTTCTCGTGTGGTGATGATGATGACTGAATGGAATATTGAAGAGGCGCAAAAGTCGTGAAGCCGTGATGCTCGTGACGAGTCGACGCTGTTGGTTTGGACTGTCGGTGGCCAGATGGATGGGTGAAGGGCAGTTGGGTCGAGTCGCGGCGAGTGACGTCTCTCGAAATCTCTCAGAAGCAGTCGTTTCCGTATCTCTTCTCGTCTTGAGTCGAAGAAGTCGCCAAATGCTGAGCTCGGAGTCAATGCTGGTTGATGGTGATTCTCTCACTGTACAGAAGAATTGAAGTGGCGGAATCAGCAGAATCAGTGGCTTGGAGCCACCCTGTGCTAAACACCTGCTAGTGGGCACGGATGCCGGGGCAGGTTCAGGTTCTGCTTGGCGCCAACGCAGGAGCTTCCAAGTTTTGCGGGGAAGCTCAAGGCTGGCTGTCCGCGATAAGGCTACGGTCATCCGTCCGTGCTGGCCAGGTACCGCGCAGGGAGCGCCAGGTATTTGCCCGTCCACGGCGCTATGCAGAGCTACCTGATCTCGTGGAACTGCTACATCCAATGCCCTTGCCTGCCACATGCCTTGCAAACCAACTGCCAGTGAGCTCAAGATATCCATTTCATCATCTTGGAGGCATCTCATCTGGCAGATACTGTCACATCATCACACAACTGCAAAGACTGACTGGCAGTCGGCATGCACGTCGTTGGGCTACATGTACGTAGTTGTATACGAACATGCCTGATGCCTGTCTCGCCCGGAAATGGCTCACTCATTGGCTCAGATCAGTTGCATCTCAAACAGGCACGGCTCCACGCGAGACAGCCAGAGGGAGGGCAATGGCAGAAAAAGCAAAGAAGAGCTGATTTCCCCAGGATCAACTCATCATCACCTCTGCTTCCTCCAATTTCCACATCCTACAACTGAAACAGAAGCCCATGATACTACTACCTGCAACACTCACCGTGAAGCAGTCAGCATCACCAGGTAGAAGCCATCACTCGCACAGCCGGTTCCCTCCCTCCCCAACCCGGGCAACAGGCAAGCCGATAACCGCTTCTGCTGTGCGACAGTTGGCTTCTGGCGATCTGCTCTGCCAATCTGCCCGCGGTCGCACCACAAGTCGCTCGCAACAGTAGCAAACAGCCGGGAACCCCTCAGGAACCAGGGACCCTGGTCACAGCCAGATGCGCTGGACGGGCTAACGCAGAGATCATGCACGCATTATAACCGAGTCGCCGCGCTCAGTGGCAGCATCGGGCCGCATAGATGCCCTTCTTTCGCTCTGCTTCACCGCTGGACCAGACGCCCAGTTTGGGGCAATGGGGCCGGTAATTGGAGAAGCAAGACAGTGGGTGGCTGGCGTCGACAATTCCATGTTGCTTCTCTGGGGGTTGTTGTCTCACTTGATGCTTGATGTTCCTGCCTCGTACCTCACCAAAGCCGAACCCCTGGTTAGCCCTCAGCCTTCCGCGCCATGTCGATGCAAAGATGGATGTCTAGTTATCTCCATGATATACGACCCAATCGCTTGTACAAGGACATCGGAGAGGCAAGACGACAAGAAGATGATCGACAGGCGACAAAGAAAAAGGAATCAGGCACGTGCAGGCAGAATTTCCCAGCAAGCGGGGAGCCCACTCACACTGAAAGGAGGAAACGGAAAAGGAAGGACAAAAAGCAACTGAATCGAGGAGACTTCAAGATGGACGAAATGGCCAAGATGGACAAGATGGACAAGATTGGGCAGAATCAGCGGCAAGCATGAGGTGGTCCTTTCAGGCGGTGAGAGTCGAAGAGGCAACCAGCCGGTGACCCGTCCATCCGTCGTCAATTTGGCATCAGAAATGCATGCGCAGACAGACAGAAAGACACATGCCTGTGCCATCACAGGCTGCATGCATGCGCGCATGTGAGTCGGCGGAGCACGCAATATATTTCTGTGCGCTGTGCTGTGCGTCCACATCGTGTCGCCGCACATGCAATGCGTGTAACCAAAAAGCGGGCGCGTGCAGGGTTGCTTCTGGGGCTTTGAGGGGGGCCGTTGGGCTGGAATTGTGGTGATGATGGTGATTTTGGTGGGTGGTGGTTTGGACCGAAGTCGTGATGGTTACGGGATACCCTATTCCGCATGTAAGTCGAATTCGCTGACAACTCGTAGAGGATTATTGAAGATGATTTGATGGTAGAAATGCCTGAAGAGTACCTGTACTGTCATGTGCTGTTCATAATAGCGGCGAAGATGGCAATATTACAGGTTAGGCCGCTCGTCAAATGAGGGCATCACGGAGTGAGAATTACCTAGGTAAACGCCTGCATTTACGTGGACAGCATCGAACCAATAGTAGACACTCAAAGACCATTTGCAGGCGAGACATCAACTCCGTTCTTTACATACCTGTCCAGGCAGTCAACCATCGCCATCACGGAAATCCGGGCATGCGGATTCGTACATGATGCGGTCGACGACATGCATCCTGCCATCCGAACCGGTCTGTACTCCGTATACAAGGCGCTTGTTACCGTCGCCCAGTGGCACATTGCATCACCTGCTGCATCTCATGAATCCGGCAGTTGACAGACTCTTGCTGGTGCTGTGATATCTGTCATGATAGGATTCATCTAGAGGACACCTCCTCTCAGCATGTTTTCCATGTCAAGTCTGTGGCTTGCGCACTATCTTCAAGTGCGTAGTGAGCGACTGTTATGTATCAGAGTCTGTTGTCGTTTGCTATAGAATACCATATTGTTAATATGTAACAGATGATAAGTCACCTATGTCACCATATGGCTACCGTTCTGCGGCTGCATCACGTCGGAGTAACCGGGTTGTTGCATCCCGCTCGGGAGCTGTCCACAGTTCACAGAGAAGACATATCAAATGAGGGGTTGGCTACATCGTGTCATGACGACCTCAGTTACTCAATGTAGGTAACTGAAATTGGAGACTGGTCGTAGCTTGATGAATGCGGATGCATTCACATAGAATGTCGGACCGCTTGAGCCACGGGTTATGATATTGACCATTACGATAGAAAAGAGTGAGTTGAAGGTCCAGGTATTTCTCAGCTAAATGTGGGCTATATGCATTTGTCTCGAATAGACCAGTGCCTATATCATTCATTACAACGCTTATTGTTCAAAATCTATGCATATAAATCGTTACTTTTCGACGAATCGGCCCCTCGCTTCCGGCATCTGGGGTTGGCGGAGCTCCCATCCGGTCGTGTTTGATAGTTGTCTTGTTGGGAGCGTATTCAGCCACTGCTCAAGTATAATCGCATCATGCAAAATGAAGAGTACAAGTTGTATCATGTCCCCCTTTGTAGTCCCGAGTTGGGGAATCCGCTCCATAGTCGATGACTGCACAAGGTATACTCTCCTTCCATTCTATTACTCAAAACTTCAAGGATGCAAGACACTTCAGCGTACCTATGCCATCAGACCCGGAACCTTTATCCTACACTGCACGGCAGCCAGTGTAGAGGACGGCGCGATGGCCTTGGAGATCGGCTGAAGGACCTCTCACGTTACGTCCCGGCGGAGGCCATTCGACCGTCTTTGGTCCCACGCGGACGGCGCCCATGAGCGGAACGGAAGAGTGCATTGTTCACGCTGGTGTGGGTATAATTGAATGGATGGTGAGGAAGATATTTTACCGATTGCACAGGACATTATCATCATCCGACTTTTTGTGTTCGGGAGTTTCACCGGAGAAGAAAATGGTGATGTAATGAAGGATGGAGTTGGCTTTGATAAGGGCATACAGCATTCAGAATGTGAATTCTATATTCATAAAGAATCTGCCTACATGCAATCAGACTTATGGATTGATCAGTGATTGGCATTAGCGATTACAATGAACTATACGTTCCCATTGGAATGCAAGCACATCAAATCAATCTCATATCAGATAGATGGTTAGTTGCTGTGGAGTTGCAGGAGTCGTCCTCCTCATATACCGTCCCTATGAGACAGTTGATGGAGAAACAAGCAACTGGTGAGTCGAAGTAACTATCGGATTTATACAACGTTTTCGTTTATTTCAAGAGAGGAGTCAGGCTTATGGTGAGTGCCAATGAATAGACTCTTGGGGATGTACGCGGATGCGCAGGTGCGATGGCATATGCTGCCTTTCCGCCGGATATACCGGACGACGAATTGCAGTGCCTCTCTTCGCGTGGTAAGCTCATTCCGCGTATATCAGGACAAATTGAAGAGGCTCGTCACAAGGGATACTGCAGGATGTTCAACCGTGCCGGTCCGCGCGTCATCTCAGTGACGGTCATTTGGCAGCATCTCTGATGCAACTATTCAGAGAAAAGACAATGCTTACAACGCGAGATGAGCAGCGCAGTCGGGCTCTGGAGACGGCTATGCAACGGTTCAACACCAAGCGAAGAAACACATGCTTTGGGAATCGGCCAAATGTCTGGAGCCTCTTCTCCCGACCGTCGGCAGGACATCCAGCCCGATGCAGCTCAATGTCATCACCAATCACAGATTGGCGAAACCAAGATTCCATCAACATAGAGTTAAGAAACTGTCCCGAAACGGATAGAAATGACCCTAAAACCAAGATAAACCAACGCGGTGCTCAAGCATTAAGCTTGGTGTGGCGCGTGACGTCTCAGGAATTGAAGCAAGATTGCAGCAGACAGGCGAGCAGCCTCGTTTTTGTAAGCGTCAACCGAGAGCGCTACGGCCGAATAGTCTCCCCGAAGCGGTTGCTATTTCTGTCTCTTCGGGGGGTTGTGATGCCGGGAGAGCCCAGTGACGGGTCGACGCCACGAGGGCCGGTCTTATGGCAGCTCACCTAATCGGGAACGGATCGCACGGCTTGGTGGTGTATTGAAGATTGAGGACTGCTTGTTGCGATGTTTATAAGAGGTTTGCTTGTCGCGTGTAAGTGATGTAGTGATCAAGAAGCAAGGAAGGCTGAACATCTATCATTCCAGAGCGAAACAAGACATCATGATGCGAAATTATCGTGTTGCGCTGTCCGTGCTTCTCCTGACACTTGGTAAGTGACCTCAAAGTTCAACAACATATCGATCACACAACTGACATTCGTAGCATCAAATTTGGTCCTGGCACAAGAAGTAAAAGACCAAGTCGAAAGCAGAGATGTCCACACCATCGAGCCCCGAGACTCCTTCAAAGTCTGGAACCGAGAGCGAAATGCTCACGCCTGCATCATGTCCATCGTCTTCATCGTCCTCTACCCCCTCGGCGCAATCTCCGTCCACCTCCCCATTGACCAGATCCCCTATCTGCGCAACACCTATCTCCAGAACAAAATCATGGCCATGCACGTCCCGATCCAGATCCTTGCCTTCGTCATGATGGTCGGCGGCATGGCCCTCGGCATCAGAGTCGCTCAGTTCCTGGGGTTTATCCATGACCCTGTCCGGGCCCACGTCGTCATAGGCCTCCTCACCGTGTGCACGATCATCCTCTTTCAGCCGGCCCTGGGCGTCTTGCAGCACAGACACTTCAAGAGAACCGGCGGCAAGAGCAAGTTTGCCTACATCCACCGCTGGATCGGACGAGGTGCCATTATCCTGGGCATGATCAACACGGGCCTGGGCTTTCAGCTGGCGAAGAAGAATGTCATCATCCACAATAAGACGTATGTCAGGGAGTACGTGCTGCTCGGCATACTGGTGACTGCGTGGGTGTTCTTCGTTCTGTACGATGAGTTCAGGTTGCGCAGGAGAGTGGTGCCTGATGGGGGCGAAAAGGGGGCGGCGCAACAGCAGGAGGCGAAGAGGTGATGCGCAGAAGACGGCGATGCTTTGCGAGGGTGCAATTTGAGAGATGTTTCAAGGCGTTAATCATAGTCTCTAACGACCAGCTGGTAGCTTAATCTTTTTTTTTTTTTTTTTTTTCGAGACGCTTCTTGCAAGATGGATTCTAAATGCTTCTTTGCAGTCCTGACCTAAGAGCCTTTACTATCAGCGTCTCTCCTCTTTATAACATCTTCTCACTGCTCGATCCAAATCGGATCGTAGCTCCCAAAGATCTCGTCAGTAAGCTCCGTCGGCTCTGCCATCAGGCCCTGCAGCTGTTGAAGCCGTTGCTCTATCTCGCATGGGCTCATACATCAACATGTCCCGTGTCGCACCGACTGTCATGGCGAGACAGCATCTGGAAACCGATTGATGCCGGATGGGAGCCGCTTTACAGGGCGGTGAAGTTGTAGTAAGAGTTGATATATGATCCCTCAAGCCTGAGACCCCGAAGTAATATCTTCACCCGCAGACTGGCCGTCACTCAATGGGCGTTCAATGGCAACGGTCTACTCACGACTCGACTCCCACTGAAGCTGTTCATTTGGACGATTTCGAGGTAAATGTTTGACTAATTGCTGACGGCCATCTGAAGCGAATTTACACAGGGTAAGATGTCATGCAGGGGCATGTATATCCCGTCGGAGTCTTTCATCTCGGGTCCAGCGAGACTTGCTTCGCAGACTCTGAGTTCGTAATCACACAACTGGTCTCGTACATATCGAGTGCGTTTCTTTCTACAAAGTGAGGATTGCGACGTGAAATGATCCCTTCGGAGTCAGCCATCACCACTCGAGCATCGTCATTTTTCGCGGCTATACGCCGTCTTCCATGCGTTTGCACGGTGAAGACGTCGTGCCGCTCAGTCACTTCAACGTTGCCATCGGTAAGCCACGTCTTATCTGTTCCTCCTGCACTTTTCCATCTTTCTTCATGGCATAGTCATCTAGGTGGTGAGACGCTGTATACCTACCTTATGTTGGCAGGATCCCAACTTCAGATACCATTTCCGACGCGCCCATTAGCACCAGAGGAAACATACCGACTAGGCTCATTATTGCTATCCTAACAAACCATGGGAACAAGAGCCAACGTCTCCATAGCCAAACTATTTTCAAAACAATGGCCAGACATACGCGTCAATACCAGAGATCGCTGTGAATTGACCCCGAGCACGCAGATCCTGACGTCGAAGTAATACATGTAGTACGGGGTTCATCAGCACGTCTCTAACAGCTCCATCCCGCCTTCTGCCCCAGTACGATGAGCTTGACCTCATAGCCTCTCCCGGCCCTCACTTGGTTGCCGTCGCAACATTGACGACGTTTCTAATAATGGTGGTACCATCCTCGAGCGTCAAGAAACCCTTCGTCTTTTGCATCTCGCGTCTCACAATCTCCAGAGCCTCGTCCCACTTGTCCTCGTCCTCCAGAGTCCACCCCCCAACAGGCATTCCCCTCATGCTCCAGACTAGCTCGACGTGGCGTTCAAAGTTGCCAATATTCACAAACATTTCGCGCTGCTCGACATTAATGGACCCCTTTTCGAACCCACCGGCCTCCACAACGCCGGCTATGAAGGCTGGGTCTGTCCACTGCTCGAACGAGTTCCACTCCGGGAGCTGGCCTCCTGTACGCGTAGCGCGAGACGCCGCGCGGATGGGTTCCAGGACGGCCACATAGGCAAAGCAGTTCACGACGAGCGTCCCTCCGGGCTTGAGCGTGCGATGCATCTCCCTGATGGCGTCGACGCCGTTGTTGCGGGGGCCGATGAAGATCATGGCGTTGGCGATGGAGTGGGTGAAGGTCTCGTCGGGAAATGAGAGGGAGTCGGCGTCCATGACGAGCCCCTCGGCAGGCCAGCCCTGCGCTTCCGCTCTGGCGCGGTAGATGGCGACCGCTCCGCCAGAAATGTCGGTCCCGGTGATCCTGTACGTCGCAGCGACCTCAGGAGGCGCAGACTCGACAATCACGGCCGTGGCAGAGCCGTGGCCGCAGCCGTTGTCGTGGATGATGGCGCCGGCCGGGATGGCCGGGATCTGAGCCAGCGAGACGGCGGCGAGCCTCTCGGCGGCATCTTTTGCCAGCTCCTTGTAGTTTTCAGGAGTCGGCGGAATGATCTGCTTGGGCCAGAAGCTCGTTGAGCCCGCCATGGCGCGCCGGAGAAAAAGAGGAGGAGATGGGGATGCGCAGCGATTTTCAGGGTCCAAGATGCAAGGAATGCAAATCACAGATTCGTGGCCATGGCACGACGAGGAGCATGATCCTTCAGGCTTGCCTTCAGGGCATGTTTCAACGCCCAGGATATAACCGAACCGCGGAAAAGGATCCGTGCTGTTGGTTGAATCATACACAAACAGGGTTTCATCCCCCCGCTCTCTGGCTCCTCTTCATAAACGCACATACATACTGTGCTCGTATGAGGGCTATGTAATGCTGAGCAGCAAGAAGTGAGAGCATCGTGGCGGGCGAGGCTGATGCACATACAAACTCCTAGCCTTTGTTGCGACTCGTTCTCTTCCGCTGGTGAGGAGGGAAGCTGAGGTTTATATCGAAAAGAGACACCGGTTTGCATCCTATTGGCGCTTGCGCCGTGTCTAATATTACGTGGCTGAACGCTTGGTTACGCCCCCAGGGCACGGATAGAGCCTGTGGAGCCAGACGGCTTCGAATGTTAGTTGCGAGTTGGTAGTAGAAGACTCAAAGAAAGCCAACAGCATCAATAGCATTTCTAGACAAAGCGCCCCTGGGGCTTTGCTCCTAGCAGACGACTAGTGATCGTCTAACGCCGTTCTAGATGCTCATTTGCGCTTCTGACAATGAAAATCGCTCAAAAGCGGCGCCTCGAAACTACTGGTTATTTACGTAGGGCATGGGGCTGCCCAGATAAACGCCGTGCCGACAGGGTTTAATACGCGGAGGCGTCGTACTTATCTCAGCCACACAATTGCTGAGTCGCCGTCATCATGTTCTGCTCCGTCTTTTCTGCCAAGTTTGTATGTAAAACGACCCATGTTGATCAATCCCGGCTGGCAAGAGTACCCCTATTCTATGATGCTCCAGCAGTCAACGGCGGAGGGGCTCGTTGTCCTTTTGTGCGTTCATCCTCGGAGGACGGAGTCTTCTGAAACCGATTCGAAAGAGGCCTCCTGAGATTCGTTTGAGATGCAATGCTCTCCCGGGTTTCTAGAATATGGCAGCGTCCCGTTGGTAGAGCACGGGGCGCAACGCTGCTCCTGATGTCAGCAGGCGCAGCATCTCCAGACGTCGACCACATGTACTAGTGCGGATGGCATCTGGCATATGGGCGCCATCCGGCCAGATCTCTGCTCTTTTTTACACGTGCACTCTGCGGTTAGACGAGATCCCTGGGGAACGAGAGGCAGTGGCAAGATTCAGCTCCACCCTTTTCTGGAGGGCCAAGCGGGAGCTGAGGGCCTCGACTCGGGGCATAACCTGTTTGCTCATGGTACCGCATGACGCTTGCAGGCATGGTTACAGGCGCTGAGACTGCCCAATTTCTCGTTCCAAGTTCTGGAGACGCCTCTTTGCAAGCATCCACGGCACATCAGTCGGCCACTACGTAGCCGGCGCCCCAATGGGGTAGCAAGAGGTGGGTTGTCGTAGGAATAACCTCAGCGCCTCAACGGTCCCTGGCAGGCTTAGCTGCACACGCAGTCCGGCCCTCCTATCCTGCCATGACAAGCGCAGTACTCGTACCAAACTGCTGCGGTTTCGAGCACCAGCCCCGTTGTCCGCGTCGAAATCTCGCGTTGGTGAAAGGCTATCCACGGGCTGGTGTGGACTTAGCACCCGAACCTGCTTCTCCTTCTCCTTTCCCTCCTTTCCCTCGTGGCCAAAGCACCGGTTCGACGCCCCATACTATTCCCAAGCGGACGAACGCGCGTCCGAGCAAATGAAACGGCCAACATGGGCGTCCGTACGCCGTTTGTTGCGAGGGCGGACAAAGGGCCATGTTCCTTTCGGTGCCTTTTTGCCTCCCGCCTGGGAGAGCTGCTTCTCGTGTGTACCACTGGAAGGGTGTCAATAGGAGGTCTGGGAAAGTACTAATGGGTGGGTGTGGCCTGCCCATACCTTTGTTCAAGCCCATTGTCCATTCATTCATCCATTCAATCATTCACCAGCTCGCTCCTCCTCTGTCTGGTTGTCCATTCACTCACTCACTTCCTTGATCCGTTTGCATCTCCCACTTGCTTTCCTCCATACCCAAGCATCATCATCTCGTCCCTTCCCGTATGCATTGACGACGGCTCCGACGAACACAGACGCTTCTTCCTCGAACAAAGCCTATCGATTCTCCTCAACAACCGATACTCCTCTCCTCTCTTGGTGCTCGTCAGTACTGCTCGCTTGATCGATTCTCGCCGCAGCCATGGACCGTGATCAGGTTCTCTCTCCGCGGGTCGTCGAAGGCATGATTGCCGATGGCGACTCCATCGTCATCTTCCAGGACTATGTGCTTCGTCTCAACGGATGGCTGGACAAGCATCCTGGAGGTTCTCTGGTGATTCAGCACATGGTTGGCCGAGACGCGACCGACGAAATCTCAGCGTAAATATTTCCCACTCTTCTTTTCTCTTTTTCTCTTTTTCTCTTGTTTGCTCCCAGCGCCATCTCCATCCCGACTGCGCCTCTCGTGCCCGCATGACAAGTTCTCGTTGTCAATTGCCGTGTCCAATGTGCATTGAAAGCAAAGACCCTTAGAGTGTGATTGATGGCGGCCCCTCGTCTTTTAAGCTTAAAATGTGCATTGCCGTGCCGTCCCACGCACACCAGTTGCTGCGGGACGAGGCGCGGGCGGCATGCGGGATCGAGATCTCTTTTGCAGAGGCCCCCGTTTGCGCAGGATTTAGCCTCATATAGAGACCAATAAACCATGATGGTTTGCTGACAATTCATCTTTCGTTGTGCTGCAGTTACCATTCCGTTTCCACGCTGCGAACGATGGCGGCTTACCGGATCGGCCGGAAGCCAATGGGACCCTGGGTCAACAGGACTCCCCCGATCAGGGGAGGCATCTTCCGCAAATACAACCTCCACAATGAGCCGGAGATTCCGGACTTGTTAGAGCCCGAGAGCTCTTCAGACACAGACAACGAATCGTCTGTGGACCTGAGCTCGGCGACTACGTCCACCTCGCTGTCTGAGTGCAGTAGTCCTGCGCTGGATAGCGTCGACAAGCTAGACACAAGCATTCCCAGCCTTTTTCTTGATCCTAGTCTGGGACAGGGTCTTCGCAAGCGAAACGCTTCATCGGCCGCCTCGTCTGTCAGTGATGCCGAAGAAACTGATTCCCCGGCGGCACGTCGAGTGGAGTACACGAATAGGTTCGTGCGGGAGGGTGCTGAGAAGAGCTCGCGGGACTACCCGTCTGTCGACCCCGAGGTGCAGCAGGGCATCATCGAAAGATACAGAGCCTTGCATCAACAGATACGCGATGAGGGGCTCTACAACTGCCGGTACTCCGAATACGGAAAGGAGATGCTTCGATACTCGGCCTTGTTCATCAGCTTCCTCTTTGCCTTGCATCATGGCTGGTACATGACCTCGGCCGTGTTTCTTGGACTGTTTTGGGTAAGTTGTGTCTTTACCTATGTAGTATACTGGGGTGCCCCTTCATACTAACCGCTCATACTAGCATCAAATCATGTTCACGGCCCATGATGCCGGCCATCGAGCCATTACGCAGATCTTTGTTGTCGACACGCTCATCGGCATGTTCATCGCCGACTTCTGCTGCGGCCTGTCCATTGGCTGGTGGAAGAGCAGCCACAACGTCCATCATCTCATTACAAATATGCCAGTGAGTTTGATGCCACTATCTGCCAACGATGAGCCATCATTGACCATCTGTCTTTCATCTAGGAGCACGACCCTGACATTCAGAATGTCCCTCTCTTCGCCACGTGCCCTTCCTTCTTCGGATCGCTGCGATCCAGCTACTACGACTTCACCTTTGTCTGGGATGCCGTCGCCGACGCCCTTGTCCCCTACCAGAAGTACACCTACTACCCCATCATGGGCATCGCCCGCTTCAACCTCTATCTTCTCTCGTGGCTGCACCTCTTGTCCGGCAAATCGTCCTCGCTGGGATCTACCAAGGCTTGGTGGATCCGTCCCACGGAAATAGCTTTTTGCACCTGCTACTGGATTCTCTTTGGATACTGCCTGCTCTGGCGCTCGCTGCCCACATGGACCATCCGCGTGGCCTTTGTCCTGGTGTCTCACATCATCACCATGCCCCTGCATGTCCAGATTACTCTTTCGCATTGGGGCATGTCGACCTCGGACCTGGGTGAGAACGAATCCTTTGCTCAGCGACAGCTGCGAACCACAATGGATGTGGAATGCCCTGCCTGGCTAGACTTTATCCACGGCGGATTGCAATTCCAGGCTGTTCACCACCTGTTCCCCAGGATGCCGCGACACAATTTCCGCAGAGCGCAGACCCTGGTCAAGGAATTCTGTGCAGACACGGGCATTCAGTACTCCATCATGGGCTTTGTTGATGGCAACCGTACCGTGCTTGGCCGACTGGATGAAGTGAGCGAGCAGCTTAACATAATGCTGAGCTGCCAGAAGTACATGGCGGAGACGGGTGAGAGTGGGTTGCACTGAGGTGCTATTTCATGTCCTCTTGGGTGGCGGTTGTGACTATTCTGGGCTTTATCCCTTCAACCGCAAAGGGATAATCATGTGAAAGGCGTTGTGGGATTGTATTTACTAGGCATGCAAACGGTTCAGGGAAAGCAAAGAAGGCGGGTTATTATGGCACGGTCAAGGAATAGACAAAAATCATAGACGTCTATCATTCATCTTTGTAGTAGTATGTGTCCCAAGAAAACCAGTCCATTGTGTTTTCAAATGATCGCTTACGCTTGCGCGGTGAAAGTCCCTCTGAATCCAAGCAGCCCAATAAGTTTTCAATATCCGTGTTGTCAAAGCCCGACTGTGCACTGTAATCTTGATTTCGGAGGTAAGCCATGAAGGCGTCTGTATATAGCCCGAAACCGTCCCCGCTGGATGAAGCGTCGACAGAGCGAATAGGCTCGTCGGAGCTTACTTCTAATACCACAGAGTCTTCTGAGCTTGTTGCCGTCGCCGTAGACTGCAGGTCATGGGCATCCTCGTTGGTATGGTCACTGAACGTTACAAACCTTGCCAAATCACAAAAGACGAGGGCTGTTTTCTCCAACTTAGACGAGACAGCGGGGAGGGAGCCGAATTGCTTCATGCTGCTGAAATATGTTGCGGTCGTGGTGAGCAAGTCGAGGTCTTGCTGCGTGGTTGGTGCGGAGGGATTTTCCATGATGTGGCCGAATAGTGTGAAGAATGGTGTGAAGGGGTAGTATAGGAGTTGCCTTTTGGAGAGTCAGATTGTCAGGACGCATAGCTCTGAGTGAAAGAATAAGATGGGGACGTGAGGGGCGGTAGTTGAGCTTACCAGACTAGGCCGTTGTATACGTGGCTCGAGTTGGAGACGAGATCGGGGAGAAGCATGATTGCGTCGCGAGCGGCCTGGACGCGGCGGTCTTTGCTATCGGGAGCTTTGCGGAGGAGGAGGATGAGGATGTGGAGGTACTGGAAGCGCATTGCGCGGACACCGATTGTCATTTCTTGGACTTGGTGGGGGGTTGAGCTGGATGATTCGGTGTTGAAGATGCGGAGGAGGAGCTGGTTCCTGGTGTTAGTAAGGGGGAAATTTCGCGTGGTTTTGAGGTGAGGGAACTTGCTTCGTTTGTCGTTGAGTCCCAGGTTTGGAGTTTGGTGGCGAGTGCTTCGTGGCCTGAAACGGTTCCTGGGCTGGCGAGGAGGTTGAGGACTGCGCCGGTGAGCTTTGCGAGTTGCATTCCTTGGATGAAGAAGTGGGCGCCAAAGGTTAATACGTGAGAGGAGCCGCTTTGTGTAGGAACGGGTTGGTTTCGATGGGGATGGTAGCCGAGAAGATACTGGTAGTCAGGCAGCGGAACGTTTTCATAAATCGCAGTTGGTAGCAGCATCGGCCGTCCAAAGGCTAGTGAACAGGACTTGTCGACGGAGAAGAGAGACCAGAAGAGTGCCAATTGGCGCTGCTGCTGTCTATGATGTCCCAGCCCATGGCATTCTTTGACCTCGAGGCAACTTCCGCAGGGAGCTTGCTATCTCGACTGTCGTCCGACCCAGACGCTGTCAACGCCCTCGCTGGAAGCAACCTCGCAGTGATTATAACAGTCGGCGTCGCATTGCTCAGCTGCGTGATCCTTGCATTAGCTGCAGGCTGGAAACTTGGTCTTGTGGTCCTGTTTGGTGGCTTCCCGTTCATCTTCGGAGCCGGACTTGTCCACGAAAGAATGCAAAACTCGATTGAGGAAAAAAGCTGGCGCGATGTTGGCAGATAGCGTTGGCTTTGCGGGCGAAGCCATTCAAGCGATCCGTACTGTGTCGGCCCCTCAGCACCGAGCCCTTGATCAAGAGGCGGTTGAAAGTTGTTGGAAGAGTATAGCCGCAAGGCCTGGAGATATGTGGTGCGGAGTATGGTTTGGTTTGCTTTGAGTGATAGTATTGATTTGCTTTGCATGGCGCTGGCTTTCTGGTGAGCAATGAGGTTCAATATTTACATCCTCACTACTGACGCTGTAATAGGTATGGAGGCCGCCTGCTGTCTTTTCGAGAGTATACCACCACGCAGTTCTTCATCGTCTTCATATCCATAGTGATTGGAGCGCAAACGACGGGACAATTCTTTGCTAACAGTCCAGGTATGTATTTAAAGGAGCTCGTAGGCTTGCATCTTGAATACCAATCACGTGTTATGCAGACATCTCTCAAGGCATATCATCGACTCGCGCGATATACGAGCTGGAAGATTCCGTGCCAGACGTGTCCAACTTGAATCAAGCAGCGCCCGACGTTTCCGTGCTGGACGAGCAGACTCCTCTCATCGAGTTTCACAACGTCGACTTTGCATATCCTGCCAGGCCGTCTCAGCGTGTGCTGAAGCAGTTCAACTTGAAGCTACACAGGGGCCAATCGATCGCTTTGGTCGGCCCTTCTGGCTGTGGTAAATCCAACATCATTCAGCTGCTGGAGCGCTTCTATGAACCTATCGCAGGCGAGATTATTATTGCAGGGGCGCCCATTCAGAACTCTTCGCCTGAGAGTACTCGCAGCTTGTTCTCTCTTGTCAGCCAAGAGCCAGTTCTTTATCACGGCACGGTTGAGGAGAACATCAACTTGGGAAGGTCTACGCCACTGACTCCGGATGAGTTGGAGCGCGTGATTGATCAGTCCCAGCTTCGAGGCCTCATCTCCTCGCTTCCAGATGGTGTTTCTCGCTTCCAGATGGTGTGAAGATATCAGTCGGATCTCGTGGCACGCAACTGTCTGGTGGTCAGAAACAGCGCATTGCGATTCCCAGAGCGATTGCTATGGACACACCGGTTCTGCTTCTCGACGAGGCTACTAGTGCCTTGGATAGTGAAAGTGAGCAGCTCATTCAGGCTGCCATTGGAGAGGGGACTCAGGGGAAGACTGTTATATCGATAGCACATCGGCTCTCTACTATCCAGCATTCGGACTGCATCTATGTACTTGATGGCGGAAGGATAATCGAGAAGGGTACTCATTCTGAGCTCCTGGACTTGAAGGGCCAGTATTGGACCATGGTGATGGCTCAAATTGGTGTCGGGGAGTCCTAACCAGGCTCGTGGAATGAAGGTCTTGTTAATACTGGGGAGGATGCAATACGAGGCACGGGCAGTGGTAAGATGAGATTTTCTTGGGTTAATGCTTTCATTCCTTCGTATTGGCAAAAAGCATAGCATGTAATCGGATCAATACGGGAATGTCCCACATGAAGCGCCTTTTCTTCTTGAGTGAAAGCCGATTTATCAAGCCTTGGTAGCAAAGAGATGCGCATCTTGCTGTCCACGACACGACCCATATCCATATACCACTGCAGCCACATCACCGCAGTATTGGACAAAGACTAACGTTGTCGGGATCTACAGTACGGATCAAGTACGTAGCCCGCCATTTACATGATACACATGAAGCGATATTTTCCTTACCGTTGTTTCGGCTCCGTCTATGCCGCGTCGCCAACAACGCATCAACAAAGGCCAGACCACGATGGGCTCGCGACTGCTACCCGCTTCCACCCCAGACAGGAGGCATCCCTGGATACCCTTACTAGCTCATTAATCTCCGGATGGCGTCCGGCTGTTGAATCCGAAGCGCTACCCGGAGGACCGGCGTGGAGCCGTATCCTGACCCCGAGATGTCCGGCAGCGGGGGGCTCGATTGGCTGAGGGCGGGACAAGGGCTCTGGATATCAAGATGCGATCGGCTTCATGAAAGGACTTATATAGTCATTCTAAACTTCGTGAATTGTTTATAACACCCAAATCACTACAGTTTCAGCTTTCAATATACACTAGAGACACAAACAATCCGCTACATTTCAGCTTTATATTACCATTACCCCCCTTTTCATCATGTCTGTTCCAACCATCGCAATTATCGGCGGCGGCCCCAGCGGCCTTGCTTTTGCTCGCCTGCTGGAGGTCAACAACATAGACTACGTCGTCTACGAACGCCTCGCCTCCCCAGAAGTCGGGTCCCAGGGCGGTTCCCTCGACATCCACGGCAAAACCGGCCAGCTTGTCTTGAAGGAGGCGGGGCTATTTGAAGAGTTCAAGAAGTATTCCCGCTGGGAGGACGCTCAAACAATCGTTCAGGACAAGACTGGCACTACGCAGATGGTGTTTGGCGAGGGCGATGATGCTCCCGAGATTGACCGCGCTGCGCTGCGCAAGATTCTGATTGAGTCTATCCCGGCGAGCAAGATTAAGTGGAATCACGCTGTTGCCATTGTCGACAAGGATGATTCTGGAGAAATCAACATCACCTTCAAGAATGGTATAACTGCATCTGGGTTCAAGCTGGTTGTTGGCGCAGATGGTGCCTGGAGCAAGGCACAGCACTTGGTAAGCAGAGGTTAAAGTCTCTCGCATGATACCCTACTAACTCCAGAGATAGCTCACTCAGGCGAAGCCTCTATAGTGTGCGAAGCATTACCTTGAGGCCAAGATTTCCAACTCGAACCCGTTCCATCCCATCCTTGATACCCTACTAACTCCAGAGATAGCTCACTCAGGCGAAGCCTCTATAGTGTGCGAAGCATTACCTTGAGGCCAAGATTTCCAACTCGAACCCGTTCCATCCCATCCTCGATGCCCTGGTCGGACGTGGGAATCTCATTGCAATGGGAGAGGAGAAGCAAGTCTCCGCACAGCGACAAGGAGACGGATCCTACCGCGTCTATCTCGGCTTGACCATTGACGAGGACTTTGTTTTTGAAGGACCTGTGGATCTGACCAAGGGCAGTGGAGAGGATGCGCGCAACTTCTTCGTCACCAATGCTGAGTTTTTCGGTACTTGGGGCTCTTCTCTCAAGGACATCATTACGAACTGTGAGGGTTCCTTCAGAGCCTGGCCGCTCTATCATATGCCTTCTTCTGCGCTCTCTTGGGATAATGTTCCGGGAATTACTGTTATCGGCGATGCCGCTCATGTTTCGACGCCGTTCGTGGGAGAGGGCGTCAACTGTGCGATGTACGACTCCCTGGTTCTGGCGTCTCAAATTGTTGAGCGCGGCTTGGACCACCTGGATGAGGCAGTCAAGGCCTATGAAAAGGAAATGTTTGTGCGTGGACGGGACTTGATTGATCGGAGCAACGGCAGTGGAAGCCTTTTGTTTGCACCCGATGCCCCGAAGGGTCTGTTGGAGATTTTGCGCTCTACCAAGCGGGATGTTTGATCTGTGGCTACTGAGAAGCAGCTGAAGGATTAGTTCATCAAGGAACATATGGTTCACTGTTTCTCTTTGGATGGAATATTGGATGGAGTTAAGTAGGGGATACACAATCGTTTACGTATTTAGTTTCTGTTACCCACCACCTACTTTACAGTTTTTGATCATACAAGGTAGCGATATCTACATTAATAGATGTATATTAGCAGCCATTCGAGTTGCGTCTCCCATATACTGATGTCTTCTTCAGCTTGGATTTACGTCGTTCTACACACCGCCTACTTTTGCAGGCTTGAACGCCTTCTCGCACTTAGCCAGAGCAAATGTCTTTCACGTCTTGTTTCTGTGGAATGGTTCATCTGTATTTTTTACAGCTAGATCATTCTAAATACTGCTTAATTCGGCGGTGTTCACAAGATTTTATATATAGAGATCACAGGGGGCGGCCAACACATGTTGAATAATACATTCGACAACTTAGATATCCTCCCTAAGAAATGCAGTCATTAATCCAAACTCGTAACCATCTCAAGCATTTCAACCAGGGAATCCTATCTAGATGGGCTGTGATATCTTCCGAGGGACTGGACCTATGGCTTCTTGACACACAAGGTGCCCTTGAGGTACGAATCCTGCTTGCAACAATTGGCTGCGGTATTGTTAGCAGCGAATGCGCAGTAATACCCATTACCAAAGTCACATGGCCCGTTGATGCCGCAAGGCACCAGCTTTGCATTGCCAGGGTAGCATTTGCCGTCGAATGCCTTCTGTCCGTTTGCGCAGCAGACCATGGTGCTGGGGGTGCCGCCAGTAGTGGCGTTCAACGTGAAGCTGACATTGACGGTACATTGCGGTGTGGCTCCAGAGCACATGACTTGATTATCAGAGCAAAGGTTGACTGAAGAGCTGATGCATCGGCCGTTGACTCCCTTTTGGCCTGCAGCGCAACAGAACGTGAGTCCGTTGTTGTCGGTGACGCACTGGGTCTGTCCCGAGCAGACGGTCGTCCCGTCGGCACAGAGAGAGGCTGTGTTATCAGCGCACTGCCCGTTGAACGCCCTCTGGCCCATGTTACAGCAGATGATGGCCCCTTTGTTGTCCTGAGTGCACTGGGACTTTTCGCCCAAGCAGATGACGAGGTTGGGACAGGTGCAGAGCCCAGCAAGTCCGGCGTCAACCGCTCGCTGGTATAAGTCGGGACGGAAATCGCCGGGCAGGAGCTCGGCTGAGGCCAGGGCTGAGGCCATGGCCGAGGCCGCCGCTACCTGGAGCATACCCAGGGCGAGTATGAGAGTATGTATGAGTGATGGCATATCGAGTAGGCAAAGTTACAATGTGGCTCAGGTAAAGACAGGGATTGGATGTAGTTTGGGCCTTGGGTTGAAGAGTGTGGAGAGGGTTGCACGGCGCTGAAGCCGCCTCCCTTTATACGAATTCCTCTGTACGGTCCTATAGAGGTCAATACAGGATAATGATTCCTAGCATAATTCTCATTGACTGACAAAGTTTTCTCTCACCGTTCTTTAGAAGTGCGATTGAGACATTGTCTTTGGGGAGTTGATGTTGGGTGCCTCCATACCTGGAGGTTTGCCAACCACATCTCGGGGATGACCGTGTGGCAAGTAGCGAGCAGCGAGAGGAAATGATGAATCATGCCCGCGGTCTGGTGGCCCTGGGTCAAGTTGGCCTGCAGCGCCTTGAAGCCGTGAATGGCCGTCTCTTCGTCGTCCGCGCCGCTCGCTTGCCGGTCCTCGGGGACTTCTTGATATCAGAGCAGCTCAGAGGGATAGGGATTCAACGCAGTCGCCTCTCAGTTCGCCGAGCTTGGTAAAATATCTGCATCTCCAAAGAGCTAAAAAACGAGTCGTCATGCTGCAGGCACATCTTATAGTGCTTGTGCATCAAGGTTTGTAAAATGGAGAACGCTGACATACTGCGTAGGAACTGCAACTGTGGTTGAGGCCCTTGATCGGTTGAAGCAGGTATCGCTGACCCGAAGCTGTCGGTGGCTGTGATGTGACGCTGAAATGCTCCGAGACATTGATATAACATGTCACTGAGTCATGTAACATGTCACTGAGTCTACTTCGTAGGTCAGGTCAGACCGGAGATGCTGTTTCTCCATGTCATTTGGACTCTTCACCCGTGACATGTCTCATGTGTTATGTAGTTGCCGATATCCCGCAGTCGCTAATCGGCAACTCGGGAAGATCTTGTCTGACGGCTGACTGACATGGCCGCAAGACATGTCTCGCATCTATTCACGGAGTGTGGACGCATTGGGTACAGCATTGGTAGTGTATTGATCCTATAGACACTCGTATTTGCAGACCTGAGTCTGTCTTATTGTACGGACAGGAGTCTCCGGGTGCCTGCGTTGATTCGCTTGCTATTACCCCTCGAGACTTGGCGATTTATGCCCCGCCTGTGAATACACTCTCATTGATCAGTTGTACTACATCACATACGCAAGTTAGCTGTCTGCTGATGCTGCATGTTTCCTGCGCCAGGAAACGAATAGGCAAGATAGACTCACCACCAGTCGGCCGTTCTGGTTGGAGATTCGGTCGTCCAGGTTGACACCCTGTCGTTCACGGTAGCCTCCATCACGCATCGGCAGCTCGGCGGTCAGCATTGTACCGTCCAGCTGGATGCTGTTGGCAGAGTGAGAGAAGTCTACACATGACCATATATCAGCATTCCATCTCATGAGCATGATTACGACATGGATCAATGGGCAGATTATGCAGGTGGCCCGAGCCACACGGAGAGACGTGCGCAAGGAGAGGAAGCAAGGAGAGGAATATACGTACTGACACCATCCCACATGAACCAGCCATCTTCGTTGCCAATGAACTCATCGAGGTCAATGGCAGACTCCTGCCAGTTGCCCTCCTCGTCCTGGACAGTGGCGCGGAGGATGTGGCCATCCTCCAGGTAGAAGTTCTGAGCGGAAGCGGAAAACGACATTGTGGTTTTCTGTTGTGTTTGATTGGGTTTACTGATTAATGATCCTGTTACCTCCGAGATAGAGAAGACAGAGGCCTCTTATATCTCTGTGAAGACAGCATGTTTAGATGGTTTAGGGGGCGGCTGTGTTGATGTGCCCCTGCCCAATGCCCCTCATCTGCCCCGCCATGTCGACCGATAATCTGCACGATGAGAACGCGGGATGGGGAATTGACGTATCTTGAGGTTGACTTCAGAGCTGAATGGTAAACGAACTGCCAATTGGACAAGTGGACACCAATAGCGTTTCCAGCTCTGTGCCTGCGGAAGCTTCAGGAACGCGTTGATGGCTGATATTGCCTGATATCTCGGACATGGAACTGAGGCCTCACAATCGCCGAGCGTCCCAGTCTGCCTTGCCTGTCAACCGAGACTAATGGCGAGCTAAGATGCAGCTCCTCCAGCTATGTGTCCACTCGAATTCAACGGCCGCACCGCAACTTTGACAATCTTCCCCGTGACAGAATCAACATCGAATGGCTGGCCAGGAGACGCACCCCAAGCTTCCTGACTCGCGCAGCATCCGTGTCATCAAGCTCCATGGCGCTGCGAACATCAGCGACGAAATTCGGTTCGACCTCATCACCACGTCGCTGGATGAGCCTCTGCCGTACGAGGCAATCTCATATACGTGGTCTGGACAGGCACTCGATCGCCCAGTATATGCCAATGGCCAAGAATACCGCGTCACGAAGAATGCAGAAGATGTGATGCGCAGGCTGCGCCCAAGCAAGCCCGAGTCCTCCAGGAATCTCTGGATAGATGCCATCTGCATCAATCAGAAGGATGACGCAGAAAAGTCAGTGCAGGTACAGCTCATGTTTGAAGTGTACGCAAACGCAGAGCGTGTCAACATATGGCTTGGGCCGGGGACCGACGCAGCTGCTCTTGCGCTCAAGTGGCTGAGGTGGTACAGCTGGACATTCTCAGCTGCTTGGAGGCTGCAGTCGAGACTTGCCTCAGGTATTAGGTCTGCGGACAGCACCTTCACAAGGCTTCTCTTGGGGACTGCGACCGTTTCCACGTCGTGTGTCTGCGCGTGTATCATGCTGGTTGTTGCGGCGGTGATACTGTTGCCATTTGGCCTGCTGCCCGTGTTCAAAAGTGGGATCCATCTGACTCCCCTCCTCCGCATGAACCTACAGTGTTAACACTCCTCCAGGCCATAAACGGCAGTTTCGAATTGGTTTGACTGAGTTGGCGTCCATGGAATACTGGGAGAGAGCCTGGACAGTGCAAGAAGCCAACGCGAACGCAACTTGCTTCATTCTGTGCGGTTCATCTGCTCCGCTTCGCCTGGACTTGTTTTACCAGAGCCATAGTATGGTTCCGCCGATGTTCGTCTTCAGCGCTTTGAACAACAGCAGAGTGAACCGGCGTTATAGTCTACATATGTTGGACACTTTCCACACAAATGGCGATGCGGAGCTAGGAAGCCAGATTTTTGATGTCTTGTGTAAAACAAGGGCAACAATAGCCAAGGATAAGCTGTTTGCCATAAGAGCCATGTTTCCCGATAGTCTGAGCGAACTGACGATAGACTACTCACTATCAGACAGCGACGTCTACACTGAAGCCGCACGTATCGTTCTCGAACAGACTCATACCGTCGAGTTCTTCAGATATGCATGCCAGGTCGGCCGAGAGGACAATTATCCTTCATGGGTGCCCTCGTGGACAGGGCTTATTGAGATACCAGAATGGCTCTGTAGCTTCTCGCCAGCCATAATATCCGAGGACGTCGTTATAGTAGAGGGAGAAGACGGCAAGGTGCTCAAGTTGAAAGGACGGCGGGTTGAAAGAGCTACAGCAGCTGTGAGTGATAGCTTTCCCGTTGTAGCGCCTCTCCCGGTACCATGGTCTCGCGTTCTCGATATCGATATCGCGAAGCAGGCCCTTGCAGTCTTGCGGAAATGGATACTCACAACAGGGGCAGCGAGTCCTCATGATCCTCAGATGCTCCAGCTTGTTTCCCTCATATCCGATATTACCAGAATCGAAGCCGAAGAAATACTTTCTTGGTTCCACTTGATATGGGACGAGGACAACTTTGGTATGGAGAAGTTATGGGATTACGGCTTGAATGGGGGACAAGTCTGCGATTCTCGAAAGATTACAGTCAATTTTTTGCAGCTTGTAAGTGGCAGGTCGCTTTTCATGACGGGAAGCGGAAGAGTTGGAATGTCAACGTCGATGATACAGCGAGATGATGAGGTTGCGTTATTTACTGGCGAGAAGTTACCGTACGTGATTCGCAAAAGTCTCGAGCATCCTGGCGGCCATATTCTGGTGGCTCCATGTTGGGTGAGCGGTGCTCTCAAGGGGGGGCAATGGCCCGGTTGGGATGGGAAAATGGAGGAGGACCTGGAGGATATTGAACTTGTATGAGGGCGCACTTATGAGGCAGTAACTGCGATACGAACGATTTTCTTTTTCTGGTCAAGAGCAGGCTCTCTGAAAGACTTGTATCCAACAATATTGTGCTTTTTATTGCTAGGCAAATGCTACCGACGGCCTGTGCGATCACAGAACAGTAGATATCTTGTAAGGTCTTTGGCACGCTGACAGACACCCATGGCATTTATTTTTCCACAATCTAGGCTTTATCTCCCGGCAAGGCATTGCTTCGGGAGTTTGAAGAGGCCAAAGCATTCTTAGACTTGGTCGTCACAGAATCTAGACTTGATCCTTTAAGGACGGTTTCCTTGATCTTGTTGACGATTTCGGCGGTCGAAACAATACCAAGCTTGAGGGCATCACTGAGCAATCTCACGACGCCGTGTTGCATGACACCTCGCAGTATCTCTTCTAATACGAAGCAGACGTGTTAACACAAAAGTTACTTTGTAGGATTATGACCTGGGTACTGTTTCACTTACTTTGCATAGCGGGAGTGTGGCCCTTGTGTAGAACGATGGTATACTTCTTAAGCTTGGACTTTGGGCATTTTGGCGAGAGGCCTATGGGATGGCCTAGGCTGACAATTGTGTGCTTGTTGCCATTCGATTCTGTGTTTAATGAGTAGTACTTTCGCAAAGCTGTGATTGGGATAGTGTGTTAGCATAACGACATGAATCTGTGAGAAAGGCGCGGCTCCTCTTCACCTTCTTTGTCTTCCTTATTAAGACATTCGAGCTGGATCGATTTGTGTTCCGGTCTCAGGCCGGCCTTTTTCAGCAGTTGCCGAATGGCTTCATCGTCCTCTTTGAGGATCGCACAAATGAAATTAGTGGCAGGTTATTGGGATCTTCGGTGTTCACTGACTATAGATGATGATGCCGTGCTCGAATCGAGATTCGCCTGAGTAGCACATCAAGAAGAATACGTCAATGTAGCCCACGAGTCGTATTTTGCCCGGCCATCGTTCATTATTGATGAGAACATCCCCTGGGTGTATATCGCTAGATGTAAGTAAGTATGAAAAGGATTGACTTGCTGAGAAGAAGAGAATGCTTCGATTGCGTACTAATTGCATTCCAGAATGGTGTCTTCAATTGTGCGGCCAAAAGCGCGCAGAACGCGATGATATGATGCCATTGTAAGCTCTCCGTCAAAGGATATGTACTCTCCTGGGGCTAATGATCAATTGCAGGCAGAACCCTCAGTTGTATTTTGAGAGATTCTTGGCCGTCTGTGTATTGTCGCATTCTGTAGGCCCTCACAAGCAAAGAAGTAACAGGGCTATCTCACGATCGATCGATTGGTTTGCCCTCTGCGAATCGCGACCGATCGTTACATATCACCCTAGACCAGCCAACCAGCCTTGTATTCATGCTATTTCTAGACCACGTCACGCATAATTTGGGCATTGATGCATTAGTTACGGGGCGCGAAACTCCAATTGCATCAAGTTATGGGGATCCTCGTCCAAGGTGAGATGCTGAATGGCATGTCTGTGTCGTCTAGCGGCCAATCAAGTTGAGTCTACTTGCATAAGATGCTGAAGCCTAGCCAGGATTGAAGCTGAAGAGGAGGCGCCGGAAAGACGGGCAAAAACACTACTGCAGTGTCGTCGCATTTGCGGTTGCAGAGATGTCGCGACTCAGGTTGCCGCTGCTAGGCGCATGCATTGTTCATGCGATGATAGGCATATTATAGATCTATCGAGTTTCCATATCTTCATCCACCTGGTTATTTCGTTCCTCCTTCCAAGCTTTGCGATCTATTTACGATGGAATCTTGACACCAATTGATCCCGTTGTCGGCAGAAGAGGAGGGCTACCCTCCACCCGCTGCGCTACCATGGCGGAACAACTCGAAACGGAGGACGCCTCGAAGCGAGTCCTGGTCGCCAAGAAGATGCTGAAAACGATGGGATTTCACGAGGAAATGTTGAGAAGTATCGTCACATCATGGCTCGTTCCCCAGCTCAGAACAGAAATCACCCGTGAACCCGGCAAAAGCCTCACCAGGATCCAAGATGTCGGTTTCTTAGCAGCGTCGCGCTCCGATGGGCTGAGGCCCTACCGAATGTTCGACATCACTGACCGCATGTTGGTTGATGAAATCGATTCATCAGCGCCGTACTGCATGGTATCTCACCGGTGGAAGGACCCCGAAGTCAACCTCGATCTGCTTCGAAACGCCAGAAAAGATGTTTCCGAGTCGTACCCTGTTTGGTACAAATCCGAAAAGACTGACGTTGAGGTAATCCTCAAGTACTGCAAAGAAAAGGTAACGCAGCAGAGGAAAAACGTCAACGGTTGCGCAGTGAAGAACAGACTCGACGAGAAGCTAGCCGAGCAAGGCTGCTACGTCGCCTGCCTGTTAAAGATGCATCACCAGAGCAAAAAGGTCCATGAAGAGGTACAAGAGGCCCACGCCAGTCTAGAGAAGATTCTGCGCGGCCAAAAGGTGTCAGAGATGGAGAAGAAAGCATACCGAGAGCTCAGCAAAACGGCAAAACGCAGCGGGGCTGGGAACCCGACTTCAGCCTCTACCGTGGAAACCGAAAGCTATGTGCTCGTAAGAAGCAACGATGATAAAGACAACAGTCGCGTCAAGGCTGCTTACGAGAGAGTCTTCGATGCGGAGTGGGAGAGAGACAGAGAGCTGGAAGACCCGAAGTTCGATGCGCTCAGTCGGGATCTTCGAGAATCAGTGGAGGAAATGATTCGCTGTCTACGTCTATGGAGGTCGGCCATCAAGATAGAGCAAACGATATTGAAGGCTGAAGAGATCTTTAATCGCGGTCTGATGGCTGGCCAAAAGCAGCGAAAGTGCTATCTTTGGGTTGATACCTGCTGTATCGACAAGAGCAACCACAATGAACACTCTGAAACAATGTCGCTCATGGGAGACTGGTACGCGCAGTCTGCATATACCCTGGTTCATCTGGACCATGGCCCCGACAAGTCGCCTAAGGGATCTGACGCGGAGATCTATTGGAACGAATTCCTACAAACAGACGGCGATCATCAGAAGCTGGAGACGATTCCGGAGCGAGAGCTGGATCACGTTCAGAGCTATCAAGATATCGGCAAGGAATCGGAAGTTGAGTGGTCGACAAGAGGATGGACGTTGCAAGAGCTGGTCATGAGCAGAATGACTTACTTTGTCAACGCTGACTGGAAGTTCTTGCCTCGACCTGTGGAAAGTCTAGGGCGCCTATATCACCTCATACCATATGTCGACCTATACACCGAGGCGCTCGACGACAAGCGCAGTCCAAGTACCTGGCGGCCCGAAATCCTGATGACTGCGCTGCTGAACTCGGGGGCAGTGGCTCCAAGCGACGCTACGAAAGTCGTGTACCCGAGGATACAGAAGGAGTCGGATGAGGTGGAAGAAACGGTTGAAGATGACACGCAGTCGCTGAGCGGCAGACTCTTGGCGTCTATTGCTATGCCTTGGAATCTAGTCGACACAATGTTCCATGTCGTCAAGCCGGAACCAACCAAAAGCGAGGCTATGAAGGATCAAGATTTACGAGCTGACTTACTACGTGAAATGTCGGTTCTCTGGGACCCGACTTTGGCAAGTCGATTTCCTCAGACGACACCAAACGAGAAAGAGAAAGGAAAGCAGAAGCTTTTCAAGGTCCCCGAGCATCCTTTTCCCCAGAGTGGTGCCAATGCAGAGGATAGGGTACTGCGTGCGCTGTCTCTCATCAAGGCTCTGGAGTTGGTGGGCTTTTGCTTTCCTAAGGACCTATCCCGTGAGACTGCCAGATCTGAGATGGCTCAAGCTGTTTTCTTTGCGGCAGCTGGATTGATTGAATGCTACGATGAGACGCGGTTCCCGATTGTCGTTCAGAAAAAGAGAAGGGAAGAGGGCAACAACAAACCGACTGCTGACGAAGAGAAGGCCTTGTTGAAGCTGAAAAGGAAGGCGGAGAAGCGAGTGAAGCTTGAAATGAGGAAAAAGATGTTTCAAGAGCTGCTCAAGTCCTTTCCTGAGGTACAAGACCGCTATTCCGTCGATGGATTCGAAAGCACTGAAGAGAAAGAGGAAGCATTCTCCAACATCCTGGCACACATTTTGCATGTTCTCGTGGACGAAGTCAAGCCTTTGATACAGGAGGACCGGCAGTTCATCGCTGGGTTCGCAAACATCACTTCTCTTGACGCGTGGATTGAAGGGACGAAGAGATACGGATTTAGCGCTCAAGAGGTGATGGCTCTAGCATGTGAACGACGGACCACGAAGCCATTTGACCGCGCGTATTCTCTCATGGGTATCCTGGGCGTTCGGTTTCCGACATTCTCTGCAGAAGGCTATGAGAAAGCACTGTGTCGACTTCTAGATGAGACGATTACTACCCACAACGATGTGTCTGTCTTCAACTGGACAGGCCACGACAAAGGAAGCCCGATACGAGGTCGCTCGATGTATCCTCTGACACAGGAGGCATACAAAGCGGACAATGGCAGGCTCCATAATCGGAACCACTATTCGGAGGCTTTGAAAAAGAAGATGTCGAGGACTACAGACGCATATCATGCTATTGTCGCCCTGTTGCGCGACTTGATCGACTTTCTCAAGACGACTACTCCTCCAAAGCAAGAGGTTGAATGGATTCAGGCTATTGCTACCATTGTTCAGAATCTCAAACTACAGAGCTTGAGGACCCCTTCGATCGGTCACTCGGAGGATCAGGTTGGGAGCCAGGCTAGTAGCCACAGTAAAAAGGAGTCGCCAAATGAGATTGAGGTTATCAGCAAATTCATTGGATACATCATTAATCCTTCTAGCAGGCCAGCATACAATCCGAGCATCGAGTCGCTAGAGGGGACAATACGTGTCGCTCTCGAACCAGAACCTGAGCCAATACCTGTCCGTGCGGTTGATACACTAGACTGTATCGATGAGCAGGTCGAACCTGTCTCTCCAGTTACGGACCATGAGGATGCTCCGTCAGATGATGTATCTGCGGTGGCCCCAACTGAGACTCCCACACCCGACGAAGAAGTCAATGAACCAAGTCCTCCCTTGGGCAGAAAGAGCAGATTCGTCGAACAGCTCTCTGAGGCGGGCCCGGCTCCGGAGGAATCCTCCGTTGACTCGCAAAGCACGGCACAGACTGAGGTTCCAAATCCGAATGATGAAATCACCAGATATCTCCAGAATTGGGCCACTGCCTCTACTCGTGGTGCAAGTTTTGGTAGAAATATCCCAAAGAATCAACTACCGCCGCAAATCCAGGGAGTCCAGTACAGCATAGAGGAGCAGCAGGAAGAAAACACAAGCGACAATTCTTCCAACGCCGAATACTCGAATACAGTCTCACCGCATCCCATCATAGTCACCAACGCAGGAATCGAGGGCATATTCGATATTCAGCGCGTCATTATTACCATGGCGGATGTGGAAGGCCTTCGGCAGCAAGTCGAGCACACAACGAGTGGAGAGCAAGTAATATCCGGCTATTGCTCCATCAGTACTGGATTCGCACAGGTCGTTGTCCGATTTTCGTGCAAGAGTAGTCTTCTGAAGCAACAGCTGGAAGTCATTGACGGTATTGACTTGACTGCTCCTAAGGAGGAGACGAAAAAGTTAGAGAAGAAGAAGGAACACAAAATTACTACCAAGGGCCTCTGGGATAAGATGAAGAAGAAGGCGAAGAAGAAGAAGAAGGGCAAAGAGGACGATGACAACGAAGTTGAGAGCGAGATAACGGAGTCAGCGTCTCTAGATGACGCTGTAAACAATGCAGAAGCAGAGAGGGAAGAGTCCGAGAACCAACTGAACTACGAATTCGACAAAAACAGAACCATCAGTGGCATGATCAGGTTTATCCAGGAAGACGACTTGCGGCTTGTGGCAGGCGAGTGGGTGCTCGCGCGATGCTCAGGCGTATCCAACGCCAACTGGTTCCTCTGCCATCTCGAACTAGGCGCGACACACCCATTCTACGGTTACCGCATCCCTACGAGTGAGATCAATTTCGACAATTGCACGCCTGAGAATGGGTTGGTCATCGCGTGGAACATGTACATGGACCGAAAGAAAGAGGAGATGTGCAAGATATTGACGATGCTCCTCAAATCAAAGGAGCGTAAGCTCAAGAGAAGACGACTGATTGGTCGCATAATGCGTGATCTCAGGACGGTGGATGAAGAGGACGAGGATGAGCCCGAGGAGAGTCGGGAAAGCTTACTTGAGACGATTGATTCCCACGACGGCCCGATCGACCACGAACAAAATGAGTACGACTATGTGGACGAGTACGCGGAAGAACGAAATGAGATGCCGCAGACGATGCCGCCGAATTCGGAGTTTCTCTCCCAGAATTCCTCACTCAGCATCGTCCAGGACAGCATGTGGTCCGCTCCCTTCGATCCTCAGTCTCAGTTCACTGCGTCAAGCTACGAAACACCAGACATGTTACCAGTCCAAGAACTCCGCCCCGAGGACTCGGTATCAAATATCGGAGATCAGGACTCCAGACCAACGACGCGGCCGCCGACTGTTCGCAGTTCCAGCTCTACGGCCACAGCAACCACGGCAAAAGACAGGGGCGACTTCGACGACGGCGAGAAGTCGCATTTCTGGGATATTCTGCCGTTTATAGAGAAGGTTGCTGAGACCAAGGCGAAGCATTTCGACAAGCATTTGAGTGCGACTGTGTTGAAGGATACACCGCCCGTTCTGAGGCAGGCGATTGAGAATTTGAATGAGAGGAGGGACTTTTTGCCGGCAATGTTTCATTCGGCGAAGAAAGTTCATATGTTTTAGGGAGAATTGATGTCCATTATATGGCTAAATTGGAAGAGTTTGTTTCCTGGCAGGTGTATAGGTAGTGCACACGTCGTGTAAGAAAGCACCGCTTTGCGCAAAGGATGGACTCAATATTACCCCCTTGGCCTCTATTTCATGGATGGCAATGGAAGCTTGTCAGTTGCTTTGATCCCACTAGCAAAATCCCCATAGCACACAAATACCCGACAGTAAGCCTTGGGTCCACGGTGTCCTACTGGTGTGCCTTGAAGGCCGGGCTGCCATTGGGCCAGAGCCGGCCACCTGTCCCCCTCCCCTTTATAGGCTTAACAGAGTGCGCATCACTGCTCCATTTATTGATGCTTCTTCTGTTGCCAAACCAGCTCTGCTTTTGCTCTTTGCGGCTCTCGTTCAATCCAACCACAAGGAGCCTACAGAGCGACAATTCGTACCGGAGAGATCGATCACGCATCTGATCACATGCATGACCGGGGGGTTGCACCCTGACCCTGTTCAGCAGCAACGGTGAAGCATTGACGATTTGAAATGATACGGGAACCCCCGAATCTGGCCATGACTCTGGGATTCCTGTGAAGACTCACGACACGGTCTCACAGCGGCTACCTCAACTGACACATACCCCCAAACTCGGCCCACGACACATTGAACATACCTCGCAATACCCATGGACCAGCTGCCCCAAGATGGAGACTCGAAGGCGGTATTCAAAAAGATACTCTACCCATCCAAGGACAACCTCTGCGATGCCTGTCGCCGCATCTCGATTCCTGCACTGACCGCAGAACTCGCCTCTCCGCCGAGCTTCTGGAGAGATTTGGAGTTAGAGAATGTCATGCCAATAACGTCCAAATACGGCATGAGTCTTTTTGAGAATGCACTGGATCTCACCAAGAGGATTCACACATGCGCCATGTGCTGGCTCATTGCAAGCGCCTTTAGGATGCAGTATCAAACCATCCAGGGCATTGCCGAGAGGCCAATCTTTCTCAGTCCGTGGTGGACGTATGGGACCGCAACGCCAATGACTTCGAATCCTGTGGAGGACCAGTTTCCGTTGATGGGGATGCTGATTTGGATGCCTGTTGATGACCATCCACATGCTACTCCGCGAGATGGTTATGTCCCTTGTACGCTGCGGTTCTACACTGACGAAGGTACGGCTCATTTCAAGATACTTGGAGCAGTCGTCACTCTTACTGGCATCACGGCGTTCTAACATCGTCAGTCATGTAGAGAGCCCTCATACATTTCAACGCATAGTGGGCAGAGTGCCGGTGCTCTATACCGGAAGCCCACAAACGTTCGCTCGCTCGCGGCATCAACTCACCACATGTCGAGAGAATCACCCAAACTGCCTAGAAACAGTGGCAGGTTCTCCGTTTGACAAAGAAGAAGAGCCGATACTGCCAACACGCGTCATCGACCTCGGGCCTCCTAGTTCTGGCAGTGAGAAGGATCATGACCCTGTTCGTCTCATCAATACAGACGGCTCGCGCGGCCATTACGTCGTGTTCAGTTACCGTTCGGCGCTCGTCAAAGATTCCTTCCGCACAACCCGCGCGAGCCTTGAGGATCATTCGCAGGGTATTCCCTGGACCAAAGTTCCAAAGACACTGCAGCACGCAATGGACATGGCCAAAAAGCTAGGGTTTCGGTATTTCTGGATTGACTTACTCTGCGTTGTCCAAGACGATGCCGAAGAGGGGCTCCGTGAATCAACAAAGCTGGGCAGCGTGATTGAGGGCGCAAGCCTTGTCATTGCGGATTCACAAGGGTGGAGTTTTGAGGAGGGCCTCTTTAATGCTCTCAGCAATTGTACTTCCTCAAGTCTGACCCGGATCCCTTACCATGATGCAAACGGAGTCGCTGATGGCACAGTGTTGTATGTTGACTGCGTGGACTACAACAGCATGACCGATCCAGATGAGATATACGGCACCTTTGTCGGGAGGGCCTGGGTCACACAGGAGTTTTTCATGGCGCGGCGCATCGTCTTTTTCACCTTGTTCGATACGGTCTGGTCATGCCGGACAGTTCGTATAGGGCCCGACGGGGTCCAGAATATTCCAACGAGGAATCTAGACAATCGAAAATGGTTCGACATCATCCAGCACCATGGGATGTGTGAGCTGAAGCATCCCGAGGACCGGCTCCAGTCATTAGAAAGCCTCAGAACCGCAATACAGAAGCGAGATGGCGGGACACCGTACAGACACGGCATGTTTGAGAAGGAATTGCAGACACAGCTGATGTGGCGGGTTGTCAAAGGCCGAGCACGAAAAGCCGAGAACCCTGTGGCCGTACCATCGTGGTCGTGGGCCTCCAGCATGGCCAGGATTCGATTCTTCGAGTATACTGCAGAACCCGCGCCTTTATCGATCGTCATACAGTGGGAAACCTGCGGGAATATGTCGTTCAAAGGGGACACAGTACTGGTGCCGGCAGGGAAGCTGAGGAAGCTGAGAAAATCGTCCTGGTGGCAGAAGATGAAGGTTCTCCCAGAGCCGATGACGGAACCTGATAACATGAACTGGGAGAATACAGTTCGGTTTGACGAGATTGAGCCTCCTGGCAAGTTTGCAGGTACTCTATTTGCTCTTTTGCTGTGTACCAAGGAGATGAAATGGCCGGATGACAAATTATCGGTGAACGAGTACTTTATCATCTTGAGGAGGATATCGAAATGGAACCAGACGTACGAGAGAGTCGGAGCGGGAATGTCGTGCAGTCGTGGGCGGCTTATGGATAATCTGTTGACGTGGTCGTTCGATTGCAAAGTGAGGAGCTTTCAGATTGTCTGATCAACACAATCGCTTAATGCGTCTTCAGCGCTTTGATATACCCAATTGTTGCCCAGAAATCTTCTTCTCTCCGTCTGAAAAAGTGGTGATGCTGCGAGCTTCGTCAGAGTCGACTTAACGCTGCCGGCTTAAAAGCGTCCCTTGTGAGCTTTACCGCGAGCAAAGATGATGCACAAATTCATCTTGCCTTTCTACCGATCCAGTATATCCAAACCACGAACTGCAACCAATGTGAGTGGTTGGACCGAATAAGAAAGCATTCGTGCGTCTGACCCCCCCGGAACCCGACTGCATCGCCGCCGGCTTCTGGGGAGTATGGGCTCCTCGTGATCATGAACGATTCGTTTTATCGGCTGTCATTCCTGTAAGTAAATTCAGGCATTCTGTCGCCATGTCATCACGAGCATCTTCTTGTGGTAGTGACCTCTTGCAAGAGCCGCGAAGAATTTCTTTATCTAGACGTCAGAATCGACACATGTGATCATACTGGAGGCGACACCCTATCACAATGGCTTCTGCCGTGACAGTTCCAATCCAATTGGAAGTATGTTCCATATGACAAAAGGCAGATGAAAGACACGCATCAGGCAGCATTGCTCGTCGAGTTGGGTAGCAGAGCTGAATGTATCACACGTGACTGGTTGTATGACGATCGTGATCAACGCACGACATCCTGTCTCTCGCTTCTTCTACGTCATGCCTTTAGGACAAAAGACATATACCTCGCTCATCTCGTTCGACGCTGGGGATGCACGACTTAGCCATTTCATTGACAGCCCAAATCCAGGCCTTAGAGAGGGTAGTGCGATTGTATCGATGAAACATGGCACTTCTCCCAGGCCCCGGGTATGTAGAGCCACCTACCCTGAAATCCGGGGACAGTCGACTGAGAAGTCATTTCAAAGAGCTAGTATAAACATTGAAGATGACGAAGAAACAACACTGCTACCTGGTCAAAGTCTGAACTCATGGAGACGCCCTTGGCAGCATGACAACCCGTTCATCCGGCTTCCCTCGCATTTCATCCGCTATCTATGGCATAACCCACAAGTATTCTGGTATCTGGGTACGGTAGCGCTGTGTGCAGGATTGTTGGAGCAGATTGTCGAGGGTCGTTTCCCGAGCTTGATGCTCGTGTTATGCTCCATGAACATAATATGTCTAGCTACCTACTCAAGATTTCAGGCGGAAGAAGGTGATGGAGCAATATAGTGTACAATCCTCTTATTGAAAGAGGTGACCCACATATTCTCTCTTCTTCTTCTCTCTGACCCTCCCTACTTCTATCCACCTTCACCGGAGGGCATATTTAGGATGTCTTCAACCTCGCCAAGCTCAACACCCTACACCCATATCTTCAGTTTTCCGTCCTCTAGTCAATTATCTCATAAACACAGACTGCGCTGTTCGAGATTTGTCATGCAGTATGTGGTACTACGGCCTGTGTTCTCCGTTAGTCCATGTCCATTGATGAACTGTGCAGGCTTGGGCCTTATATGCAATCGACAGGATATCCGGACCAACGCGCTCACCAACGGGGATCGCGGTCACGAGACCGGCAGTGGTTCTGGACACTTCAGCTATATTCCGTGAAGCGCTAAGCTCCACGGGTAGAAGGTGGCTGAATACTCTCTCCATACAGGGCGCTTAAACAATGGAGACGTTCATCCAGAGCCTTGTAACCCAGCATAAGATGAACTGCGGGAAACGGACGACATCAATTGTGCAACCTTCCGTCTTCGAAACGAATCTTGACAATGGTCGATGCTTCTTATTGTAAATTACAATAGCTCATGTTCGAGATACAAATCGACCGCCCAGAATCGCGATGTTGTCGCACAATTGAGGATTTCCAGATGATAGACGTAGAGTATCGCAAGCCTATACTGAGAAATACATGGTCTTCAGGGTATGTAGCCAGCCGCAGACGAGTATCGACCGGGGCTTTGCAATGGCTTGTGGAGCACGAATTCATGTACTGAAGTTTTGATATTGAGTAATGGAGGTGTGAGGCAGCCTCTGTGAGGGAACTTGAGCACCCCTGTCGGAGAACCCTGGTCGGTACTCATGCACTGTTGACTACTTTGGCCGACTACCGCGTACAGCCTATAACAAGACCCGGGAGCCTTCTTTGCTACATGCTACATCCCGGCACCCAATGCGGCTCTTTTGAGTTCAACACGGTGAGCAGTATCGACGTTGACGGATTTCGAGACATGACTGAAGGCCCAGTGTCGCCCTTCTTCATGTTTCTGTCTTTTTGCTAGGCCTCTTAGCCGTCTTCAAAGATCTCTGAGTCCTGAAAACATCTCCACATTGTCGCGTACTCTCCTTCAGGTGCCACCAACATACGGCAGGGGTTGATCAGAAATACGCCAATGAGAAACTGACCACAAAAGGGCGGCAATGGTGGATTTGAAGGCGGCAACCAGCGGTTCACCAGATGCTCCTATTCGCTAGAGTTGGAACATGTTTTTGTTACCTTGACACAGAGAGGCCGTATATGCGGCTGCCTCATGCCCAACAAGACGTATCCCCCTGAAAATCCCGTAATATATCCCCGCATTGAGGGCAGTGCCTAATCTGCCCAGCAGGATTCGTAGCTATCAGCCTCATATTAAATATACTGTAACTTCTGGCCTTGTCTGGCTTTAAATAGAGAATCCCTCTCGAATTGGTTTCCTCTGGCCCTATATTCCGTATGAACCCTCTGACTGACTTCGGGAACCCTTCGTCTGCAGTATGAGCCCACTGCAACTTGGATCTATACTCGTCCAAGCTGTGATTACGTGCTTCCTACGGTTATGGCTTTGGTTATCTGCTAGGGGAAGGACCTCATTGATCCTGAAACAAAGGTCCCTCCACTCGCCAGCCAAATCTTCTCATGCGGTTTGTAAACTTTGCCGATACATAGAGTGATAGTATAATAACACACGCATAGAGACGTGCCAGGCAGCCTCTTGAGATTCTGTATGCCGGACTAAGCAGTGGTGCCAGTGACACAGCCGAGTTTGAGTAGGAGGCACATCCTATCGAAGAAGATATTAGTCTAACACTTCCACCAGATGCACCATCATTGCTGTCCACGGCCTTGGATCGAACGTTGACTGGTCATGGACATGGAAGGATAATGGGAAATGCGTCAATTGGCTTCAGGACCCTGACATGTTACCTGCCAAAGTGCCAAAGTCAAGGATAATTGCATACAACTATGAGTCAAAATGGGACGCCGATGCTCCAAAGACGCGCTTACAGCTCTGCGGAGAGGAACTCGTTCACAGCATACACTCACTGCAAAAGCATGATCCCAATCATCCGATTGTCCTCGTCGGCCACAGCTTGGGTGGAAATGTCATTGTGAATGTAGGCACAGCATAAGACATCTCCCCGCACACAGTGTTTAAGCTAAGACAGGTTGTTAGGGCCTCCTCTATGCTAACTCTGAGGACACGTTCAAATACCTCCTCAAGGCAACTGTTGGTCTGGTATTTCTGGGAACACCTTTCAGAGGGACAGAATGGCAGCCGTTTCTCGAATCCCTGGTGAAACTCAAGTCTTTTTCTGGCTCACATAATGGTATTACCAGGGAGCTTGGCTTCGACGAACCCATATTGCTGGACAAACTCCATGGTTTCTGCCGACTGCTCAATAAGCTCTCGATACCTGCTTCTTGCTTCAGTGAGCTCTACGAAACAGACTACGGGCGGCGGTACGGAGTCAGGGGAGCCATCAAGGGAATGGTGAGTAGCGACATATCAAGACTCAGAGAAGATACTGAACATCACAAGGTCGTGACGGAAGCGTCTGCCTGTATCCCCGGCGTCGAAAGACATGCACTTCAAACCGATCATCTGAAGATCAATAAGTATTGCAGTCCGACAGACCGGTCGTTTTTGACAGTGTCTACGACAATCTCCGAAATGTACGCCAACGCGAAGGACATTATCCGTCGCCGGCAGGCTCGTGAGTGCCACCTGTCTGACGATTTGACTTCGTGCTAACTTGTCCTTGTAGCCAGGGAGATTATCACCGACCGTTCACGTAAGTTGCCATCAAAAAAGTGCACGTCCTCTGCGCTGACAACTGTCCAGATGCATTGGAGCAGAAGCCAGAAGCCGAAGCCTGTCTACGCGACCTCTTCCTGACCGACCCGCGAGATGACAGGATTGCACTGAAAAGGAAGAAAGGAGATCGTGCACAGGGTACCTGCGAATGGATCATTGGCACAGAAGAGATTACTGCCTGGTTGGGCTCGACACAGAAAGCGCGCTCAGAGGCCCAGACGAACAACATTCTGTGGCTCCACGGTCATCCAGGCACAGGAAAGTCCACGATGGCTATATTCCTCACTGAAGAGCTGCCCAAAGCCTTCTCAGAGACTGATGGGAAGACTCTGGCGTACTTCTTCTGCGACTCCAACTTTGACAAGCAAAGAACCGCCATCTCAATCGTCCGCGGGCTTCTCCTTCAACTCATCCAGCAGCACCCACAGCTTCTCGACTACCTTATGCCAAGATATCGCGAGCGTGGAGCAAAGCTTTTCGAGTCTTTCGATGCTCTTTGGGAGATTTTCATGATTGTGGCGGCGGATCAAAGCACGGGCCAAAAGTACTGCATCATCGACGCCCTTGATGAATGCGATCAGACATCACAAGAGGTACTATTGCGACAGCTTCAAGAGACCTTTGACGGCAGCCGAGACATGAATATCCACATCCTAATTACGAGTCGACCCTACTCTGAAATCGAAGAATATCTTGGACAATTCCCGAACACAGACTTGGGAACTTTTCCCAACGCAAAACAGGATATCGACGTATGCATCGAGGAAAAGCTGGCAAATCTGACTCGGAGAAAACACTACACCCAGAAAGTTAAAGATCAAATCAGCGAACTTCTTAGAAACAAAGCGGAAGGCACATTTCTTTGGGTTGGATTAGCATGTAAAGAGCTAGAAAACGTCCCGTCCAAGGATGCTCTGAAGCTCCTTCAAGATATGCCTCAGGGCCTTCATTCTCTTTACCAGAGGCTTTTGAATGCGGCGCTCGCACAAAGCTCCGAACCGAACATCCTAAAACGCATCCTGAGCTTTATTGTTGTGGCTCTTCGACCCTTGACCGTGGAGGAGCTTTCAACAAGCTGCGAATTACACCAAGACGAAACGGATTTGGAGACCAGGCTTCAGTTTACACGCGAGCACGTCGCCTCGTGTCGTCTGATGATCAAGATCCAGGATGACCAAATACTCTTACTGCACCAGTCTGTGAAGGATTTCCTCACCAGAACTGGCTCTGGCTGTTTTATCAACACACTCGATGCAAATGCCGACATGGCTTGTCGTTGTGTGGACTTCCTTGTTGAAGATTTCCATGAGATCAGAGATCCTGATGATGATCTCACTGCTTATGCGATACGCAGTTGGTTTATACATGCACGAAACGCACAAGCGAAATTCCAAGTGCGAGAGTCAAATGTCGAATTTTTCGAGGTCGAGTCTCGGTGTCGAGACCGGTGGCTATGGAGGATCCAGTCAACAACTCCCGACGTGATCCCACAAGAGATGTCTCTTCTGCACGTCGCCGGATTCTGGGGAATACCTGGCCTCGTCGATTATATTGCCATTCACCATCAGACCAAATTTGATCAGATGGTGTCTTCACTCAGCAGTGGAGCAACACCGATCAACCTGGCCATCTACTCTGGCTATACAGACGTCGTTACCAAGTTCTTTGAGCTAGGAGCAACACTTACAAGCGGTTCGGCTCAGTGGGCCATGGAATCCCGTCATGCTCGCATAGAAATGCTGCAGTTACTCTTTGATCTCAAGGGAAGCCAACTTGTCATTTCAGAAGGTGCAGTTTGTTCTGCGGCTGCACACAAGGAGCACGGCGATAAATTCATCAAGCTACTTCTAAGCCAACGAGCGGATGAGATTCGCGTCACAGAAAGGATTCTAGACTATGCGGTTTCTAATTCGGCGAAGAATAACGACGTCTTAACAATGCTCATTGGCCGGCTCGATGCATCAGTCAACATCGGAGAGCGAACCATTGCCGGCATTGCCCAAAAGTGTACTGGACAAGTCATGGCATTGCTACTTGACCGGCAGGGAGATCATATCCGCATCACACAATCAACTGCAAAGGCTGCGGTTGGAAACGTATTACATGGGGAAGAAATGGTGGCACTGCTGCTCAAGAGGCGAGGTGCTGACATTACCATCACTGAAGAGATCGTAACCACTGCAGCACGATGCCAAAATGGTCATAAAGTACTGGCACTACTTCTCAAAGAGCGAGGACACGAGATCATCATCACCCACGACATTGTGAAAGCAGCAGTGGGAAACAGTCATGGCGAACAAAGTCTGGCTTTGCTCCTCAAAGAGCGAGGGGATGAGGTTATCATCACGGATGACATTGTGAAAGCTGCAGCAAGACACAACGACGAAAGAGCGCTCGCACTGCTCTTGTACCAGTGGGGAAGCGACAACGTTATCACGGAGGAGATCATGAAGATTGCTGCTGGAGACAATATTTCTCATGGATATGAAGTTGTTCACTTTCTTCTGAAAGAGAGGGGTGACGAAATCAAAATTACTGCGGAGATTGTGAAGGCGGCTATCAAGTCATGTGGCAGGAAGGAAAATGTGCTCGAACTGCTTCTGGATCAGCGAGGCGACGAGATTGTGATCACGGAAGAGATACTGAACTTTGCGGTGACACATACAAATGGCTCGAGAGAGAAAGCCGTGGCAATACTCCTAGAGCGGCGAGGACACGAAATCACCATTACCGAGGAGCTACTCAAAGCCGCAGTGGGAGTGCTTGGTGGCCATAAAGTGCTGGCGGTGCTTCTTGAGCGGCGAAGCGAGATCGCGATAACGGAGGAGCTTATGATAGCCGCAGTCTCAAACGGCATTTATGGTATGGAGAACATCTCGGTGCTCCTCGAGAAGCGTGGCAATGAGATGATCATAACCGAAGAGGTTATGGAGGCTGCAGCAAAAGGGTTCCGCGGGGGAAGAGTAATTGCCTTGATCCTTGACTGGCTGGGTGAGGAGAAGGCGAAAAGCTTTGAACAATATCGGCCGCATAATTCTTAGGTAGGCAGATAGTTAAGATTTAGCAACAGGTATAGAGAGGGAGATTGGCAAGTGGTTTGCATAGAAATATAGAGCTGGACGAGATGGTCTTGTATACTGTAACATTTAGCAGCGCCTAAAGGCAACTAGCGCCCTTAGATTAAAAGCTTAAAAACTTAAGATAAAGCCCTAGAATATAAGTAAATATATATAGCTAGCTATAATAGCATTTTTCCTTTTTTATCCCTTTTCTTAATATAAGGCTATTTAAATAACCCTATTTTTAGCCCTAAACGTTATATATACTTTATAAGGTTCTACTTTATAATTTATTAGGATTATTAAGTCAGGGATTATTAGAATGTTAATAAACTCTTATCCTGTTAATAAACAGCTAGAGGCCACTCTAGGATTACCTACTTAGTACATGAATATAACACTACATTCAAGTGTAATCTACTATGAAGGTTTAGCAACTAACTTGAGAAAGGGTAAATTACTATAGATATCTATCTGGACATACACCAGATAAAAGAAGCTATGAGGTTACTTCATACAATAGGTAGGAAGGCTGTAAGACTCCAAAGATCGAAATACAAATCGGCAAGCTACTGAACAAGGTTTGTAGACGGCTCAATTTAGCAATGGGATTAGCATATTGTTAGTAGTGCAGTAGACTCTGTTCCCCTCTGTAGTAAGATCACGTGAAGCTATCTAGGCCGGAGGTAAAATTGAACACCCCGCCATCTTCGTCCATGTCTAAGCCGAGGGAGCTGACAGCACAGAAACCTTTCTGGCGATATCGAACCCGATCCTCCGGACCAATATGACGGCTAGAAAGGAATTCAGAGAACTGGCCACTCGCGAGTACTGGGACAAGTACTACTCCGCGGCCAAGGAGTCCAATAAAAAGGGACACGAGTGGTTCCGCACCTACGAGCAGCTAAGGCCTTTCTTCGCTCGCAATCTCTTCAACCGGGAGGGATTGCAAGTACAGGACAACCCCATGATCCTGCATCCCGGGTCCGGAGAGAGTGTTTGTGCTTTCTGCTCCCCAAAATAGGTGCCATTGGAGTGCTAATTGGTTCTCTCCGCAGGACATTCCCCTATGGCTGGCGAAAGAGGGCTACAAGCGACAGCTATGCTTCGATTTCTCGAAGGAGGTCGTTGAGACAATGACCGATGTAATAAACGCGATGGTGAAGGCGAACGAGATAGAGGGGATAGAATACCAAAAAATGGACGCCTTCAATATGGAGGGGATCCCCGACAAGTCCATCGACGTTGCGTTCGACAAAGGCATGATGGATTCTCTAATTGACGGCGACCCGTGGAACCCTCCCCCCGAAGTCAGGAGAGATACAAGAAACTACCAGAAAGAGGTAGGAATCCCTCGATTGGAACGTAGCAGACTGTGTTCTAACAGATATCGAAGCTTCACCGAGTGCTGAAGGATGATGGAGTCTTTCTCTACATCACTTTCAGACAACCCCATTTCGTAGAGCCATTGTTGATCCCAAGGGACCAGGAAGTCTTGTGGGACCTTCAAAAGGAGGCTCTGATAGACAATGCTGCATCCTTGGGCTACTTCGCATGGATAGTCAGGAAGAAAGGCGCCCCTATTCGGCCGCTGGTAGAAGTTTTCTCTGAAGAAAAGCCAGAAGGCCAAGATCCCTAGCTCTCAAGTCGCCGCAACAATAAGGCTTCTCTAACGGCTTAATGGGCATCTCTGGAACCTCCGCCAGCTGATTGCTAAAACTACAGCTCAGACTGTGCAATCTCCTGCGATAGTAGTAGATTGATAAGACGTCGGCCGGGAAGAAAGCGCCATTGAACCCCGACCCTCCGGTCAAACAGCAATATTTACAACGCAACTCATATCACATCCTCCATCCTGACAGTTAGCATAGCGCTGACCGAGGAAAGCATCGTGCGGCCCTCTGCTAGCCTGTTCGATATGGCTACAATTGGCATCTATCTGATGCCGAATTGACGAATTGACGAGAACGGAGCTGCATCTGGTTGCTTTCCTCATCCAATACACCAGATCCCCTGCCGGGCATTGCCTGACATTACAGAGCTATATAAATCGACATGACACTTATGCTCATCCGAGACCTAGGAGACACCACAATGTATATCTTTTGTTACAACAAGCGTTACAACATTAAAAGCGTATTGTCCATACCTACATTGTCTGGTCGCTGCGTTGCAAACCATTGGCGATCATTCTTGAAGTTTGAAATATGTGCTCTGTTGACACGGCAAGAGGAAGCAGAGAACAGAGCTGCTTCAGCATCATTTCCTGCGCACTCAGCGTTTCCTGGGTCTTCACATCCTTCGTCAAGAACGGCTTCCCTCTCTCGTCAACACCAACCGCGCATGACATATCAGCCGAGCCATCGACGATAAGCGTCCTACACATCGCAACCTCCCCTTTTCGAATGGCTGTACACAGGGGCGAGTAGCCAGGATCATCACTCAAGCCGGTAGCATCGACTTTACCCGTCGACAGCATAGCCTTGACAGTCCCGACAGCCTCGACATCGCCGGTAATCCGGTGAAAGATGAAGTTGCCGAGTGGGGCATCGTTCAGGTTATTCCGTAGGTTGACCCCCTCAGGCCAGCATTGGATAAGGATCATGAGAATCTCCCTAATGCCCCTTCTTGCAGCTTGATGGAACACGGTGTGTCCGTGTTGATTGACGTGTCGTAAGTGAGGCTCGATCCCCGACTGTTGACACAGAAAGCGAACGATTTCCACATGTCCTTCGTACGCAGCTTCCCCAATCGACTGGTGCGTTGAGAGGCCACCTCGCCAGTCACTCATCTTGGAACGGTCCCCCACTATGATTGCTCTTCTCAACTCCGGATCACGCTCAGATACCTCAAAGAGCTTCTTGACCAGCACGAGGCATCCATTACGGGCTGCTTGGCAAAGGATTTCATTGCCGTCCTCAAGAAGGTCCTCACGCAGAGCCGTGATCAGGTAGCCGAAGATATCTTCCCATTCCTTTGCTGCATTGCCCTTTATCCTATCTTCATTTGTCCAGCCGAGGACAACTTCATAGAAGAATGCCGTGCAGCAAAGAATGGATCCAAGACTCTTATCCTTCAAAAGCTGCTCGATTGCAGAAATGCTATCCCGCTTGATCAATTGCTCAACGGCAACCCAGACAGAATCAGGCAGGAAATCGGGACTCTGGAGATCGCATTTGAGCAAATCGGCCATGTACGCTGCCGGACCGAAAATCGCGGCCACGACGAGAGGGTCGAGGTGAGTCGTGACTTCGGGGAAGTTGAACTCGGTTCTGAGCGTATTTCTCGGGCGCTTCCACTGCTCGACCCAGTTCTCTAGGCGTTGGGAGCCCTTGCTGCATAAGATGATGAAGTCGGTTGCACTTGGCCAGAGGTCTTGTGACGCTTCAGGGAAGTGAGTCGTCCAGCTGTCGGCAGCATAAGTGAAAAAGCGCCCAAGCCCAAGCTCAAACGGATCAAACTCCTGGGGTAATTCCTCCGGGGCCTCGTCGTCGTCGAAGATGCCTCCGATGGCGAACAACTCGGCATCGTCAGACCCATCCGTGATGGCCGAGTAGAGGTCAACCTCTCCGCACTCATTGAAGAGGAGGTACTGAATGCAACGTTGGAGGAGCTGGCCGTTGAGTTCTCCCTTGCGTTGCCCGGCCTGGTTCTTCCAACCTGGTTTGCCAACCAAGCTCCAGCTTGATGGCGGAGCCTGCAATATGAGCTCCTTGAGAGACTGGTGGACGAGACGCAGCTGGGCGTGCTTTTCATCTTGGACGGTTATGGTGCTAATCAATGGGCGGATGAGGTCGAGAAGGTTCACAGAATGGGCAGTCTCTTCCAGCTCGGCCATCGTCGCAGGACCGTCATCATCCATTTCGATGAATACCGCGTAAGCCAGCTCGTCGGATGATAGAGGACGCCGGGCCACTGCGAGCGTCTCTAGAGCCCGCCGGAAGTATTCTTCGTTTTCTGGCAGCCCTGAACAAACCTTCTCGAACAACGTCCAATACAGCTCAGCAAGGCCCTTTGACGATGGGAGTCTCTTCAATGCAGTCTCCAGACCTTTTTCATTCTGTATGCGGAGTTTCCCGATGTATTCGAGAGAGATTCGCAGCCAGATGGCAGAGCCGTCAGCTCTCTCAGCAAGTTCGTCCACCACTTTCTCGCGGGTCTGTTCCGGAATGTTGAGCTGACTCGCGAGGTAATTCGCAATGATACGATCTCTGTCTTGAGAGAACCCTACCACTAGCTCTATTCTGCTGGCTCCCGCTGGTAAGGCCTTCTCAACGTCGTCATCATATCTTGACGAGAGGAAAACCTTTAGCCGAGCCTCGCGCTCCAAAAGCTCGCGGAACAGAGAAAGTATCTGCCCCTGTGAATAGCCTTCACACTCGTCCAAGCCATCCAGCACAATAAAGATGCATTGCTTCGATGAAGAAAGAGCATCCAGTAGGAACTCGCGCAGCATTTCGTCAGATTGTGTCGGATTGACCTGACTTCGCGACTCCGCCTTCTTATACCAGCTGTAGAACCGCGCCTTCAGATCAGGCCTCCTTTTCAAGAGCTGCCATATGAGGCTGCGGTAAATGTTCCCAAGCTTTGTAGTTTCATGGTCGTCTTTGCAGTAGTAAGAGCAGACGAGCTGCCCCTGGGACAACGTGTCTACCACATAAGCCGTGGTTATCGTTTTGCCGCAACCCATGTCTCCGAATAAGGCCAAGAGGCTCGAGTCGCGAGAGTTCAGCCTCCAGTAGGAGAATTGATCGTTGCGTGTGATCCAGCTGCATGCTTCGTCGGCACGGCGCTTCAGTTCATTGTGGTAGGCGATTTCGTTTTCTCTATGGATGTCGAGGGTATCACGAACTGTTCGAGTCCATTAGTGGTACGTTCCCGGTATCAATAGCTACCTTACTCACTCAGGGCCTCCACTTGTTCATCCTTGATCTCCTGAACGCTCGCAAAAGTCTCAGCCTCGAGTAGCTTCGACAAAAGGTCCGCGTGGGTAGTGAAAGACGAGATGATTCCAGACAGGTCGGATTTTAGCCAATCCAGAGCTAGACGTATGACGAAGGCCGACTTCTTGAACATGATGATGGTCTTCAAGTAGAATTGCAAGAGGTCTTGGTACACATTCACCAATGCCTAGAAGAGTCAGTGGTGGCCTTTTCGAGTCCCAGTGTGACTGACATTGTGTATATCTGGTAGCTGGCTATTCCCATTGACAATCTCGCTGCATCGCTCAATTGCTGGGATGCGTTCGAGAAACGATCCAATCTGGTTTGATACATTGTCGGCAGCGCCACAGATGGCAATGACGATCTATCACAGATGATGAGCTATTCGAGATTTCCTTGACCGCAGATATCTTCCATATCTCATGTGACAACCTGACGTACCGAATTGACGCCCTTGATAAGGCCAAGTGCCGTCCCTGCGGCCGGATTCATACTGGCAAAGGGGCTGATAAAGTCGATAGTGATGCGAAGGCGATCCAGATACGGGCTTACAACCTTCAGCCCTTTTCGCAGAAGCGATTGGTCTTGGTGTGTTTGGTCGGCATCTCTGAGCTGGTCGAACAGCTTTCTGATGCCATCTTCTGTTAATTGCTCCTTTTGCTCTTCAGTTAATGAAGACCATGCTTTGCGATAGGCAGATTCTGATACATCAGACGACTCTATATATGCTTCGTCCTGGGACTCTGTTGTAGTTTCTGAAGATCCGCTTTGCCCCGGCTGGTTGTTATTTGAAGCGTGTATGGGTTCTAAAGGTTCGTTTGCTTCGCCATGGCTGTTTATGGGTTCTGCTATGGGCTTTGGTGGTATTGAAGGTTTGCTTTCTTCCTTATTGCTGCTGTGTATGCGCGCTTGGCTGACGGGCACCGGGGGCGCGGGAGACTTTGGTCGCGAAAACACGTCGAATAGTTTCCTTCTGGTGGATGCCTGAGCTGGCACCGGCTTGAGCGTTTGTGCCCCGTTCTCCGCCTGGCGATGGGAGCGTTGCGAAAAGAAAGGCATGTTTCTGAGTTAAGAGTCGCTGAGCGTGAATGAGGCGAGAAGAGTGTGTAAGAAGAGTGAAATAATTGGTTTTGTATTGTCAAGAATCAGTGCAGAGTGCTCAAGAAGTCTACTGGACCGGATATAGCTTGTAAGGATGAACGTTGTTTCGCTGCAGGCCAGCCTGTGAGCAATCATTTTGTGGCAGAATGCGGAGGATCATCAGGTCAAGCAGGGGTTGGTTTCACAAGATACTGGTACTCTAAATAGACCTGAATGTTGTTGTTGGTAAGCCCACGCAGATACGGCTGCAGATTCTCAAACCACAGCATCGACGTGGATTGGCTGCTCGTACATCCCAGCGCTTAACGAGAATCAAAGCGGTCTGGTCGTCCTCCATCCCGTAAGATGCTCCAAAGGCCAGCATTCGATTTGATGCTGCAAGCCAATTTCACGAAGTTCGGTGAGGCGATGATTCTTTTGTGTAATGTTTGTTGGCCTTCTAGATAACAGCGGAAATGTTTCATGCTACTTGATACATAATCGCCCACAGCCTTTGTATCCTGATCAATCCCACCAAAAATGATCTAAATCCTGCAACAGATCCATCCCAACATTGATATAACTCTTCCACAGATCAACCTCTCTCAGCCACGGCTTCGTCTGCAGAGCAAAAGTCACAGCCGTACAATACTTCATCAAGTCACTCGCATCCTCTCCCATAACAAGAATCAAATCTCCCCTGCTAATCACCCTGTCCCCAAACTGCTTCTCCAAGAGTTCTAGCCTCGACGAAACGGTCAGATGAATGCTGAATTCGCTCCCAGGCATGTCCTTGTTCACAAATTTCCACTCCCAGGGCCGCCCGACGCTATCGAGGAAGCTGTTGCCCTGCCGGTTCTGCAGCCCGACCATGAGCGGGTAAAAGTGCGGCGCGGACCACAGCCGCAGGAGGGCGAAGCGGGCGCTTGGGTGCTTGCTTGCAAAGTCCTCGGCGCGACGGAGCAGCTTTGGCCATTTGTCAGGTCCGGCAAAGTTGGGTGGGAAGATTGGGGGGAACCGGTTGTACGGGTCCTCGTAGCAGATGAAGAGGTCGAGTTTGTCGGGGCGGTGCGGCTCGGTCATAGCCGTGGCTATTCCGGGGACGACTTCGGGGTCGTTTTGCAGGTATGCCGGTGCAATGATTCCTGCGCGATATACTGCGATTTGTTAGCTATTGCCTCAGGTGGACCTCGTGGAGCTTAGTCGGGGGAGAGGAAAAGGGGTACTGACATTTAGCGACAATGGGACGAACGGCAAGACTCCAGTCAAGAGGATAGATGTCTGCATAGTAGCGGTTGCTTTTCCCAAGGTCCTTCCACGGTGTCCAGAACTTTGGGTCGCGGAATTTGTAGCTTGTTCGGCTTCTTCGGTCAGGCAGCGTCTTGCTTCGTTCTCGTGGGTCGAATATCGCTGAGTTCCTGAGTTTCTCCCACTCCTCTGATCTGAAAAGTGTCATCACACTGGCGGCTGCTTCCGACTCTGGGAAGAACATGGCCATGGTCACAAAAGCCTGCACCATGTCTTGCACAACGAAGCTATGGGGCCACGGGGCCCTCGGGTCGCTGGTGTATTCGTCATAGTCTGCTCGAATTTTCAGCCAGGCCAGGAGCTCGGCGATGTACAACACCCAGTCGGTCTTCCCCCAATGGGGAGTCTTGAGCATGGAGTCGATCACTACTTTAACCTGAGAGTGTTTTTCGCTGCTTCCAGGCTCCAGGTCGCCATCGTGGAACGCCTCCTTAAAATCTACCATCGATGATTAGCATCTCCACCTGCGAGAATTGTCTGACTTGAAAGACTTACGGAAGGATCTGTCACGTTCCATAATTTCCAGGCGCTCTGCAGTTTCGAATCGGTCCTCCAGCAACTGGCTCTCCCTGATGGTGTTCAGGCCGGTCTGCTTGAGAAGCCTGCGCTGCTCAGCTGAAAGATTTCCTCCAAGGAGCTGCCGCAAGCCGGATTCCCAGAGCTTGGGAAGCGCCCAGATGCTATCCTCATCCTTATCCGTTACCCCATCAAGCACGGAAAACGGATCATTGCCGTCACAAATTGCCTGGATGCCCTTTTCGTAATGACGCACATGACTCGGGAGCATGGGAGCCTCCAAGCGAGTGATGGCATTTCTGATTTCTCGGAATGGCACCTTGTCTCTGGGGTTGACCAACTCGTCTGGAAACAGAACCTCGTCTTCTACAACATTTGCTTGGTTGTAGAAGAGGTACGGGGATGAAGCCAGCTCCCTGGTGGTCCGGCAAGTTACTTTCTCGTCTTTGACGTCGAACAGGCAGAATTCCACGGCTTCGTCAGTCACCGTGTCCCAGAGACTCTGGACATCTTCGCCGGGGTTGATCTTGCGCGTGCGCATGGTATCTTTTTCCCTGGTCAAGGTTCGTAAAAGCGGCTCCATATGCGAGTACACCTCTCGTGGGTGCGTGATGCGCCATGCCGTGCGAAGTTCCTGTTCATTATCGTCCGATTAGCATGCTGCAGGAGTCTCATCGCTTTTAAGACAATAACCAGAAGGAACTGACCGTTATGACAACATTATACATATCCAGCGGTGATTGACCAGGCACAAAGCTCCAGATGAAGACGTCGTAGTAGTCATCGAATGAGAAGCGCCATTCCCTCAGGACATCGGTCATGTAGAAATATCCAGGCCCTACCTCCAGCACGTTCTTCCATTCGTTCTTCGAGGCTCTCCCGATGCCTGACTTGCTACGGTAGGTCCAGAGATGCTCCTCAGGGGGCGCTGTTATGACGCGGCCAGTCTTACCGTCACGCACCAGGACAAGCAACTCCCCAGTCCGCATCGTGAGATACTGCAGAAAGCGCCGGGTGACTGGATCTCCGCGCTTCATGTGGCCAACTATGATGTTTCTGGCCTCGACTATGTCGTGCTGGCGACGCACCCGGCCTCGCCCGCCGACCTGAAAATGGCGAGTGTTCTTCTGAGCATCGAGATCGACAAAGTAAGGGAAATACTGCAACTCCTGCAGCTGTTGGATAAGCCTGTTGCTAGCCCAAGACGTCCAGTTCGAAGCTGGGAAGTACTGCCACAGGGTGAGGAGGTTGAGGTCGGTGAACTCAGCCCAGTTGCGGCAGAGCTCAACAGCATGCTTCAGATCGCAGTCTTTGGCAATGATGGAGAACTGCAGCCAGCCGTCTCGAGACATTGCCTTTTCGCTGGCGTGATTCCACACACTCTTGCCGCAAATCGTCACTCGAGCTTTCGGCGGTCGGGAGCGTGTCTTCTTCTCCGTCCTTGGCAGAAACTTTGACTGGCGGTCAGCGATCTTGTTCATCAGCCAATCCCCGTAGTCAAGGTGACGGTAGCGGTTGTGATCGGTCATCATATCGCGAAGCGTGTCTTCGTCGGCTTCCGAATCTTCCGAATCGGAGGATTCTTCAGAGTCATAGTCAATGTCGTCTTCTGTGTCATCCCGGCGTGCAAAATCGGCGCATGCATCTCGAATTTCCTGGAGAGAGGGGTCTTCTAGCTTCAGACAGAGATCCCGCAGGTCTGAGTCGACAAGGTCAGCGTCGTTGAGGAACTCTTCCACACTACCGGCTCGTAGCGCTGCGGGCAACATGGAGGCTTGCGCAAGCAAGAGGCGGCAGAAGAGCAGCAGCTTGATCTCCCTGATGTCCTTAATGACCGACTCAATCTCGTCGTTGGTCATGGGTGCCGTTCTCGTATGGGTCTCGTGGGGATTCTCCAACGACCCAACGAGCTGAAAGCCGGAAATATTATCAAGCTTTTTGTCGACTCCCTGGCTCAGACGTTTCCTCATCTCCTGCTCCGTTTCAATGTTGTTTTTGTCGGGCATCTGCTCGTCGGCGGCCGCTTCTTTTACCTTGCTTCCCTGCATAGCCATGAGCTTGCTTTGACCTCGATCGGCTGCCGAGGCGCCGGAATCGCTGCTGTCGCTAGGATTGGCAGCACTCGCCTTGGCCTTTGCCTTTTTCTTGCTTCTCTTGGAGGTTTTTTGGCCCTCATCTGCCGCGGGGGCTTCTGCAGAAGCCTCTGCAGCCACCTCCGCAGCCACCTCTGCAGCCGCGGGTGTTGGATCAGCCGGGGGACCCTGGCTGTCGTCGGGGTTCCCAACGTCCATCCAAAGAAAGTGCTTAATCAGGTCAATATACTGATTGCGCTTGTCGTGATCCGTGTCCTTGATAGGATCCCACATCTCGTCGGTGTCCCCTTGCTCTGCTGCCATCATGCGTCCACGGTAGGCAGCCTCGAGGTAGGCTTCCTGGCTCTGCAGCTCCTCTTCTCGCCTGGCCTTTTCGAGTCTGGCCTGCAGCTTCTCGCGGTGACGCTTGAACAAGGCAGCCTCTTGCTTAATCCTCTTCTGTTCCTTTTCACGGTGGCGCTCCTCTTCTTCCTGTGCCGCGCGAACCCAAGCGAACCATTGCTCCTTTTGATAAAGAACGTCAGCAGTTCGCCTTTCCAGCCTCTCCAAAGCGCGCAGAATGGTGTGGCGGTTGCTGCTGAGCTTGTCGAGGTATGCCTGGTGGCCATAGTCGATCTGGAGGGAGTAGAAGTGCGTGTGGTGGAGCTTGCGAGCATCGATGACCTTTCCGGTGAGGACATATCTGTTGAAGAGATGTGAATGCAGTTCCTGGAGAGTCTCCTGGTCGTTGACGTCCTCAAAGGTCTGGTTCGCAAGAGGAACCTTGGATGTCTTGAGGTAAGTCGGAGGATTGGCCTCTAGTGCGTCGAGTGCAGCATTTCGCCGTTTGTAGCCCTTGTAGAGGCCGTAGACCTGGTTGGCATGGAACCAGCAGAAGATGCCGTTGGCATGGGTGGCTTCTTTGGTGCACTTGCTGCCATCGGAGAGATGCAGAGCCTGATGAATTCATCATGGTCAGTTTGTTCAACAGTGCAGAGCCAAACGCAGATTCTTTCTATGTACCTGGCATTCAGGAAGCCCTTGAGTCATGGTGAAGGTAGCAGCACTGTGGTATCAAAGTCTTGTAGGTACTTGGTTGCGACTGTGGCACCTTGAGTCGAGTTGGGCTATTCGGGTACCAAGAGCAGAATCTCTACCTATATCGCGGCATATCCCCTCTCGGACACTGCCATTGAGGCGCAGAAAACGGATACCCAGATACAGGGTAGGCAGCTAACGCAACTGAAGCCCTGGCACGGCAATTGCCTGTGCTGGTGTCAGACAGTTCTGTCTCTCTGTCTGGATTGAAGCCCAAAAATGCGACACGCGATGGTGATGATTCAAATCAATTAACCAACAGCCCCTCCCCCTCAACGCGAAATTACGCGTTTCATCCGCGTTTCATGGCTGACTAAGCTATCTGGACAAGGGTGGGGCTGGCCAGATTGTGAGCATCGGTCTGGGCTGATAAACGAAGAAATGATTGACGAGGACAGGCTCAAGCGAGACAGAAGTGAGGTCAGAGAGAAGAGAGAGGAAAGACGAATCTGGGCATAAGACTGGATGAGTGACGCCATTGCTAGATGCATGAACATACATACATAGGTAATTCCTCGCGTCTAAACACAACATCTGCTATGATATTTTGGTTCGCATATTTGCGCGTTGACATATACCTTAGTCATGCTGCAGCACGTAATACCGCCGTTGCATCGAAATGAAGCTCTCACAGTCACAACATAAGGACCCCTATCCATTGTTCAGCAGGACAAGCTGCACTGGCGATAATCCCCTACCGGTCATCTATCTCGCATCGCGGGACAGAAATAAATGAGGAACACCACTGCAGCAGTGACGACGTTGGTTCGGTCATCATACATATACGGTGTGCAACCCCTACGCATCGCCTCTCCAAGAATTGGCCTTGTCTCGCAGCAGATTGGACATGTCGCCATCAGATGACCCCCTCCCAACCGTTCGGCGCTTCTCTTGTTTCCCCGGTCTTGATCTATGATTTGATAGCTTATCTTAGACTGTTGGTCAAGAGGTCGCATGCGCTGGTGTCTGAGGTCCTTTTGAGAGGCGCTGCCGCATGATGGCTCGCAACTGTGTCTCACAACAAGCAAGCACACACGCAAGACTCGCAAGACTCGCAAGACTCGCAAGACTGTGCACAGCCGATCCAGACGTCATCTTCCAAGCGAAGAAATGTGGGCGAAACAGGAATTATCGCAGAACCAAGTAGTATCCAGTTTGCCGAAGAACCTACACAGACAGGCCTCCAACGGGATCATCAGCGCGGACTGCTCCAATCGGCTGCATGGATCCAACGTTGCTCAACCATGACCCTCGACCAACAAGGACGGCTCTGCACGCTAACCGACATGGTTGATGGATTCGACTCAACCCCGCAATAGGGATCAATTTGTTTCGAGCGGCTTTCGCAGGGAATGTGCGCATTAGCCTCGGGGAGGCCAGAGAGTCGCGGCAACGGCGCATGGACTTGGCAGACTGGACTGTCTTCAACGGCGCGCTGAGGCCAGCATCGCAACAGTGTTGGCGGGAGTAGTCCTTCAGACCGTTGGAAAGCCCCTCCGACTTTTCTTTTCTTCAAGCCAGCCACATGTCTGGCGGGCCGAAGTTCGCGAATCGCGACAAGTCGTCAATGTCAGGGGTGGGCAGGATTTTAAGTCGCTCGTGGGAGCACGAATCAGGCTAATTGCCAGGTTACGCACGAGGCTTGCCGAAAAGGTGTGGAAGGGGGTAAAAAGGGTCCAGCAGTTGAGGGCCTTGGTGTAATACTTGTATGTACAAGCATATCTTAGCCCGATAGTAGGACAGATAAGGTATACTGTCTAGAAGGTCGAGGGGAAGAGAGCGCGAGAGGCAGATACTGGCACAGTACGAGAGGCGCTCCATTTACCCAGCAAAAGCGCCTGTACTCTAGGGGGAGGATGTGCAAAACCGAAGAAGCGAGCCACCGCCGAGCCCACAGACGGTCCCCAATTCCTGGATCTTGCAACAATCTCGTCCACACGCTCTCCGGCTTCAGCGTTGATCGTGGACTCCGCCCCAGCCAGTGCGTGGCTCGCGGGTACAAGAGCCATTGAGCAGCTGGAGAACGCGCGTCGAGTGCCCCCAGCCGCCCTCGGTCGGTCGCCCTTTTCAGATAGATGATTGACGACCTGAAATCAAGAGCCCGCGACTGGTCCATATTCTGCCCAGAGGGGCAGGGACATGCTCGGGACGGCATCATCTGGGCTTGGCGGCGAGGCAAAAGGAGGTTGCGAGACGATCGATAGTATGCGGCGAATTACCTGATTTCGAACATTCAGTAATATCGAGACTATGCAGCTTACATTTAGACTACCCTCCATCTGCATCTGCGAGCGTATTCCGCGGCAGATACACGTATAGGCAGCGCCGCAAATCGCCAGCGCTGGAGGGCTTGGATTGGAAGTAGGGCTGCCAAACCGCTGTGGCCGCTGTGGGGGGGCTGAGCCGGGGTTGAGAGGGTTATCCTCGGTTAGGATAAGTCCCTGCGCGTACCTGACATGGATCGCTGGCAGGCTGGATCTTTGGAGGCTCGATGGCTGGAGGCAGACGCCACCTGCTGCTGATCCGTCTGGACGTGGACCCTGACGACGGTATATCAGGGGGTACGACGGGATACGGACGAGTACATACAACGGCTCACGAAGCGCTCTACTTGCGATCTCACCGGTAGAACCACCACTGCAATGTATCACCGGCTTGGCCTACGGCATCTGCTGCGCTCCCTTGCGTCAATCCCGTCTTGGGCGAGCCACATGAGGTCCCTGAAAGACCCTCCAGGCCTGGGCCCCCCAAACTCGCACAAACTCGCATCGCCTCCCTGCTCGTCCCGGCCAATCAGCAGGCCCAGCTTAATTTCAGCCCCTGTCTGGCTTCATTCTCTCGCTGTTGTCCGTCGCTTTAGCGTCCCTGCTTCTCCATCAGGTAGCGGCCGTCGCTCAAGCGCATATCAGTATAAACCCTTTGGTGCGCTTGCGGGACCTCAACAAGTCGCCCTACGCTCCCTTCATGGTCCTCGTGCTGTTTATTTCCTGACTTCCACCAGTCTCTCAACTCTGTTTTGACTCTGTTTCTTCCTCCCTTCCCTTCCTTTCACCATATCTAAACAGCTTCGTCGGACATGTTTGGCAGTAACGAACTGCAGTACGACGAGGAGCGTCAGGAGCGCCTGGAGCGCGACTCGCCCTCGTCGTGCCAGCGATGGTCTATGAGGTATCTGCGCTTTCCGAGAATCAGCAGGTCTGCCGCCTTCATGCTGCTGCTCGTCGACTTCTCCATTGTCTGTCTGCTGGTCTACTCTCTTGAGCCGCTCATCACGCTTCTGCGCCGCAACGACGAGCTCTTCAGCCCGCGCATCACTATCCCTCGCAACTCCTCCTGGAGCTCCTTCGACGACGACGACATGAGCCACCCGCGAATTCCTCGAATTCTGCACCAGACTACGCCCAACACCACGATTCCTGAGAAATGGGCCCAGTCGCAGGGCAGTTGCCGAGAGACATATGCCGACTTTGAGTACATGGTGAGTCCTTGGTGACACTGAGCGCTTTTATGTGACACACTCGTGATTTACTGCGATTTCTCGGTTCCTTCTTCCCTTCCTATCTGGCAATATAACTAACGAGATCCCCTTTCAGCTGTGGACCGACGAGTCAGCTCGCGACTTCATCTCTACTGAATACCCCTGGTTTGTCGAGAACTGGGACGGCTATGCCTTCCCCATCCAGCGCGCCGACGCCATCCGATACTTTGTCCTCCACCACTACGGTGGCATCTACCTCGACATGGACACCTTTTGCAACGAAACCCTTCCCCTGGAGGAGCTCGAGAAGGGCCCTGGCCCTCACTACGCGCTCTTCAAGTCGACTCTGCCGACCGGTGTCACCAACGACTTTATGGTCACCACCGCTCGACACCCAGCCTACGCCGCTGCCATCTCTAAGCTGCCTATCTTCTACGACATTACTCGATTCTGGGCCGAGATCCAGCCGTATGCCAACATTATGATGTCCTCTGGACCGCTGTTCCTCAGTCTTGTTGTCAAGGACTACTTGCTGGGACAGCCCTCACTGCCGTCGCCAACAGTTCAGGTCATTGATCCACCCGAACTGGGGTCGTACATCACCGACCTCGAGAGCGCCACCTGGCACAAGGCAGATGCCCACGCTCTGATGTGGCTGGGCACCCGACCATGGACCTGGTTCCTTGCGGGAGCCGTTGGCCTGATGATCGGCTTATACTTTATCAACTACCTGCTGCTGCTGATTTGCGATACTTTCCTTCGCAAGGTCCCATCCATAACCTACGCCATCAAGGAAAGCAAGTTGGCATAAAGGGAACGGCGGACAATTCTGGGAGGCTCTTTTTCTTCGTACATATATTGCGATAATGGTTACATCTTGCGCAAAACGGATTTCGATTTACGGCGAGGAGTATATTGTTGACATAACAACGGACGGTGTAACGGATTAATGATATGATACTGCTCAATGCGCTCACCTACTTAGACTGGGAGCCGGTTTTGCGCCTTAATAATCAAGAATAATTGTATAACGACGAACTGAATGATGGATCACCAAAGTCGTGTGAGCCGTCTAAGCGAGAACCACAAGACGCTGTGTCTCCGCATCGGGTTGTACTACCTAGCACCCATCGACATGGTACTCACGGCCGGCAAATCAGCATCGGGAGCTTCGCCAAGCTCCAAGTACGATGCTTCACAAGTCACACTTTACCCAATCATACACGGACAGTCTACATGCCAACAGGGACTTGATACTGATGTTACTGTTCACTCGATTAGCGGCAAGAGCAAGGAACAACATCAACCTACAAATTGACCAGACGGAATTCGATGAGATGGGCAGTGGGAAAGCCGCTGGCTTTCAAGACGGGCTACGTCGGATGGATCATGCTTGCGTACGCAACACAGCCTCGTCTTCAGCAATGCCGTCTCAGTGACCGATCCTTCGTCGTCTGTTGGCTACTATCGTGCATTGCCACACTCGTTGCGCGGCTGCACGGCGTTTGTGTTTCATGCTAGGAGAATGGTAACTTGACTGCCGCGTCTGTCGGTGTGGCTTTGCTTAGAGAGTAGGCTCGACATTGCAATTGGATGAGTTTCTCAATTTGTTCCCAATTCTCCTCACGAGGAGGGACGTCTTTGGTTGTAGACTTTGATGGTAACCGTGTTTTAAACATACGATGCTTTCGAACAACGAAGCTGAAGACCATTCAACTCAGCAATTGGACAACTTCACTGCCTTCTATCAGTCGTTGAAACATTCTCAGCAGAAGCTTGGCATTGATCGAACAAGAAATGCTTGTTTTGAATGCATATACTCTGATTCGTCAATCCCAAGCTTTTGAGGCTTGCGTGGCTTGCGATGACATTCAGCTTTGTCCCACGCTTCGGAGCAAAATTCGTATCACCGATGGCCCTGCCAAGCCCCTTGCCAAGTCCTCTGGGTCGAATCCCCACGATTTCTACTGAGTCGGAAGTGGGTATGGGGCTTGGTGGTGATTTTGGGTTGAGGTGGCTTGGCTTTTGGTATGTGTACTCGTACTGTTCCGGCCAGAGGAAGGGTTAGGTTAATGAGGTGTATTTTCTGTACATATATGTAGAAGCAAGTAAGAATGATAGACCGTTGGTAAGTTTCAAGCGTAACGAAATAGTTTTGTAATTCTAGTCTATCTACCCCCTCGGTTAGACCTTTTTTTTAGATTATAAGCTGATACGGAGTGTTGTCGTTCGAGCGTATGAAGCTTAATGAGGCCTCTTTTCGAGTATCATTATGGCCGTAGGTAAGGTAGATATACATCTAAACCTTTCACAAGAACAACAGCTATGTATCACTACTATTCTTCTTCTGCCTACACAAGGTGATCGCTGATCATTGCCTTCGCAGCCATGCGTATAGGTTATCCCTTTGACAGGCCAGTATCATAATTCCCAGGCAGCATGATAAATGGAACAGCAAGTCTCGACTGTTAGTGAGAGCTGAATTGAAGTTATTTAGCTAGCCACTAGAGAAGTGTATAGCAGTAGAAAGCATAACCGTCAGATACAGCGTAGCCAGAATGTTGTTTTGTTCCACATGTGAGTTGGCCGTGGTTTTGCATCTCAGTGTACAAGCTGCGCTCATCAATCGCAAGATGCGGAGAAGTAATGGTGTTAGCTTATATCCACCTGGATGAGGTCTTCTCGCTCACTTGCAGCGTTCCTGTTGCGCTGGCACTTCTAGGAGTATGATAATCGCTTGAAGTTTATCCCAGAGAAAGCCTGCCGGAAAGAATTGCACTTTCTTGGATTTGAACCTCTCCGCCATGCCTTTCGCGCCCCTTTGCAGTGTGTCTGTCTTTCATGTGCTGTGACAGGCCATCCCTGATAGCCCCTGATCACCACCATCCGATCGGATATATATCCCGTCGGATATATATCCTTTGATCCAAGTTTCAGTCCTCCTGGATGTTAAGGATGAGTCGCAGCAAAACCGATCGAGGTACTTAGGGGGGCATAGTTCTCGTCAGAACCCACAGAGCAGAGCCATGACAGACGCTATAGCTCTTCTAATCAACGAAGAGAACCTGGATTGACGACCATTGCTCCGGCCCCGGTTAGTAGATGCTCCTTCTGCCGGCCAAGTGTGAACTGACTAAAGTTAAAATGAAAAATCGCTCAACGGCCTTGTCTGGTCTGTTGGACTTGGTAATTCTGATCGACTTCTGCGCCTCCTGGGTGGCGAGCGTGTGTGTTCATGCGATCAAACTCTGCTGTCTATACAGAGGTGGCCTAATTGGCCTTATCACAGCAGTGAATGAGAGCCGACATGGTCTATGTTTGTATTTTGGAACCCATTGAGGCAATATTGGTAAGGTATATGTAGCTACACTACTTGCATGGGGAGTCATGGTGTGAAGAGCAAGTAGTATAACCAGCGGTTGGAGGGTTTCTTCTGAAGATAGACACACGTTATTAGTCGGCAGTTATTGGATACTAATAATATAATTATAGACGAAAAAAAAGATACCAAGAGTGTATAGCATCGATTTGACTCCCGCTCAACTTCATAGAAAACTGTATGCTCGAGGTCCTTGTTCCATTAGGCACAAGCCGACACACCCCGGACTTTTTCAATATTCATCATGTCACTTCCTCTTCTTCAACATGGTTCCTCAGGCTTCCGAGATTCCCTGCGTGAGCATCTAAGAACCAGTATTGTTTTGGCAACACGCCCGAAGCTTGTTCATCTAGTCTCTAAAATTAGAAGAAACTGGCGCGTAAGTGAAAGTTGCAGATTATAATCAGAGCAGTCTTGCCTCCTGGCGAGCGAGCTTTCGTACTGTGGCTCAAGTTGGTCGTGCCGGTTAGCGGTGGTGAAACTACGTCTTGGGCTTGGAAAGACGAATTTTGCCTCACATTGGCATACTCTATCCTAGTTTCTTCTCTCATATCAGCAATGTCGCAAACGAACACCCAGTTTCCGAGAACGCGAGAGAGCCGGTGCGGCATAGCTTGTTCATCATAGATCCCACTTGTGAGAAAGTCTATCTGCTAACAACCAGTCGTTCACTATTATAGCCCCTTCCCGCTTATTTTCTCGAAGCAGGACTGATTTTGTTATGCTAGGGCCAGAAGACCTCATTCATGGGCATCTTGCTTTGCATCAGAACGCAAGCAACAAAAGGGTGTCCAGCACTTGCACCCCACAGAGAACCCCTTCAGGGACAACCCCTTTGGCAGCAAGCTTCATTGAGCCCATCAAGATGATGTGGGCTACAACACCAGCTGCAATTGCTCTTTTAGCACCACCTAGTGCCCGGAGAGCAAAGAATGCCCCGGGAAAGAACAATATCAGCGTAGTGGCAAGGCCTGGATTATACTTTGGCCCAACTAATATTGCTGGTAGAACGTGCGTCAACCCGTTGATAAGTGTCAATCCGTAGAAGCTTCTCGCATTTCGGATATTCACTCGAGCAGCAAGCCCAGTGACCCATACGAGTGAGCCGTTGACAAAGAGGATGACGAGAGGAGTCAACGGGCATGCCTCGACACTCTCGAAGCCCTAGTTCACAGTCATCAGCTGTGAGTGTTGGTGATGAGTAAGGGTACATGACAGAGTTCATACCAAGTTCTTGCAAAAATAGGCTTGGAACGCATAGCGCCTACCCATGAAATCGTAGCCATGCTCTTCGAACTGGTGCAGCAGGTATATAGGCAAGGCAGCGCGCATCCACCAGGCTTTATCGTTTAGTAAGGAGCTCCATCGAGGTCGCACTCTTGTATCGGCGCTTGTTGAAGAGCTTGGAGACCTGAGAAGTTCATAGATGAGGGGAATGCCCGCAATCAATCCGATAAACGGCCAATCTGTGAGGAAGCCCATTGCATCGACGGAGAAGAAAGATAACAGAACAATGGTGATTGTCAAATGTAGACCAAGTCTCGTAGCTTTTCACAAGAATTATATTGCCTGCCGCTCAAGCATAGTATTTATAAGTTCAACGTGGGCACCTACAGATAGCATCGTCTATACCTGAAGACAAAATATTCCCGAGTTACTCAGCGCTAGATAGATGTTAAGGTATCTCTCTATCAATTCTGTAACACTTAGATGCTAATTCGTTCGTATCGCAAGAATTGAGATATTACTTAAGAAACAAATCATATATGACTGCTACACGGCAATATCGCCGATTGGTCGCAGGGAGCTTATGGCTTCACTAAGGCTCACTCGCAGTGATGAGGATTAAGTAAGAAGCTGCATTTCATCCACTTTCGGCCGAGTTCAGACGAGAATCCAAAGTCAATACTGTCATACACTTCTTAGTGCCGTGACTATTGTAACCGAATTGGTGCGACAGTTCATGACATAGGAACTATATCTCGATGAGCTTGTAAGCTGTCACAGCAGCAACTGAGACACCATTAGAGGGTTTTCATAATTCAAAGTGGAACAACCTAACAAATACTGTTATCAACATGTAGGAGCCTTGATCCCGTAGCGACAAGGACTGTCCTTATCTGTTGCGGTTGAGCTAGGCAAGATTTCGCATCAAAACTTCATCTCGCAGGAGAACATCGTCGCGCCTCAAAGCAGGCAAACGTCAAGACCTTACTCACGACATCCTTCCTAGACTTGAATTTCCAGTAGATTATGCAAGCCAAGCTAAATATGTGGTATTTTTCCAATGACGTCCATGAAGGGTATTCGCAGAGACACTCTTTGGCAAAGGCAACTTACATGTTCTAGGTTAGGTACGTCGCGTACTAAGCTTATACTACAATCACTACTCACAAAATGTTATGTTAATAAAACGCAAGCAATTCAAGCTTCAAATACCCTTACCTGTCGATATCGGGCTACGGGTTCTCAAACAGGGTTGTTTATATGTCAATGGTGTTGTAGCATTTGACTGCTACCTGCAAGAGGGAATAGCACTCTCCAGCTGCGATGCAAGTCAGCGTCTTGCATATAAGATCCTTAATTCCCCGAGCTATATCTCGTATTTCAGTTAGTGACCATCTTTGGTGCGGCACATGTGAGGTTGCTGTGAGTGAAATCGGCACGTCTCGCAGCCTTCGTATTGCGGGTTGAAGGAGATAGCATCTATACTTTCTCGGCAGTTTATTCATCAAGCGCGGGCTGCGTTCTTCGGGCAACTGCGGCATTGTCCTTGGCTAATGTAGCCTTATATAAAGGGTTTCTAGCGGTCTCTATGAGTAAGTCTGCCTCGAACGACCAGTAATTCAGGGTAATCATAGAGGGCTGTGGAATTGCGTCGTTGAAGCATAGGCATTGCAACCTCCGGTCAGACGAACTGCAACTGAAGAGCATGTAGCTGTGAACATCTCTTCGCCAGGCTTTCTGAATTTCGAAAAGCGAGCATGACCTTAGCAGATCACATGCCATGGAATGCGTTCGAGACAAAAGAACGTATGCAACTTGGCTGCTTTACACAAGCCCTGTCAGCTTTTGATGAACCCTGGACTTCGCTTGTATACAGCTCGCTTATTATGCTAAATGATCCAACCTCAGTAACGAAAACCTCTCAAAGTGCAATAAGTACGACGAGTATCAACAGCTATCATACTATGAAGCTTACTTTTGTATCGGACACTTGTACAAAGAAGGTATTTTCGACCGGGCTATAGATACAGGGTCTGTACTGTATGTCCGCTTTTTCTGCTCTTTTCGGGTGATGAAATCTCTTACGGTCATCCAGGGAATTTTTGTCAGTGGGCTGGGTCCCTGGTCGAGCAAGAGATTGTCTCTGATTCCACACTTTCGTGTGTAAGCGAAGACTCTCAATCGGTAGGAGAAGTTGGCGAGAATTCATTCGGCCAAAGGCCGATGCCTGCGCTGCTAGGCGCTCCTATGCAGCAATATCCCCTTGCCTCAGGGTGCTGACGGGCTGGTCAGTGATGGCAGAAGAAGACGGAGGAATATTCAGTACTCAAACGGCCATGCTATTACGCCGCGCCTATCCCCGATATGCGGTATCAGTGAGGGTCATGGCATCGCTAAGCTGCTTGTTACTGTACTGCATCTTTCGGGCCTACTGATATAGGTAGGTCGGGAAATGGAAATCCACCACGGGCCGCCCCTAGACTCCTGTCGGGAATAGAGGCCTGGAGCAGAGCAAATGTGAGTTGCGATAAAGCTCTTGTGGGCGATAGCCATGCCACAGACTCCGTATTCGTGAATACAACCAACAGAAACGTGGAGACGCAGCACTGCATAGGGCTGAAGAAGACGACCGTCCTACATTCTTATCCCTACCTTACCGAGAGTACTTGCATGCGACAGCCGCAGAGCGTCCAAACGGGAAATAAAGGTAGCATCATCGGAGCCATTAAATGCTCGTTGCTGTGCGTGTAACCTCGATGACCAGTGGTTTACTGTTATAGGCAAGCCAAAGGAGAGGCAAGGGCCGGCTGTCCTTGGCGCCTGTGTACAGCTTAGATGCATGCTTCCCCGTACACTGCGGTATCTGCACAACTGCCCTCGTATGCTGAAGCTTGGCATCTCACTGTCGGGGACATATTCCTAATACTTGGCGAGGCAGAACTGGGCGCAAAATGCCGAGGGAAACGACACCATGTTTATACGAGGCGCCTCTGCTATTATTCGACAGCGGGATAATGAGGAAATGCAGACAACACGATGTCGTTGCGCGAACTAACCAGGACAGCACATAGAAGTCCGGTCGTGAACAGGGGTAAAGATGGGGGATTGCTCCGTATGTGACAAGTATGGTGATCCGCCCACAAATAGCCGTCCCGCCGACAGAGTATATTTGACTTGTATGAGAGATAGTATAACAGTAAGCAGCCTAAAAAGAGGGAATTACTTGGACTAGACGAGAGAACGCGAGCTGCGGGCGCGTATGAGGTTTTATCGCTTGTTGGCTCGCTACTCGTGATCACAACGCTCGTGTGCTTCGCCTATGACTGTGTGACTGCATAGTTGGGCGCATACGGAAGCGAAGGAGGATGAGCAGTGAAACTGCCAAAGAATGTCCCGTCGTGGTCTAAAAGAGGCTCCGAAAAGGACTCAAATCTATATCCGGGAGGAAGCAGACAAAGTAGAACTGCATTGTACGCCGTTTAGAGGAATAAAGCCTCGGCAGCCGTCTCGGAGACAAGGAAGATGGAATACTTCTACCTGCTTCTACTGGAAAACTCTGACCAGCTCTCACTTGCCCACTGTGATCGCTGTAGATCCTCAAACAAGTGTTGCTCCGAGCGGCGGACCCAAGATTCTCCGCCCAAGCACAAGCCCTTTGCAAGTTTGTTGCCAGCCTCTTCGTGAGAAAAAGAAGAGACTCCGGTCTCAATGCCTGGCAGAGGGGACCCTGGAGGCGGGTCTTGCCCACTGTTCCACGACCGTGGCTGCGCACAAGATGACATCCTCTCACCATTTGAGATGCATCACTCACAGACCATGCAGCAATCATGCGCATACTCACACCCTCCCACGATACAATTTGTGGGGGCGCTCCGTTCAACGCCGAACGAACATATTGAGCGTGTATTCCGTGTCCCAGACTGGGCATAGTGGCCTCGAAACGCTGCGGTGCTCGTCCATCACATGGCACCAGGGGGGGCCTGGGTCGAAGGATGGCGAGAGCCGATGTCTGGCAGACCGAAATTGTGACCTGAAGAGCATCATCCAGGTTCGTACACTCATCCTGGGGGTTCCTTTGCAAAGCCATGTTCGGGGGTACAGATAAGGGGAAGGGGGTATCGCTGCAAGGTACAAAGCGTCCCTCAGATATTGCCGAAGTAGTGCGTAACTGGGCTCTTCCTCCTTTGTTGCCGAGTACACGCGATGCTCAATGCATAGACAGAGAAAGCACTGCAGTGCTGGAGAGAGCAGAGGAGGCCGAGAAAGGAAGAGAGAAGGGAAGGGGGGGCGTGGCGAAGGAATGATCGTCTCGTGGGCGTCTCCAGGCCTCGGACAGTTACCGTCGGCATGGGAAATGGCTCGACAGGCATGGCCGAAGCATTGACCTCGTTGCATCTATGGGCACCAATCCTTCTATCAGGGTGAGAGGCTCACGGCGTCCGGCGACACTGAAGGATCTGCCAACAAATGGGTTCCATGTCAACAGGTGTGATCGGCTTCTATAGTCTCTCGGTCAGTCCATTTCTTCCGCCAGCGATGTTACAAACCCGCAACTGTTGTTTCTGAGGACAGAGCCGTCCTGGTGATCGATGATTTGTTGCGGGGTCTGCGTCGAAACGAGCAACTGCCTGGGAGACTCACTGTTAAGCTCGTATCGGGGCAATTCGTATATAACCTGGCAGTGCATGCATGTAACATTGCAACCGTTATTTCAGTAGGGCATGCCAAGTTGCTGGCTATGAGCCCTGACGCTTTCTCCGGATGCCATGGTTTATTCCCACAGTGACAGCCAACGGAGTCCCAACCTCGGCTGCCGCAGGTTCCTGCAACAACGAGGTATCAGCCAGACTGGTAGGGCTTGAAGTTGAGCTGAACAGTACGTCATTTGACTTACTGCCATGCTCGAGACCAAACGGAAACGGCGCATTGTGACGGTGAGAGATACGTCTTGAATCAAATACGGGCAGGCCTGACTTGCATTGCCGTTGCCTACATCCATGCAGGCTTGTAAACGCCGCCACCTGTAGAGTACTTCATCCAGAATCACAGATTCTGAGCTGCCAATGGGCGGTGACTGGAAGTCGCAGCATGTGCGAGCATCAAAGGGAGCCATTGGATATCCGAATCGCTTGTCGGAGTTTCTAAGCGAGGCGCAGCGGCAAAGTTGTCTGCTGGTATGATGCTGTAGCGCTTACTGTCTCGAGTCTCTCGGCAGCACGGGAGCTTGAGTTCAATGCAATGCCAGAGGTAACGGTTGCTCAGTGAAGGGTTGGTATAAACAATGCCACAGTTACGGCTTGCAGCGTGGCTTTGCCCCCTGCTGAGAGGTTTCGTGCATGAGATGCAACAGATGCTGTAGGTAAGCAAGGGGAGTAAGGCGTGTAAGTAAGCGGCGCCGAGCATGCAGTATATCACCAACACATTCCCCGAAACTTCCCCGGCCTCTCGAGTGCCATAGCATTTCAGTGATTGAATAACTCGTCATCGTACAGCTATATTCACGTAAGCGGCTATAACTATCGTCAGCTGTTCTCTGTCGAAAAGCACACGCCCTGTCCGCTCAGCTCAACGCTACAGTCGTCTCCAAAACGCTCTCTTGCCTGGCAAGAGCCTGGACCTTGCTCTGATCATACGAAGACAGGGATGGTGGCATCTTCGGCAAGCGCTTCCAACGCTATCCTTTTGCTCCGCGGCAGGTCTAGAATCAGAACTTGGAGGGAGAGTGAAGCTATCCGTAGTTCCGAGCGAGATCCGGCTTGCGGCAAGCCGACTTCAACGCTTGAGGTCACACACATATCTCCTAACCAACTATACCTAGCTCTCTGGTTGGCTTGAGAGACTTATTCGTGCTACGATGACGTTCGCGACCCTTTTTGTCAGTGATTAACCATACTTTCGTACGTATATAGAATGTGCGGGCGACTGGTTCTTGCGCTCATTTACAGGTGACGAAGAGAAGTTCGTCGTGGTGTATAACTAGACGCTGGGCTATCGCTCGTCTGTCCGCCGCCGGCCTGATGATGCTATCGCCTTGGTCATTCGTGTAAGTCGCATTCAGTCTGTGCTTCCATAGTTTGACAACGTCTCGTTAGAGGTTGTGATGCTCGATGCGATGATAGATACTTACGGAGACATAAGAATAGTAAACAGGAATCGTGTGATCAATCCTGGGATCGATCAGGGATGAATACTCAGGTTGCAGGATCCAAACAGGGTTTGCATGTGGATAGATAATCGACAAGCCTCCAAGGCTCTCATAATTGACCTGCCTGCCTGATGTGTTCAGTTGATACATACTTCGTGAGGTATCCTGGAGACGAGCGTGGGTGATACGACAGTGCCGCGATCCTCCACGTAGACATGGATGTTGTCAGGTTATAGAAGCATGCCACTGGTGAGACTCGTGAGAATAGACACTGTTCAATGACCCTTGGGTATTTGAACGTAATATTCCGTGTTCACGAGGAGAGAAGAGAGGAGTCTATCGCCAATTCAGCTTCTGTAAGCCAGGATAGCCTCTGCATGACGTCTCCCTCACCTAATACTCAGCTTCACGGCTCCTGTTCCGACACCACCTGAACACAGTCCAAGGTATGTCGGCAGCCAAACTTGCTTACGCTCTGTGAGATCAAGGTGCTTGTCGCTCGCAGCGGATCTTGGTGACATATACAGTTCTTAACCCCTAGTTCTGTTGGCAACGTATTGTCCTCAGATGTATGGCGAACGGAAACTCGGCATGTGCACCATGAAGCGGATGTTGCAACTGACAAGGGCAGCGCGCCATGTCCAACATTGTCTTGGACGGGGCTCGGTCATTGACGTGGCCGATGAATTTCGCGTGGCTCGGGCATTAACAAGTTCTGTAAACTCCTTGGAGAGCTCACCTCGCAGTATCGCCATGTTACCGGCATGACATGATCATCTTGATGTTGACATACAGGTGTTCCTTGCAGAATCCTTGCCTGTCGGAAGGGAAGAGCCCACCAAAAACAAGACTGCATCGCGAAGTTGGACTCAGTTAATAGGGGCTTGCAAGGAGTTGATTGAGAAGCCTAGGAGTACGTTGCGGTGACGGGGGGTTGGAACGGACACAGTTGCAGTCGGAGAAACTTCAAGAGACACAATACGAGCTCAGCCTGGGGCTCATCGACACTTCTGCAACTTTGAGCTGAGCAATTTATGCAGTGATTGCCGTAAGATACTGTGAACAGCTTGCTTCTAAGAGTACGATTCGCTAGTTGGGCAAGTTCGTACGCATTATGCTTTGTCGAGGGAAACGTGTTCTGGATCTCAGCAGAGACCGACGATTATATCCCTCAGGTAATGAGAACCTTTTGCTATAGGAATATTGTCCGGATCAGGGCCGAATAGTGTGCGCTCTCTCTGACATTGCGACTTGGCGCCTCGTTGACGGATCTGAAGATTATGAATTCATAAACACTGGCCATGCAAGGCGAATCCGCCATGTCTTTGAGACACCATATTGGTCAGTAAGACATCTTAATAAACTTTATATAAGAAAGTAAAGGCTGTATATACCCAAGGTATCACAAAGAGTGTTGGGCTGAGTGTTGTTGACCAGACCATGATCCTTCAAGATCGTGATACAGGCAGCAACGAGAAAACGGAGAAGCGAAAAGCGTCAAAAGCCTTTCTCCAGCCCTTCCATATATCTTAGGAGCTGCCATCACGAGAATTATTCACAATCCACCTCTTCATCCTTAAGTGATGTCTCCGATAGATGCGGCGCCTTATCCAGTGTATGGGGGATATCTTGAGGGTCGGGACTGTCTTGAAAGGGCTCTCTGACAATAGCCTCACGAAACCTTGAACTCACTTAGCAATAACTACACAGGTCTAATCTTTATGGGAGTGTTCTTGCCTTTCCGCTGGCCGCAAACCTGATAGACAGGTTTCCTCTGGAGTCACCAGTACCATCAATATCCCGACTTCGACGGGCATCGAAAGAACTACCAGAGAAATTATGTCGCGACTTGTAATGCTATAAGCAAAGCAGAGCATTATTCCCAACAGAGCTTCCGTCACAAAGCTTTGTTCTCTTGGCTGGGGAGCCGTGATTTCCGATCTGACACCACCGCTCGGACAACTGCTGTCGTTATCGAGGCGTCAAAGACCTCCGGTTATTACTCCGAACGTTGCCAAGCTGTGCATGATATTGCTCGATGCCACAGCCACAATGAATTGCACTTAGCAAGCTTCTACCACAAGCAGAGAAAGGGCTGTTGGTGGATAGTCGTCCGAGGCAGCCGTCGCACAATCACCGCATATCCGCCGAGAAAGCTCATGTTGGCCGAGCAGACGCAGATGCCAGATGTGTATCCGACGGGCTGGTTCGCACGGAAGTTACGGAACGTTGGCAGTGGCGTCGTCCAACTGCCAAGGTGTGTCAGACAGACGATGCTGATGATTCATGCATTGTCATTGTCTCATTCGCTCTCGGCGCTCTGAAGCTTCGCGTCTATGTCGACTGACGAGCGAGGAGGCGCTGACATCGTGATGAATACTATTGCTACTACTTTTAGATGCATCTCGGCATATAGAATCTGCTTACAGGATGTTCCGGCTGACGACGGTTGCACCTCTCCGCCCGGCATCGGTAGAGTCTAGACACCGGTTGAAGAAGCAATAGACAAATCTCGAAACACCACGCATGCCTCCGCCCTTTTCTACACACCCTCCCGCCTCGAACAACAGACAAACTAACCAATGGAAATAACTCAAGCCTCCGTAAGCTCATTGGCAGTGCCCGGCTCGTTCTTTAGCCAAAGTCAAGGCTGCAGGACGCATCTACACGTGCATGCTCCGAACCATAAACCACCACCAACGTCTTTCGTATCTGTACTCGACCAGCAACGTTTGCAGTAGTATATGGAGTACATGAGCGTGAGTACATTAGTCGTGCATGCACACGTCAATCTGCATCTACAGGGATCCGTTCAATGCCTACATGTTCCGTTCCTTTCTTTACCGCCATGTCGAAGCGGAAATGATGTGCTTGGAGAGAGGGCCACCGACGACTGTTTCTGGCAGTTCTTTCGCCGTTTCTAAACTATGCTAACACAAGCGATGTTTGATGTTCAAGTCCGATCCTCCTCGTTCGTGGAGCAGCGCTGACATTGCCGCTTGGTTGAGGCGTAGGTATGACTCGTTAGAGCATAATCATGCGTATCAACGATATGCACGCCTACAGAGCATCAAAGGCTGTGTTAATTGCAGTTTGGAATCTTCATGGCCATGTACGGAGTTTAGTGAGCATCACCCCAGATGGCCAAGCCGCGAATATAATAATTTACGGTTTATTCATCAATAGGGCTCACGGACTCCTTCATATTTGCTTCATCCTTGTCCCGAGAGCCGTACACGAATTACTCAATCCGTCGATTCGGAAGGAGATAAAAAGACCGTCGGCGAACCAGGTCCGGCCAAGTTAGGTTAAGTTTTAGCTAAACTTTGATGAAAATTTTCCGTCTTATGTTAGTGATTCCAGGGCATGTCTGGGCCATTAACAGATTCCTTGTACTATATTGAAAACGTCCTGACAAGCTGAATGGGCCTGTCAAGTCAAGGTTGCTGCGAGGCTAGTCCTCATGTCTGCAGCGAGAAATGCTCCGTGAAGCTCGTTGCAGTCGATCTCGGTTCCTGGATGTAACTGCAGCTTCGTGTAGCTGTGCCATAGATATACCTTACGCAGATATCATCACACCTGATAGTTCACGAATATCGACCATCATAAGCACAAGCTTGATGCGTCTTGAAGTACGCAATCATGATGACAAGTTTCTCATGGCTTTGAAACACAGACTTACTCGGCAACAGACTGCGCGAAGCTACAATCCCGCCGTTCTGGAACAAGCGAATGCCGCGAACCAACCTGACGCAGGCCGTTTACTCGGCTCAAGCTCATAACTAACGGGTGTTACTAAGTCCCAGCAGGTTAGTGAAAAAGCGGCACAGTAGCATTAACAAGCTTGGAGTGTCATCTGTTCCGCCCTGGCCCATCTCTAGTCTCGGTCCGAAGCGGATGGCCTGGGCCTGTGGCTTGGAGCTGGATGGCACCGCTTGGAAACAAAGCACTACACGCGCATGTAAGCCGACTAGAAGGAAGAAGACGATCGAAGAATGCCTTCTTGTTCAAGTTACTACTACTGTACTTTGGCGGAGAGCTGTCCGTGTCCGCTATCCGCGCCGTCCCGTGCTCGTCACCGCGCAAAACTGGGGTTCCGCCATCGCAGAGAGGTGGTCATCACGAGACGGAGATGCTCCGCAGAAACTGGCCATCAAGGTGCCCGGAGCGGCTCGCAGGTCATTAAACTCTGGATGTTTGGTGGCATACCATTCGTTGCAGCTTGAGCGGTGACATCCCCATCTTAGCCGAGGATACTCTTCCATACCGACACCGGTTCCTACAGACAGCACGAGTTATGGGGTACATACATGCATGCTACATGTAGTCCTTGAAGGCCCTCATTAGATGCCGATGGACAAGCAAAAGGGAAGAGAAGGAAAGATCTTGACAGGCTTGACAGCAGACGAGGTGGTTGCCATGCCCTCTTACACCAGGAGCCGCACACCGTCCTGTCGGCTGTCCAAGACGGCAGAACCAGCTCGCCAGCCCCAAGTGGAGGCCGGACATAAGCCTCGGCCGCTATCAGGGGCTAGCAGATAAAACTGTTGGACCTGACTCTGCCTCTGCGTTGTCGAAGTAGCGGTGCGAGGGCCCTTTCAAGGTCTCGTGTGTGCGCCAGGAGATTGATAACAGGTGCTTCTTGTCGGCAATGCCCCGTGCCGTACTGCGGAGGAAATTCCACCATCTTCGAACGGAGGTAAGAAGGAGAAGGGTCTTGGATGTTTCCATCTGACATCTCTTTATGCACGTCATGGGCGCGCATCTCCGTGTTCATGCAACAAGGCCCCAAAGACGACTTGACACGAGCAAGCCAGCATCAGCAAAACGGCCGGTCTTTGTGGCAAAGAACGCATGGAGAGAGAGGGGAAGGGAGAAGCTCAGAGCCGACGGAGCTCCCTCCGTAGCTTCGTTGCTTGGACGTGAAAGGGCAGACGAACAGGACCCTGACACTCCAAAAAGGCTCAGCCCTGGTCGCCTCTTCCTTTCTTTTTTTTCGCTCCAGCTCCCGTATCCTGCATCCTGGGAATTCCCAGAGACAGGTCATTGGTGACGCCGTTGATTGGCCAGGCCGGCAGTTATGCGTGGCTATTGGACATCGCACCCCCTAGCCAGGTCGACGAGGGTCCTCCCCCCCCCCCTTGGCCTTTTTTGCCGTCGATTTTCGTTACCATTGCTTCTTTTTTTATATGTGATATCGTCTGTCGCTTGGAGGGGCGTAGATTCACCGCATTGCAGGCACTGTCTCTCTTTGTAACGAGGCATAGCAGAAACATGTGTGGGCGCGTCTATTTGTTCCATACATGTTCCATTCCCCGTTCTAAACCGGGGTGCCGGGCCAAGGGAAGGGCCACAGGTTTCCGGCGCAGCAGATTCATGCTGGCCGCGGCAATATCGAAACGGAAAAAGCCGACAATTGAATGTAGTACAAGTACTTGTAGACGGCTGAAGCCGCCTATGACGATGACGATGACGAGAGAACTGGAGTTTCGCATTGAAGGCGTGCATATTGCATGTTCTTGGTTAATAGTTGTGAGACATTGGAGACGGCGTTAGTTCAGCTCGACGACGCGATGCTGCGTTCCCAGCAGATCGGGCCCGCCGTGACCTGACAGACGCCCGGCATGAGATTCGGTACTGGGAGGTGAGCAAGAGGAGCGGTCCGAGGAAACGATTTGGGCATCAACAAGGGTTGAAGGGGTAGAAGATGGGAGGTAGCATTCGAGATTGACGGTCGAGGAAGAGGCCATGTGGGGGGGATGTGTCAAGAAAAATTTCCCTTCTTTTTCTTGCTTTCACTGTTCGAGTTTGGAGAGGGCAGGGGTTTCCGCCACGATGTTTACGACTGCAGTCACGGAACGGTCTCTTTTTGTAATACGAACGAGTCTGGAGTTCTTTCATCTGAGCAGCCTTGGGCTGGATGATACGACAATGCTGCCCAGAGCCCAGGGCAGTTCCCGTGGCAGCAACGGTGTAAGTTCAAGGCGTGTAGCGAGCATCAGTACATGTACTTCGTAGGACTGGTCCATCCCCATTCTTCAGCGGGAGGCAATGAAGCTACTGCGGCCTTGCCGGCCGTGGCCATGCGGCGAACTCGGCTGGTTCCTTGCATTGGAAAGGCAGACCAACTCCCGCACGGACGACTGCATCGTGTCATGACCACTACAACCTCAGCACCCTCCTCCGGACCGCTGGCCATCGAGTCGTTTGACGGTGCCGGCGAAGTTCAACGTCAGGCATGGGCTGCCGCATCTTGGAGTTCCCCGACGCACGCCCTGTTCCACCCTGGCTGCGCTCGAGTCAAGCTGTGGGAGAGAGGCGAAGCTGTGGGAGAGAGAGCCGATGGGCGATGCGATGCCCTGCTGCGGGTTACGAGGTTTGCTGGAGATTCTCTGACCGGCAATGAATACAGGTCCCTCGTCACGCATCGACGCTCGGGAACATGAGAAATATGACAGAGCTGCGTATATACGTGTACTTGCTCCATAGCCACCACATGCAGCCCACTCTAGTCTGGGGATTGCAGGCTCCATCTCGCAGGTAAAGTGACAGCTTTCTTGCCAGCTTCTACCTCGGTGGTACATGTAATTGGTCGTCCATGGTGTGCTCTCAGGGCCATCATCGTCTCTTTCTTCAGCCAGTGAGTAACAATTGCTCGCAGTTTTCAGATAATACACGTACTACTAGTTGTATTAGCTGTCAGACCAAGGGCGCCGTAACGCGGCGCGGCAGGGGTTTGGGAGCCCAAAAAGACACGCCATGACGGGCAATTCGGCATCAGTCATGATTCTTCAACCCGATGGTTCAGATTCGAGGCCATTTTCAGCCACTCCTAGGCGCTCCCACCGATTTGGTAGCCCAGGCCAGGGGTGGGTGGTTGGTTCCGCTATGCTCTTCTGCCCTCAGGACGGAGTGCCGCCGCCAATAGGACTAGCAAGGTAATAAATCACAAAATATAACCCACGATGCTACGAAGTGGTACTTTGCCGCTCACGCTGTAACTTTGTAGTCTGGACACTCCCCCCCGCCAAGTGGGTTGACGAGTTTTCCAGAAGGCTTCTCTGACTCTTCTCGCCCGATGCGATGGGCGGGTCCTCGACGCTCTCTTTCGCCCATTGTTTCGAAATAGGCTGCCATTTTAGGAGCCTCGTATTCCCCATTCAAGCATGACGAAGGCAACAAACGAAGAAGTCAAATTCTCTGCCTTGCTCTGGCTCTGGGAGCAAACTTCATGGGCCAAGCAAGTGGTCAACCCCTGCCGTCGTGACGAAGGAGAGGCAGCGTTTGTGGTGTACAAGGTATTGTACCAAAGCAGAGTAGTATCGCCGGTTCTCGCATGCCTGGAGGAGATAGGTGTGCCCGACAAGA